GCACAAAATTGATGCATTAGGGTACATTCCTGCGGGGACACTTGTGTCTCAATCACTTTGTGACATCTAAAAACAGCATATACCGTGCCCTGTCACAAAAGCGGATCGCGCTTATGCGAGTCCCACTGTATTTTACATTGGTTGGCGTGAATTGCGCTTGTGTCGCGGACGAGTTACACGAGGCCCCGTCACATCCCGAAAATCGCACGCGTGTCGAAATCTCACACTGTACAGCATGCACCTGGACGCCCGAACTGGGCACGTTTCCGCGCGGGGATGGAAACCGCTCTGCCCGGGCTGACATATGACTGGTCCTTCAGCACACACGGTCACATCCCTGCCCGAATATTTGCCCATCGTTCCAACCACACTGACAGCACGCTCCCGCTCCAATCTGTTCTTCTTCTCCCAACCCGAGCTTACTCTTTCTTGTTGCGAAGTCTAGCCAGGGTCTTCTTTGGCACGCTGTAGCCATGGCCCGTAAGCGCAAGAGCGTAGCTAGTTCTGTTGACTTGTGCCCGCGGGATCTCGACGAGATCCCGTACATCGCTTGGATGAACAAACAAATCGCGGCCGGCCGCAAGCCCGCCGGCCCTTTGCCCGAAGGAGCGCCTGGTGCGGGGGACACCTGGTTCGAAGCCCCGCGCGATGTCCCTACCCACGGACGCCGTCATGCCGACCGGGTTGCCTCATCCCGTGTCAACGACGATGCTGCCTTCGATGACGATGATGACGCCGCGGACTCTGATTACAACGAGTGCGACGAGGCCTGCGAAGACGACGCGGACTCTGGCGAGGAGCAGGACAAGGGCATGTCCCCCTCCGAGGATGAAGTTGACGCCGACGAGGACGCCGATGACGACGAGGACGCTCCCGAAGAGGCCCAGCCTGCGTCCCCGGCTCCTCGTCGCGGCTGTGCGTCTGCCGCTGCGGGAACCAAGACTGCTGCTAAGGGCGGGGAACCTCCGCGTGCCGCTGCCAAGACCCGTAACTTGCATCCTGTTAAGCGGAGCGTGTGGTCCCCCCGCGAGAACACAATCTTCGTGGCTGCGCGTTGGTTCATGAAGGACGAGCTCGGGCCCCTCCTCGGGAAGCAGGGCTCTCAGTACTGGGCCCGCCTCGCGCGTCACCTCGAGAAGGAGAATCCCGGTTGGGTGCGCGGTGTAAACGCGCTTCAGAAGCAGTGGCGCAATCTTGTGAACATGTACAAGCAGATCAAGAAGGGGGAAAAGGCGAGCGGCAAGGGTGCCGTGTGCAAGCCCCACTGGTACCCGTACATGGCGCTTTTCCAGAACAACAAGGCGGTGGGCAACCCTCACGCCGTCGACGGTGGCGGTGCGGCACACGTCAACGTGCCGTGCGGGTACGCGGTCCCGTCCACTTCGGCGCCCTGCACCTCTACGCCGACATTCACTGGTATGTATGTGTTGCATCAACGGTGGCACTCGCGGGTTTGTTGAATGACACATTTTGTGACAACATTTTACGCACACATTACATCATTAAAATGTTTAGGGTACATAACACCTCGTCTACTGTTCGTGTGCATCCACCGTGTGTGCAGCTCCGCCGCCACAGGGAACTCCTACATCGAAGCGCCCACGTGTGGCAGAGACGGCGACGATGGCCGCTGCAAAGCTGGTGTGCGAGACGATCAAAGGCTGCCACTCAGACGCCATGAGCAGGCTCGAAGGCCTCGTCCGCGCGTGGATGGATCAGGACGCGCGTATTGCTCGGGAACGCGTGCAGCAGCCCGCACCCTCCCCGCATGTCCGCGACGACATCCCTGCCCACGCGGACAACATGACCGACTCGCACGCCGCCGAAGGCGGCGACGACGGCTGGCTTCGTCGCGGGCAGGCGGGCGAAGACCCCTCTAACCCAGATGCGGGTGAGGAGGTGTGGGTCCGCGGCGCCGCCGAGTGAGGTAAGACGACTCCATAGCCTCGCCCAGCCGCTTGCGCCTTTCACGAAGATTCTCTTGCGTGCATGGGTCACATGGCTCCCACATGAACTCTGCTACCGCGCCACGAGTCCACCATGGGTCCCGGTTTCGGGGCAAGTTTGCCCACGATGCATTGACGCGCCTTATTGCGCCCATCATTTCGCACATGTTGTGCAGGATGACGCCACAAGACGCCCCTGCAAGAATGCGCCAGAGCTTGCAGTCATTGCGGCCCGCGAATAGACGCCACCGGCCTTTGAAGGCGCCGATGCAGCGCTCTACTGCCATGCGCGTTGCGCTTTGGCAATAGTTAAAGCACTGCTCCCAGTCCTCCATTAGGCCTTCACGGGGAGCATGTAGGGGGGTCAGGCAGAAGTCTCTGAGTGGGTAGGCAGCATCTCCCACTATTTGGTATGGCGCTATGTCGCCGTTGTACAACCTTTCGTGTAACGCGCTGTTCATGAACACTCTCTGATCGTGCGCACTGCCCGGGTATCCGATCAAATAGTCCCATATGATGCCTCGCGCGTCGCATGTGATCTGCAACTGGATGGCGTAACAGGACTTCCGCGTGTAGTACTCTTGCCTGTGCCCCTCCATCCCCTTCATGGGTATGTGTGTGCCGTCTATAGCCCCCACTACCGCAGGTACCCCCTTGATGGCGCGGAACTCTGCGGCCATCTCGTCGAGGTCGTCGCGGGTCGGGAAGTGGACCCACTGCTGCTTGAAGACGGACGGGAAATGCATGAGGAGCGCGTCAACAAGCATGTGGCACAGGGTCTTGGACAGCCCGAACACGGAGGACAAGTCTACGAAAGACATGCCACTTGCGAGGTATTTGATAGGTACAAGGCATGCCACTTCATGACTGATTAGGTCCCTGTCCACGTACGGTTGCATGTAGTGCGTCATCCCGGCGACAATGTATTCGAGAATGCCACGGTTTATGCGAAACATATCTCTGAACTGATCCTCCCCCATGCCGTCCAGGTCCTCTAGCAGCAACTGGTATCTCCGCCGGCGTAGCCCAGCCCTTCGTTTCCGCTCTGCGGTACGGTTGGAGGCGCGAGAGCTGGATGACGAGGACACCTCGTCATTTAAGACGTTCGCCTCCAGCAAGCCACCGACCGACTTGGCGATGGCGTCCATGAATATGCTGTAGTAGAACGTAACCCATGCGACAAGTAGGCGCATGAGGAATGGCACCTCGCGGGGCGATGCCATGGTTGCTAGACAGTGGTGCAGTTTAGCTCTGTGATGCTTGCGTTTTTGTACTTGGAGCCGTGGTTGTATACATGCTGTTGTGTGTGGGGTGGCCCAAATTGCAACTTTCATTTTTGTGGCAAGCCCACCGCGATACTCGAGGTGGTGCGATATGTTTAGCCCCCCTGCCCGGCGGGAAAACTGGGTGGGCACAATCCTATTGGTCGCAACCAATAGTACGCACCCACCTGGCTGTGCCCATCTGTCGCGCAGGGTCGCGATACATTGGTTGTTTGTGACACAACATTTGGCAAATTTACAGGCGCGACTCGGGAAAACGGGGATTGAGACACAAGTGTCCCCACAGGAATGTACCCTTACCCTGGTAACACAAAATTGGTAGAATATACAACAATTGGTCAACGATCTCTTGATCAATCATCAACGCCTCTGCACCGCATCCTTTACTCCATATCAGAACAACAGGGTTATCCTTTGTATAAAACATATTAAATAAAAGTGTATGTTGTAAACCACAAGGACTATGTCCTTTTACTTAAAGGAATCCAAGTAGCATTTATTTGTAGTCCATGCAAAAATGCAACGATGTTTTAGTGATGATTGCAATGCTCATTTGCGGTGTGTTTCTCACTACTAGTAAGGGACCGGATGACCAGTGTCGGGGACTTGCGGAATGGTTCCATGATTGCGTGTTCTTGGAAGCTGCGCCGTGTCGACGGCGCAAGCATTCCCCCTCAACCTCCTCGTTTCACGCAAATTGGACCCCCATCACCGGCGGCGACGCGCCGCCTGCGGTGTTGACGGAGAGGCGCAGTGAATGGGCTCCCTGCCTGCTGCGAGTCGGCTCAAGTCAGCGAATGTGTGTTGTACACCGCAGAGTCGCAGACAGGCGTTGTTGCGTTGCGACTCGCCCGTGGAGGAATCCAGGTTTGCGCAAGGACGACGACGAACGCCTGGTTGACTTCGTCCAATGAGAACTCAACGCCAAAATATTGTCGCAGGTTCAAATTCACACGGACTTGGGGAAGACGGTCATGTCACACGATTGCACCATCCATTTTCGAGCGCTCCACTCTGTGCAGGCAGCGGGGGGGCGAGGGGAGGGGAATGTCTGTGCAGGCGGAGCGCTCAACTCGCACCATTATCAAGGCGCAACATAGCCAGCTACCTCTGGATGAGGTAACCAAAGGGAATGAGTACCAATCTAAATCCCGCGCACCGGATACAGGGATCAAGCATGTCAGTGCAAGGACATGACACACGAGGAAACCAAGCCCTGTGCTCGTGTCCCTCCCCTCTGCCTTTACAGAGCACTTCCTATCAGCCACCCTGGAATTGAGCTTCCCAAGGGAGGCACCTCCCACCTAGGTGTTTGTCCCGTCACGTGTTGAGCACTGACTCAACTCACAATTTACAATACATCATGCAGAGGCTTTGAGTTCAGTTGTTACTTGTTCGCAGCTGGCGATTTACAATTTACTTACTAGCTCGTCCATTTGCTGGGAAAATATGGTAGACGTTTCATCCGAGGAGTTGTGAGCAAGAGCTGTAATTCGCGAACCTGTTCTTCCTTCTCGTTGTTGTCACGTGCGATCCGATGTCAGAAGGGCGTGGGAAATTATACACCATGAGCTCCACCTGCGTCTCGGGAGTAGGGCCTCATCGGCCCACCCTGTCGGAAGCAGCAAACGCACGCGCAGCAACGTGGCACAACGTGTTAGCGAACGCAATACTCTTGCTGCTTCTGACTTTTCCCTTAACCGCGAGCGCAGCGGACTGGGCGACGATTGGAAAGAAGCTGGATCCAACGGGTCAGATCCTGGCGTCCTGGATGAACGGTGGTAATCCTTGCGCCGAACCTCCTTTCCTAGTAAGACGAGACGCTTGGTTTGGGACGGAGTGATGAATGATGATCTGCTGCGCAGTGGCTCAAAACCAGGACCACACACACACTGTTTGTCCCTTTCCGTTCTTCTGACAGCAGTTTCTGTTAGAATCTACCGAGTTTAAGCTGCTCCTTTACACTAGCACTCCTTCCTCCCACTCGTCCTCCCCGGCTTCTTTCTCCGCAGGGCGTGCAGTGCGATTCAGAGGGGCGCGTGCAGTCCATCTCGCTGGTGAATCGCGACCTCGTCGGCAGCGTGCCGGACGAGCTGTCGCAGGTGAACGAGCTGATCAGCCTGAACCTGGACCAGAATAAGCTCACGGGGGGTATTCCCAACACGCTTAATAACCTCGTGCACCTGCAATCCGCGTCGATATGCTGCAACCTGCTCAGCGGGCAGATCCCGGACTTGAGTCCCATGACAGCGCTCAACCTGCTGCATCTCGATGGCAACTTCTTGCAAGACGCCATTCCTGAATCTCTTGCCAATCTACTCCAGGTAATGATCGTCTTTATCCATTTATTTATTTATAGAGTCTCGACTCTGCCTATGCTTTTACCCGCTTTCGCTTTTTTGTCCATCGCTCGCCGTCACTCCGCTTCCCTTACCCTCCCGCTTGCCCTCGTTCGCCTTGTCTCTCCTGCCGCGCCGATTCCCCAGCTTAAGGACCTTCAGCTGAACAACAACCACCTGTCGGGTACAGTGCCTTCCGTGCTCGGCAATCTCCAGGCGCTCACCGTGCTGCGCCTCGACCACAACTACCTCAGCGGCACGCTGCCGTCCTCGCTGTCGTGGCTCGTCACCACCCCCAACGCCGTCTTTAACTTCACCGAGAATCTCTCCGACTTCTGCGGGCCCGCAGGGCTCGGCGTTCCGGTAAGCACTTGACGGCAGTGGAAATTGGGGACAGTGATAGGGAGGAAGTGGTGCGGCGAGAGCGGAGTGTCGACGTGTGCGTTTTTTCTTCTTCTTTCTGACACGTCTGCAAAGTATTGGATGGAAACGTCACCGCTATCATCTTATAACCTTCGTTTGCCTGCGAATCGTTGTGCCATAACTTCTCCCCCTCCCTTCCCCCCAACACCAGCTCTGCCCCGACGATCCCAATTACGTTCCCCCCGGCACTGCTGCGCCTCCATCTGCGCCTCCCTCCGAAGCACCGCCGTCCAGCCCCTCTCCGTCTCCCGTCCCCCCCGCCCCCCCCGCCCCCCCCGCCCCCTCCGGCGGAGAAGCGCCCCCGTCCAATCCTCCTCCCGCACCTACCCCCGACTCTTCCGGATCGTCAAATTTATCTCCATCCGATTCCGCAAGCGGTGGTGGCAACAGCTCCAGCAGCAACAGCAGCAGCAGTAGCGGCGGGGGCGGAGTTAGCATAGCGGTTATCGCGGGCGTGGCCGGGGGCGTTGCGGCTCTTTCGGTGATGGGGTTGTTCGCGTGCTACTGTCTGCGCGCGCGCAAGCGGAAGACTGTGGTTAACGCCGCTGCGGGCGGGGCGGCGGGCGGGACGGGAGAGGCTGCGGAGATGATGGAGAAAGGGCAGGTCGCCGCGATGGTTCCTGGCAAGGCAAGTACAGGGTGCAGAGGGTTATGTCGGTTGCTTGATGTGGGGAGTCGATGCAAACGGGAGAAGTGAGGCATGAGGAGAGAGCGGTAAATGGGTGGAATAAGGCCGGGAGTTGCAGAACGGAGGGAGAAAACATTGGTAGTGGGGGTTGAGGCGAGCAAAAGAAAGGGGTTGTTTCTTCGCATTCAGCCCTGCACACGAGCAACTTAAAACTTTTACTTGCTTTTTGATGTGAATTTGTTTCTTGTGCTCTTGACAGGGCGGGAGCGCGGGCAAAGCGGGAGCAGCGGCGCGCATTGCGTCCATCAAGAAAGCGAGCGCAAGCGCAGAAGGCGGAGCCAGTGGTCGCAGGGGCGTGGGAGGGTCTGGTCGCGGTGGTGCAGACGCAGCACCCGGAGCGGTGGACATCGGTGCTGGCGCGCAAGCCAACAGCCGGCCATCGCCAATAACGATAACGGTTGAAAAGGCAGGGGCAGCAACGGGAGATGTCACAGCGCCGTTGATTTCCGCTACTGGGGGAACAGCGTCTGGCGGAGGGGGGGGAGGCGCAGGAGCAGCGGCGGGGGCAGTAGCAGGCGTTGCTGCTGCCGCCGCAGCTGTTGGCGTGGGCGCGGCTGTAGCAGCAAGTCAGGATAAGCGGAAGAGCAGTCCCAAGGAGCCGAGCAGCATCCGCGGAAGCAGCAGCGCTCGCAGCAGCACGGATGGGGAGGAGGGTGGTGGAGCGAGTGCAAGTGGCAGAAACGGACGTCCCTTGCCGCCCGGGATGAGTTGGTCTAAGGGCAGCGGGAGGAAGTTTGTGGATGAGAGCGACGAGGAGGATAACCTGTCCAATCAGAAATTCTTCCCGCCCCCACCGCCCCCGCCTCTTATATCCCCCCCATCCTCATCTCCGCCCTCCGCCTCTAAAGCCTCCGCCGCCGCTGCAGCTGCTGGTGGTGCTGGTGGTGCTGGTGGGGGAAAGTCACCTTTCACTCCCCCGCAGCCCCTTCCTCCCCTGACGTCCACCCCCTCGTCTGTTGCTGCCAGTTTGGAGAAGCAGTCGTCTCCTCGTCCGCCTCTTCCGCCCCCTCCGTCGTTCGGCCATAAGCAGCCTGCGTCCCCTCGTCGACTGTCTGGGGATTCTCCCAAAGCTGCTGCTGACGCTTCTGCTGCAGTAGCGTCTGCTGCTGGGCCTGGTTCTGGAACTTCGTCTCCTGGTGCTGTCACTGGCGCTGGTGCTGGCGGTGCTTCGAAGGCAGGTGGGAATACTGCTGCGGCGGCGGCGGCGGTCGCGGCGGCAACAGCTGCAGTTGCTGCCGCGGGCGCCGCTGCCTCGAGTCCCAAGGCCCGTAGCTCGTCTCCGAGTCGCCCCGCTGTGGTGATTCCCCCAGTCGTCCCGCTTCCCACGCTCAAGTCCCTGAATTCTGGGAAGAACCCGCGGGGTGCCTTGGGGCTGTCTGGTGCATCTGGTGCTGCAGCAGGCAATTCGGAAGGAGACGCGGCGGATAGGAATAGGGGCAAGGAGGCAGAGAGGGGCGGGGAGAAGGGAAAGGCTGGGTCAGAGAAGCCTTCGGCTCCTGCTGCGGTGGCGGTGGGAGTGGCGTATGGCAACGCGGGGAGAGCCCTGAGAGCGGCTGATCTAGATCTTGACGAGAAGGGCGCGGGTGGATCCGCCACGGGGGATGGCAGCAGCGTAGGGGGAGACGACGACGGCAGTGACACGGGAGGGGCTGCGGGCAGCGGCGCTGCTGCATCCGCCGCTGCTGCTGCCGGGGGTGCTGGTGCTGGGTTGGGCCGCGCTGGGGTGTCTCGAGGAAAAGCAGGATCAGGGCGAGAGCTTGGCAGTCCTGGTGCTGGGGGCGGGGGCACGTGGGCGGGGGGGTCGGACGCGGCGTCTGAGGCGTCAGAGGAGAGCGGCAAGGGCGGGTGGGAGCGCGCGTTTTCGTTCTCGGAGCTGGCACTGGCGACGAACGACTTTGGGGCGCGCGGGCAGCGGAACGTGGTGGGGCAGGGGCGCAATGGGACGGTGTACAAGGCGAGACTGCCGGATGGCACCACTGTTGCTGTCAAGCGGCTCAGCAATAACAAGTATGTGCTGTCGCTCTCATGGGCCTTCCTTCCATCCTGCCCCTCTCTTTTTTCCGTTTGGAGTGTTTTTCGGCCCTTGCTGTTGTCGCTCCGTCGTTTCCCACCGTCTCCTGCTGGCCCTAGTCCCCGCTTACGCTCCCACTTTCCTGACCCTCTTCCCACCCTCCCTCCCGCTCTCCCCCTTCCCCTCCCTCCTGACCCTCCCCGCTGTTACCGCGCCCGTTGCGCGCGCCACCAGTCCGGACCAGACAGTGCGCGAGTTCCGCTTCGAGGCGGACGCCATGGCGCACGCGCGGCACCCGAACGTGGTGGCGCTGCTGGGGTGCTGCGCGGAGGGCGACGAGCGCATGCTCATCAGCGAGTTCGTCCCCAACGGCTCTCTCGAGCTCTGGCTGCACGGCGCGGGCGCGGGCGCGGGGGGCGGCGCGTTTGGCGCGGGCCCCGCGGAGCCCATGGAGTGGCCGCTGCGCGTGCATGTGGCGCTGGGATGCGCGCGAGGGTGAGTGCGGTGCTGTGGGGTCCTGTGTGTGTGTTTGTTATGGTGGCTTGTGTGTATGTGAACTGGTTCTGTATGTGTGTGCGATTGGGAGTTTATGCCGGGCTTAAGCAAACCACTTCACACCTTGCAACCCTTTCCTTCCCCTACATCTCTCCCCGCCCTCGCTCTATCCTCTCCCGTCCGTGCCCTCTGCTCTGGCAGTCTGGCATACCTGCATGAGGGCACGGACGTGCGGGTGGTGCACAGGGATGTGAAGGCCAGCAACGTGCTGCTGGACGCGCAGTGGAACCCCAAGCTGGGCGACTTTGCACTCGCCAAGATCATGGCCAAGGAGCAGACGCACGCCGCCACTCGCGTCGTCGGCACGTACGGGTGAGTACTCATCGCCAGTCCCTTATCATCCTCGTCACCTTCAGATGTATATGCTTCGAGGATAGGTCTCGGCTTTGCTTCTTCTGCCACACCCTGTAGTTGGCTGTTGTGTTCCAGGGCCGTGTTTTGTCTCCGTCTGTCCACTTGGTCCAGGTGGACTGCTGGTCACGGGCAGAAGAACTTACCTCTGCACCACTTTTTCTCTCGCAACCCTCTTCCCCGCAGCTACGTGGTGCCAGACTACCTGAACACGGGCATTCTCACGGAGTGAGGTCTCTTACTCAATCACTGAAAAACACCCTTCCTCTTCCCCCATCTCTACCTTCCCTACTCACTCCTTCTGCAGGTACGTGGCGCCAGAGTATCTGAACACGGGCATTCTCACGGAGCGCAGTGACGTGTACAGCTATGGCGTGCTGCTGCTGGAGCTCGTCACGGGCCGACGCCCCATCGATAACCACCTGCCGCCCGAACAGGTAGAGGGGAAAGGGAGAGAGAAGGGGATGGAGTGAGAGGGAGATGGAAAGGTGGACTTGCTTTGCTGCTGGGGCTGCTGGGTTGTGGTGGTCATGCATGGAGAAGAGCCTTGGGAATTGTGATGCGGCAAACTCAGCTGCTCATGTGCTGCTTACAGTCGAGCTGCTGCAAGCTTCTTTGCTGTTTGGCTTCTTCAGCCCGCCCCCACACATCCTCCACCTAGCCGTGGCTCATACTCACCCCACCTCTTTTCACTCCCTCTGATGTTGCCATTGCCTGTGATGGCAACGCTGCGATGAATACTGCCACAGGTGGACGTGGTGCGGTGGGTGAAGCGGCTGGCAGCAGAGGAGCGAGTGGGCGAGGCACTAGACCCGCGCATAGCGGGCACGGTACCGGCAGACGATGTGGAGTACGTGGTGGGCATCGCACTGCGCTGCATCGATGCTAATGCGCTCAAGCGCCCGCGCATGAAGCAGATCGTGCACATGCTCGAGAGCGAAGACCCAGCGCTGGTGGGTTGAGTGAAAAGGGTATCTGGTTTTGCGTGGAGTCAGGGAGGGGTTGTGGGCTGGGGTGGGGTTGAGGGTGAGTTTGTTCTGCAGTTTGTCCTTGTTCAAGTGCTGGTTGAGGCTTGTCCATGTGCATGCTCTGTTTGCAGTTGTGCTGCTGCTGCTGCTGCTGCTGCTGCTGTCTGCAGTGTGCTGCGCCTTCTCCACATTTTCTTGCTTGCTAACTTGTATCTTTGCTCAAATCACTCAACCAGTCAATACTTTTGTCCTCCCATGTGCTGCACTGGCAACAACAGAGAGACGGCTGGGTGGCAAAGAGGCCGACTCCTGCTAGTGCCAAGGCGCTACGTGATTCCAGTCCCTCATGGTACCACCGCAACGCTGCCTCAGACTCCCCTGCAGCACCCTCCTCCGCCATGGCGATTTCCCGAGCCAGCCCTCGAGGCTCCAGCCCCCGGTTCGGCGGGGCAGGTCCGGGGATCCCTGCGCCTGGTTCGGCGCGCGCAGCAGGCACGAGGCACACGGACATGCTTCGCTCGGGCAGCCCGAGGAATTTCGTCGGCGGCGCCACGGGCAGCAGCCCGAAGGCAGCGGATATTGGCGGGATGATTGCGTCAGCTGCCATGAAAGCAGGTGTGGTGGGTGGAAGTCCTCGAGCAGGTGGGTATATAGGGTACAGCCCCACTAGAAGCGGAGGGGCGGTACCAGTTTCACCCCCATCAGCCAGGAATGGCGGTGGTGGTGGTGGTGGTGGTGCTTCTGCAGGGGGGGGATCAGCAAGGGTGGGTGCAAGCCCACCAAAGGTTCCTGCTTATGCACAGGGAGGAAGCCCCTCTGCTGCCCGGCTTGGTGGTGTGGGAATGGGAGCTGGAGGGATGAGGGGAGGCAGTCCAGGGGGTGCAGGGTACAGAACTGGCTCCAGTCCGAATGCGCCATTGTATGGGGTGGGTTCCGGAGGGGTGTATGGGCAAGGAGGGTCCGGCAGGGGTGGGGATGGTGGCGGTTCTGGTGATGGCATTATTTCAAGTCATGCAATGAGTATATCCACGACAAGGGGATTGGGAGGCTGGAGTAGGCGGTAGGGTTAGCATTGAAGATTGACTGGGATGATATGGGAGACACGAATTTCAGATCTCAGGATTAATGCTTGGGTTCTTGCTTTGCTAGGGACAAATAGTCCATTTCTGCTGATTATCCTTTGTAGTGCTGTATTTGTCTGAAATACAAAGGCTTGTCTTTTATGATAAGTCTCTCGGTCTTGTACATGTAGGGTCTTGGTAATGTCGCGATAACAGCCATCGTTTTTCGAGCGCACGTGAAGCAGCCAACAGAGCTAGTGGTTCGATTTGCGAAAACCAGCGCACAGCTGGACCTTGGCAGCGTGAATCCAGCTCAGCCTTGCCCGCGTGGAGCCCTTACAATACATTTTGAATCAGCAATGCTGTGGATATGCCTACGTATGACGTCGAACGTCAACGACCTGCGCGCGATGGTATCTGTCAAATGTATCATGCTGGCACGGCGCGCTCCAGCATGCTGTGATTCTCGACTCGCCAGACCACCACGTCATCACGGATTTACTCCGCAATTTGCCCCTCCTCCGCCATGTGCCCCCGGTCCCTCTGCTTCATGCCATCCCATTTCTCAATGCCAATGCCGGCGCAAGTTCTTATTGCTCTAACGTGCCGCATTTCTTGCATCGAATTCCAGATTTTCTACCAAGCCAAGAATCAGACAAGCTAACTCAGAACGCTAGTAGCTCCTTTTTCATTACTACCAGTTTCTATATTTTCAAGAGCAACGTGTCCAGCATTTTCTCCTAGCTTCCGAAGCTCGCGCTATCGTCAACCCAAAGAAGCACTATCTCGCACAGTTGCAGATATTTCTTCCTCCAGGCACCTCTGCGTCTTCTCCCCTTCCTCCGCCTCCTCCCTGTCTTCCCTTAACCTCCTCTCATTCCCTCCACCTCCTCTCCTTCTTCCTCTCTTCGGGTCAAGCGAAAACAAGAAGAAGCCTCACGTGTCGTGAATCACGCGCACGCGTGGAGAGTCGAGAGAACGAGCAATGGCGCAGCCGCGCAAGTTCCTGGTGGCGGTGGACGACAGCGAGGTGTCGGCGTACGCGTTCACGTGGGCCATCACCAACCTCTTCCGCCCCGCCGACTCCGCGCTCGTGCTCACCGCCAAGAACTACGCGGCCGACATGCCGCTGCCCACCGCCGATATAGCCGCTGGGGGTGCGCGCAGTTTACTCGAACGCTTTTTTTCCGCTTTGCTTGTTACCTGCTGCTATTCGGTTTTCATCAGTTCTGTATCCTGCCACTGCTAGTACCGCCGCTCTGCCGCCCATCCCCCTCCTTCTCCTCCCCCGCTTCCTTCTCCGCGCCTCAGTATATTCTCTTCTCTCATCTTCTTCTCTTCTCCCTCTCCTCTTCTCCTTCTATCTTCCCTTCTTTCTCCTTTGTTTCCCGCTCGTCGCATCTTTTCCTTCTCTCCTTGTGGGCGCGGGCGCGCGGCAGGCGAGTACGCGGTGCCGCTGGTGGCGCCAGTGTCGCCGGAGGAGCAGCTGGCGGTGGAGGAGCGCGCGCGCGCGCTGGTGGACAAGTACATGCGCCAGTGCGAACAGGCCAAGGTGACGTGGACTGTGGCGTGCCACGTAGACTGTAGCCCACGTTGACGTGGACCGGGGGCATTGGTTTGGGTAATGAATAAAACCACCAGCTGTCTTCAATCAATTTTATCAATTTGAGAGATGCATATAGATTCTCTCTCTCTCTCTCTCTCTCTCTCTCTCTCTCTCTCTCTCTCTCTCTCTCACACACACACACACACACACAGACACACACACACAGACACACACACACACCCACTCACTCACTCACTCTGGTGCGCTCTCTCCCACGCTCACTCACTCGTTCTCAATCCGTCGCAGGTGGTGAGTGAGGGCGAGGTGGTGCAGGGCGACCCCGGGCCGCACATCGTGAGCGAGGCAGCGCGCGTCGCGGCGGACGCGCTCGTCCTGGGCAGCCATGGCCGCGGGATCCTCGGCAGGTGCGTGGGGGAGGAGCGCAATGGGGAGATGGCCGGGCAGGAGATGGAGATGTGGGGGAAGGATGGGTGGGGAAGGTGGCGGGGAGTTGCCAAGAAGAGAGATTGGTGTCCCTTTTCCTCTTGGACGGCTTGTGGTGATGAACATGTTGTGGCCAGAAATGGGATTGGCGCATTGGCAGCTAACAGAAGAAAGGGCGCTCAGCTGGTTATGTAATTTGAGTTAAATCCTCGGCAATATGTTCTCATGCTGGCTCGTTTGTGTGGTGTGCGCTGATGCGGCATGTGTGCAGGACCTTTCTGGGCAGCATTAGTGACTATGTGCGCCACCACTCCACCGGTATGCTGCTCGCTCTCTGCTCCACACTCTCGCCTCCTCACTCTCGCCTTCTCACTCTCGCCTCCTCACTCTCTCTCTCCCCCTCACTCTCTCTCGTCGACCTCCCCTCCCTCCTTACTCTTTTCTCTCTCCTCCCTCCTCTCGTCTCAAGCGCTCGTCACTCCACTCACGCCTCTCGCGCTCTCCCCTCCCTTCCCTGTCCCTCGTCTTCCCCTCTGTCTCCGCCCGCATCGTGTCCCCCTCCTCCCCCCACCTCTTGCACCTAACCCCACCTCCGCCACCTCCCCCTGTCCCCAGTGCCGGTGGTGATCGTGCGGCAGCCCAAGGCGGGGGAGGCGGCGCACGACGCGCTCACGAGCTCGGGCATGGCGCGGCGGATCGTTGTCGCCGTGGACGAGAGCAGTGAGGTGCGCACTATGCGGGGTCGGAGAGGGAGGGGGCGGGGAGAGAATTGGGGGAAAGGGACGGGGAGGGGGAGAGGAACGGGGAGGAGGGGAGGGCGTGCGGGCGGGATGTGATAATGATGACCAACGATACGCAACGCTGAACCGCTTGTTAACCCTCTCTGTGACCCTTCCTTAATTCTCTTAACCCTTCTTTAAACCCGCGGTAACCCCCCTTGCGTGGGTGGCGGCAGGCGGAGTTCGCGTTCGCGTGGGCGATGCGGCACGTGGTGCGCGACGGCGACCGCCTCACGGTGCTGCACGTGCAGAACCCCATCGCCGCGCCCACCTCGCTCGGCATCGGTACGCCCGCCTGGCCTCGCATGGCTTCGCATGGTTTCGCATGGGTTCTCATGGGCTGATGTAGGCTACTGGCCTGGGTGCTTCCGGCTTTTTCAATCCCCGCGCGCAATTCCATTCGCAATCGCATCTTGATGCCCTGTGTTCCCCCCGCCCCGCCCCGCCCCTTCCCTCCCTGTGCTTGCGCGCTTGCCGTGTGGGCAGCAGACTGGTCGGACCAGTTCGGCATGGGGACGTGTGCATGCCGCCTTCTGAGACGTCTCACAAAACGCATCTTGATGCCCTGTGTTCCCCCGCCCCGCCCCGCCCTGCCCCGCACCAGTCCCCGGCAGCAGACCAGTTCGGCATGGAGGACGTGTACATGCCGCCCAACACGAGCAACCGTGAACTTATCCGCAATTGCATCCGCACCCCTTGTGTTCCCCCCGCCCTGCCCCGCCCCGCCCCGCCCCGCCCCGCCCCGCCCTGCCCCGCACCTGTCCCCGGCAGCAGACCAGTTCGGCATGGAGGACGTGTACATGCCGCCCGACACGAGCAACCGCGCCAACGTGCGCGCACTGGACGACAGCGAGAAGCTCGTCGAACGATTCATGGGGCTCGTCGCCGCTAGCAGCAAGGTGGGACGCGGGGGGAGGGGGGGTGGGGGTGAAGGGGGGTTGAGTGGGGGAGAGGGGGAGGAAGGGGGATGGGGGGATGAGTGGGGAGGAAGAGGGGTGCAGGGGAGTAGAGGGGGGTTGGAGTCATGTATTTGCCGGTTTTGTGCAAATTCGTTTTGCCCTCACGTGCTTGAGTTTCTCCTGTTTCTCATACCTTCTCTTGCCATGCATTGCCTTGCTGAATCCTGGATGTGGTGTGGTGTGGTGTGTGATGGGATGGGATATGACATGCATGGGTGGCGTGGCGTGGTGTGGTGGTGGTGGTGGTGCATGTGTGCACGTGTGCATGTGTGCACCACACTGCCGTCACACAGGCGGAGTGCGAAGGCAGGGTGGTGATGGGTCCCACGGAGGAGCGACTGGTGGAGGAGCTCAAGCAGCTCACCGCTGACCTGGCTGTCGTTGGCACGCGCGACCACGACGTCATCTCCCGGTGCGTGCACGTGAAAATGTGCATGTGCATGTGTATGTGTATGTGTATGTGTGCAGAAGAAATGTGGCCACTCGGGACTCATATGCAGCGCAATGAGAGGAACATGCGCCCGACGAAAAGGAACAGACGAGGAAAGCACGTAGTATCTCTCCTAACTGATTTCCAACACATTTGTGAGCTTCAGGTTCAACTTTGCTTCCGTCTCCTGCCCTTTCCTAACCTCCATTCCCCCTTTCCTCCTCCCCTTTGGACCCTTCTTTCTTGGCCCATCCCTCACAGCACGTTCTTGGGAAGCGTCAGCGACTATCTCGCACACAACTGGTAATCACCCTCTCCCGCTTTTCCTTCGATCCCCAGCACCACGCCTCGTGCCCATAACTCCTCTTTCCTGATTCCACTCCTCCCTCGACCACCTCACACCGCTCCCTTCCTCTACGTTCCACTCCCTCCTGCCCCATCACCAATCGTCTTCCATCCTCTCATCCCTTCCACCCCTCTCTGTCCGTCTCCTGCTCAAAACCTTCCCTTCCCCGACCCCTGCCCTCTCTGTTTCTCCCTCTTCCCCCCTGCCGTCAGCCCGTGTCCGCTGGTGGTAGCCAAGATGCCAAAGCCCGCATCTCGCCCGGGATCCACCCAGGCCTCTCCTCGTGACTCCCACCAGCACGCCATCTGACTCCCACCGCCCCACTCCGCTGCTGCTGCTGTCAGCGCTGCTGTGAATGACCTTGGGACACGTGGCAGTTTTCGTTGTTGTGGAGCCGCGTTAAGTATGAGGAGCAGCCATGGCAGCTGCTGCTTGGTTAGAATCTCCCGTGGAAGTAATAGCCTCGAGATCAGCAGCAACAAGGGGTGGGGACGTGAGTGCATTTCCTTAGCATCCTCGAAAGGAGAGAACATCATATCCCACGTTGGAACAGTTAGAATGGCGACAACTGTCCTCCCAAATCCAGCTCAAGCCTTGGGACTATCTTGCTGCCACCCCCTCTATCTCCCCTCGCTCACTTTTCATCCGTTGGCCAAGACCCCGAGCTCAGCTCTTCTTTTTCGCCCTGCGCAGTTAGCCCGCCCGTCTCAAACCCTCAATGCATCGCTGTGTGCTTCTTTTGCCAATCCCCTGCTGGTGCCCTTCATTTGACTTGCCACTGCTGCTTTGCCATCACGTACTTACCATACGTGTACCCCCCTCCCCCTGCTGCAGCTTCTCTCACTTGCCTCTCAGTGATGTTGCAGTGCATGTTGGACAGTGTTATATGCTGCTGTGTATATGTGTTATTGCTCTTGCTTGTTCCACTCTTTGTTGGTTCTGGATATATTTTCTGCTTTTGGAGTAGGCATATCTTGCAAGCAAATTAACATTCCTGAATCTCGCTTAGACCCATAAACGAGTTAGAGTCGACACTGGCACTAGCCTGAGGCCTTCTCCTAATCTTTATCACAATTTCGTTCTGCCGCAAGAGCATTTGAAGAACCAAATCAGATGCTATTTTGAGAACTGTATGTCTAATATCATTTGACACTGTACACAAGCCCTTACTGAAGTCCTTCAGGCCCAAATAGGCGGTCGCCCTCGAGCCGATCCTCTCCAATCGTGACCATCCATCCATTTTCAGGCATTTGCGACGCCTCACTCCACTCACCCTACGGAACCCTACTTGTTCCAGCTCGCATTTCCCCTTCGAGATCGATCTCCTTTCCTGTGTCCTTGTGCTGCTGTCTTCTGGATCGGTCTTCTAGGGCTGCTCCATCCTCGTCAGGGTTTCTGAACCTTTCTTAGAACGCAGAATCAGGCCGTTTTCTGACATCCTGCTTACTTCTGACCCTTTAGAGCTCCCAAGTGAACTGTTTGACGGGTCGGATTTGTGTAGGCAATTCGACGATTAAATTGTCGCTTTCCGATCTGACTGCCGTTTCTATTTTAACTCGCCTCGCAAGCCAGCATGACCGATTTCGATGAATACGAGTATCTGGAGAAGGCGGTAGAGCAGGGAGTCGGAGGGGAAGAGGAGGGCGGAGAGCAAGCTCCAGAGGGCGAGGAGCGAAGGAAAAGGGAAGGTGAAAACGGTGCGGGAGAGGACCAGGAAGACGAGAACCGGAGCAAACGCTCTCGTCGGGACGACGACAAGGAGAGGGACCGAGACAGAGATCGCAGCGGGAAGGATCGCGACAGAGACCGTGACAGGGAGAAGGACAGGGATCGCAGCGGGAGGGACAAAGATCGGGATAAGGAACGGAGCGATCGGCACCGCGACAGGGATCGGGACCGCAGCGACCGTGGAGATCGGGATCGCGACAGGGATCGGACTCGCGAGCGGGAAGGACACGATCGGCACCGGGACAGGGACCGTGATCGGAGGAGAGGAGACAGAGACCGTGATTACGAGAGGAAGCACAGAGAGTCCGGGTAAGGCGTGTGATTAGTAATTGTTTTGTCGTTTTGTGTAATTAGGGAGTTTGTATCGAGGCTTTATGTGAGACGTCGTACCGAAGTTCTCTTTTTTGCGTAAGCAGTGAACACAAGTGTCCCTGTTGTTGATAGTCATGATAATCTCGCCGAGCAGCAGATTGCACCTTCTCTGTCTGTAATGGTATCGCAGTGTACCAATCGTGCCAATTTCGCGAGACTGGTTACATGCTTTACCTGTTTGCCTTGTTCTCCGCTGACGACGTTGCAGGCGGGACAGTCGGCGAGAGAAAAAGGACAAGGAAGCGGAGCTAGAGCTCGACCCCGAAAGAGATCAGCGCACCGTGTTTGCCTACCAAGTATGCCGATTAAGTTTTTACAATGTCATGCCTTTGCGTATTGGCAGAGTATTGCTTTTCAGCCGTGGTTCTATGGCAGTTCCCCTCATGTGGTTCTCCATTTTTACTGTGTCCTTGTTGCAGATCAATTTGAAGGCGGATGAGAGGGACATCTACGAGTTTTTCACTCAAGCCGGCAAGGTGAGCGAATGTTCATGCTTTTCCTACAGCATCATCTGCGCGATTACTTGAAACTTGCCTTACCTCGTTGGTTTTGCTGCAGTTCCTTAGCCTACTCTGTACTTTTGAAACGAGTTGTAGAGTGCGACGACATCGTCCACCCTCACGTTTTCCCCGGTCGCTGCAGTCTTCGCCTTTCCAAACTCTGACTTCGCCTTGCCTCATCTCTTCGTTGTGTCGCTCTTTCGTTTTCCTCGTCTGCTCGTGTCTCAGGTGCGCGACGTGCGTCTCATCATGGACCGTAACTCTCGCCGTTCCAAGGGTGTCGGGTCAGTGTCTTTCCTTCGCCCTCCTTTGTCTATCTCCTTAGGTCCCCACCCCGTAACTCCCCCCCGTCCCTTTGGTCAACCCTTTCGCCCTCCGACTAAGCTTTCTTTCTCCTCATTCTCCACCTCTCTCTGCCCTAGCATTGACAGCTGAAAGCCTATCTCGCTCTGTCCTTTCGTCCCCGCTTTTTCGTCAGCCCATTTCGTCTCTTCCTCATATCCTTTCTCTCTTTACCCCCTCCCCCCCCCTGCCTTCTCCCCTTCTCCTTCCCTCTCCTCTCTCTTCCCGCGGGCGCAGCTACATCGAGTTCTACGACGTGATGTCGGTGCCCATGGCCATAGCGCTGTCGGGCCAGCTGCTGCTGGGGACGCCCGTGATGGTCAAGCCGTCCGAAGCGGAGAAGAATCTCGCGGCGCAAAACCCGCTGCCCGTCGTCGCGGGCATGGGCGGCCTCCCGGGCGTGGCGGGCGCGGGGTTCCTGGTGCCGAGCCTCACAGCGTCGTCGCGGAAGCTGCACGTGGGGAACCTGCACGTGAACATGAACGAGGAGCAGCTCCGCCAGGTGCGTCCGCGTCCGCGCACACGCGCGCGCGCGCGCGGTTTATTGGGTCTTCGGCGCTCGGGCTGCTGCTGAGTCTGGGCGGGCGAAAGTGTTCGGGATGGGGAAGGGGGCGGGGAACCGGGATCAGGGAGTTGGGAGTGGGGTGGAGAAGGGCACGGTGTGACTAGCAGGGCCGAGGATGGGATGAGATGAATGGGCACGTTTGCAGCACGTATCTTCCCCTAGCATGAAGCTTCTCTCTCCTTCATTCCCTAATGCCCGTCCCCCCCCTCTCCCACCCGATATCCCCTCCCCGCTTTGCCCATCAACCACCGTTGTCCGTTTCTTACCTCCCATTTCGTCGTGCTTTCCTGGCCGGGTTTTCGCACTCTTCCAGGACTTATAGTGAGCTGATGTAATCGGTCAATCTCAATTCTGTTTATCGATTGGGAACACGTTTGTGTGTTCGGATGCATTCCGCTGGGTGGTTTGCATGTGTGTGCGTGTGCATGCGTGTGTACGTGTCCATGTGCGTGTGCATGTTTGAGTACATGCAGGTGTTTGAGCCATTTGGGGAGCTGGAGCTGGTGCAAGTCCCTACAGAGGAGTCTGGAAAGTGCAAGGGCTTTGGCTTCGTCACGGTGAGTTTTTCCTGCCGCTGCTGTCCCAGGCGTCCTTTTCGGCTCCCTCTCAGCCTCCCTCGCCCCCTTCGCCCACGCTTCCGCTCCGCTACCTGCGCCTCCCTCCGTCGCCCCTCCGCCTGTTCGTCCATGCGGCCCGGCTGCCCCTTGCCAAGCACTAGCCTACCACGTCTCGTAGCACCTCAAGAGCTGTGTTTCTGATTCCAGGCGCTTCTTTCGCGCATCTTGTCTCTGCTTCCCCCCCACCTTCTTCTCTTGCCGTGTGCGCTGGATGAATGTCGCACCACAGTATGCCAAGGTGGAAGACGCTCGGATGGCCGGCAGCAACCTGCAGGGTCTTGAGCTCGCAGGACTCGCTATTAAGGTGAGGGAGAGGGGGAGATGGAGAGGGAGAGGGTGAGGAGAGAGTGTGAGGGAGGGAGTGAGGGAGGAAGGGGGGACAGGGAGGGGTTGGTGGCGAATTGACTTGTTCGCGACTTGCTTTTTATTGTAGCTAGATTTGTTACCCGTCGTTTGCCACTGCTGCTGCTGCTGCTGCTGCTGCTGCTGTTGCCGCCTTGCGCCCAGTGGTTGCGTGCTCTTACTCTGTGTTTGTCTGTGTGTTGGCCGGTCCCAGATCACTCCTGTGCCGGACACCTACGGTGTAGCTGACGCAGTGCAAGCAGTGCCAGGGCAACTGGACGAGGGCGAGGGAGGCATGGTGTGTATCCCGATACTCTTCTCTCCATCACTTGTTTGCTACTGAATTCCTGCCTTCTGTCTCTTTCTACTACATCCTCCATTGTTCTCGTTGTTGCCACAACAACCTCCTATCCCTCCCAACCCCTCCTCACTCCTTTCCACCCCCTCTAACACACCACTTCTTTCCCGTTTTGGTGGCGCAGGCTCTAACTGCGCAGTCTCGTGCAGCTCTCATGATGAAGCTTGACCGCACGGGGTAAGCCACTCTCACTACCCCTCCGCTTCTTGCTTGCCCTACTACCAGTAAAACGTAAGACTCTGCCTCACCCGTTTCCCACCACTGTCGCCCTCCCTCCCCATGTCACGGCTCACACACATCCTTCTGCGCGTGTGCTACGCTACCCCTGCTCCCACTCCCTTCCTGCGCTGCAGGGTGGCAGGTGCGCCGGTGCTGCCATCACCAGGAGTGAATCCAGCAGCCATGGGTCTTCTCAGCAGCAACCCTCTGTCCGCCATGGGTCTCCGCCCCCCCATCCTGCCTCCTGCTGGCGGCGGCCTCGCGTCCATCCCAGGGGGAGCGGCAGCTGCCGCCGCAGCAGCAGCCGCGCTTGCAGCGAATCCGCTTATCGCCGCCGCTGCCGCTGCTGGTGGGGGGACGCCGCTGCCACCTCCAGCTGCGGCTGCTGCTGCTGCTATGGCGGCAGCGGCTGCAGCTGCTGGTGGTGGTGGTGCTGCGGCGCCAGCGGCAGCAGAGGTGGTGGGGCCGCCCACGGAGTGTCTGCTGCTCACCAACATGTTCGACCCGTCTCAGGATGTATGTGTGCTCATCTCACCTGCGCATGTGCGTCGGTGCTGCTTCTCTGGGTCTTGCCTGGGTCGTCGTCTTTGTGTGCCCCCATTCCGCCACTAACCCCCCTGCCCCTCCCCTTGCCTTTGTTGTGGCTCTCTTCTCTTAGCCCTGACCTCTCGTTTATTGCTACACCCATCGCCGTTCCTCACATCCTCCTCCCTTCCCCCCCTTCTCCCCGTCCCTCCTTTCTCCCCCCTTCCTCCCCGTTTCCCCCCTCCCGTCTCCTCTCCCCTCCTCCCGTCTCCCCCTGCGACCCGCTTCCTCCTCCCGTGCGTGTGCGTGTGCCATGTGCGTGTGCGCGTGGGAGCAGATAGACGAGGAGTTTGAGCAGGACATAAGGGAGGACGTGGAGGACGAGTGCACCAAGTTCGGCCCGGTCAAGAAGGTCAATGTCGACCGGTGAGTGCCTGCCGTGCCACTCAACGCATCTCGCCCAGCTGTGCTGTGGAAGACTGCTGGGTGTATGGGGCACAGTGGGGTGCACGTGCATGGAATGGAAGGGATGGTTTTGTGCATGGATTGGTAGTGGTCATCTTCTGCTGCTGACCACTGAACACTCATGACGCGACGTGTGCATTTACTCTTCAAACCTAATTAGCCCAAGACTTTTTCTACGCCTCCACGCTGCCTTCCTTGCAGTGTCCCTCGACTCCCCTCATCCCCTATTTTTGCCACGTCCTCTTTTCCAACGCTTCGTTTCCCGCCTTCTCTCCCCCCCCTCCCCCCTCCCCCGTTTCCCCTTGCGCCATTCTGAGCAGGCACAGCAGCGGGCATGTGTATGTGCTGTTTGAGTCGGCCACGTCTGCTGCAGCAGCCCGTGCGGCGCTGCACAACCGCTACTTTGCTGGCAAGGCCATCAGCGCCACCTTCATTGTAATCACACACACACACACCCACCTCTGCCATGCTACGTGGCTGCTTCATATGTTCTTGTTCTAGCCTTTGCCATAACGCGTCCGGGGGATTGGGGGTGAAGAGGGAGATTTGGGGTTTGGGTGGGGTGCGGATTAGGTTTGTTTGCTCAAATTCTTGGTCTTTGTTTTACATTCTACTGACTTTCTTCTTTCTGTTTGTTGTTGTTTGCCCACCCTTGATCCCGTCTTGCTTCTTTGCTGCAGACTCCTGAGCAAGTGGCGGCCAAGTTTGGTGCCACGTAGCGAGTGTGCTGCTCTGTGCAGGTGCAGGAGCCAGGAGCAGGTGGAAGAGCAGATGCAGGTGCAGGTGCAGGTCTGGCAGACAGAGTAGTGGATTGAAGACACGAAGACTGGAGGTGCTGGCAATGCGATGGGAGACTTGCTGGAAGGGATGGGTTTGTATCTGCTGCTGCTGCTGCTGCACCACCGCTGTCTGCTTCTGGCTTCTGGCCTCTGGCCGAATGCCCTCATGCATCTCAAGTGCTTGGTGGCAGAGAGTCAAGTCGCCAGAGATTCGTGTTGGATCCAAGTCAAGTGAAGACCCCCCTTCTGTGTTTTCTCTTGGGCTCGTACGGGCTGCTTGAGCAGTGCTGCTGGTGCTGGTGGTGGTGGTGCGGCTGGTGGTCTTGCCGTGCCGGTGGTGGTGGTGGTGCTGCTGTCTGGCCTTCTCTCTCCCGTGCGCCTGCTGCTCTGCGTCACCTCACCACTGCTGGCTCTGCATCTGGCTGCATGCCCTTGCGATTCAAGACCTGCTGCTGCTGCTGCTGGCGTTTCTGGCATGGGGTGGCATGGCATGGCATGGCATGGCGCAGCTGCCATGTGCTTCCAAGGGTTTAGAGTGGCACCCTGTGTGCATCTGATTGCCTGCGTTTCCGTCTCCCTCCCTAGCTTCCCACTAATTTCATCACCAACCTACCATCCACGGAGATTTTTTTCGTCTCTTGTTACACTCACCTTGTCTCTTCGCTCCTTCCCATGGTTGCCCCAGGTCCTAGGCTCTTGAGAATCACGAACCTCGGGTTCTGCACCCGCCCATTTCCTGCTTGTTGGATCGATTCGATACTGTTACCCTTCCATGTCCGAAATTTGTCCCTGCACAAGCGTTTGATATGTTTTTTGCTCCAAAAACTCGTCTTGTGTGCTTGATTGGCTCCGGTGGTTGTGGTAGGCGATTTGCTGTAGTAATATTTACAAAACGGCTACAATACTAGTTCTTTTACTCTGCTGGCTAAAATTGCTGTACGGCTGGTTGGCAAGTGTAATTGGGTAAAATTTGTACCGCGACCAAGGCTTTCACTATCGAGTTATTGTTTCATATGCTTGTCACGGCAAGGATATTCGGTAGATAAACCTCCCGTGATGGCTGCTGGAGCAACAGCAGCGCCGGTTGCGCGGGCGGCCGCAAACCGTCTACTTCATCCTTATTGCGCCGTCACGCGGGCTGCGAATGCGTGCTCTAACCAGCGGATAGGCTCCCGCCTAACTAGAAGCAGCCGTTCGGCTACAGCTGATACTGGCGGGTACAATGGCAATACGAACGTCTGCGGGTGCACTTGCGGGAGGGGAGTCACCGGAAGCGCAGCTGTTTGCGGAACTGCGCCGGCACATGTTCCGCGTGCGCGCTCGGAGGTTTCCGCCAGGGCGGCTGTTACGCCTTCTGCGGGGGCCTCCATTTCTAGTCTCTGGCCGCGCAGTCATCCCCCCAGGCGATGGCGGAGTGCGCCAGCTGCAATGGGCGGGGCGCAGTCCGCGGATTCCGCCGATGGAGTAGGCGGAACTGTCGGAACTGGCGCGGAAGCCGGAACTCCCCGAATCCCCACTCCTTTCCCCCTTCCAAGCACGTTCCCTGTCCCCCTCACCTTACCTGTCACCCTCCAACAACCACCCATCAGCAGCAGTGGCAGCGACAGCAGCAGCACCAGCAGCAGCAGCGACAACGGGAGCGACGGCGCGCAGGTGGAGGAGTTGACTAGCGAGGAGGTGATCGGCGCGCTGCAGCCGCTGATCGAGGCGCAGCGCTGGCAGCGCATGGCGCAGGCGGTGCGCGCGCGCACGTTCGCGGTGGTGCCCGTGGTGGAGGGTCTGGCGGACCTTGGGAATGTCTCCGCCGTGTGCCGCACCGCGGACGGGCTGGGGTTCCAAAACGTGCATGTCATCACCACCCGCAGCTATGGGGACGATGATGCCGCTGCTGCTGCTGCTGCTGCTGGTGCCGCTGGTGCCGCTGGTGCCGCTGGTGTTGCGGGTAGGGGTATCACTGATGTATGGAGTGGTGGTGGGACGTATGGAAAGGAGTACTTGTCGTGGGAGTTTGAGAGCGATAGTGATGGTGAGAGTGACAGTGGTGGTGATGGTGCTGCGGTGGTCGTTGTAGGCGGGAAGAAGCATAAGAAGAAGAAGAAGAAGAAGAAGAAGAAGGGGAGGAGGAAGGGCGGGCCTATGAACATGTACAGGCAGAGCGCGCGAGTGAGCATGGGGGCGGATAAATGGTTACATGTGGAGACTTGGGATACCACAGGGGAGTGCCTGCAGGAGCTCAAGAAACGGGGTTACCGCATCGCCGTCACGTCCCTATCTGATCGAACTGTAAGATGATCCGTCACGCAAATGTTTCTTCCCCTCTTGCCGTTTGGTACCCGGGTCTGCTAAAATTTTGTTACCATGATGATTCACGCAGTCAGTGCTTCTGTTGGAGCACCATGCGTGCTGCACGCTGCATGGATCCGCACGAACGCCATGCAACTCACCCCACCCACCCACCCACCACCACCGTGACCGTGCGTGGGGTGATGGCTTGTATGTCCCATGCAGGTGCCCATATACGACGTGGACTGGACGATACCTACTGCTATCGTTTTCGGCAACGAGCACAGGTGCGTCTGCTTCTGCTTCTGCTGCCTCTGCTGCTGCTGCTGCTGCTGCTGCTGCCACCGCCGCCACTGCCTCGCCGCTCCTGTTCACACCTGTTGCTCACTCCCCGTATTCTGCCAGAGAGCAACACTCTATCTTTGTTCACCCCTCGTTGTAGCCTGCACCTCCCTGGCCCCAACCAAGCACCCCCTGTGCACCCACCCGCCAACCAACATTCCCTGTGCGCTTGCCTGCCAACCAACATTCTCTGTGCACCCACCCTCCTCTCCCTGTGTGTGTGTGCAGCGGTGTGTCGGAGGAGGTGGAGCGCGCAGCAGACGTGGTGGTGGGCATCCCCACAGCAGGCATGGTGGAGTCTCTCAACAGCTCCATCGCCGCTGCCAACCAACACGCCCTGTGCACCCACCTGCCAACCCCCCTCCCCTTCCTTGTGCACCCACCCAACCCTATCAACCCCCCACATTTGTGCATGCAGCAGTGTGTCAGAGGAAGTGGAGCGCGCAGCAGATGTGGTGGTGGGCATCCCCATAACAGGCCCTCTCCTCTCCACCTCAACCCACCCGCCCCAACCAACCCCCTCTGTGCAACCCACCCGTCCCCTTAAAACCCCTCTCTGCTGCGCAGCGGTGTGTCAGAGGAGGTGGAGCGCGCAGCAGACGTGGTGGTGAGCATCCCCATGGTGGGCATGGTGGAATCATTCAACATCTCCGTTGCTGCCGCCCTCACCCTGCACCACGCTGCTCGCACGCGCCTCGCCTCCCTGGTGAGCTATGAGGCGCCTCAGAACTCGTCTCATTTCATGCTGCTGCCCTCACCCTGCACCACGCCACTTGCATGCGCCTCGCCTCCCTGGTGCGTGTGCAGGGAGAGTTGTGTTGAGGTGGTTTGAAAGCCGCCTCTTTTGTGGGTGGGAGTGGTGGCGCAGATGTTGGTGTGGGCATGGCCGCATGGGCATAGGCATGGGCATGGGGATGGGGATGGGCATGGGGATGGGGATGGGCATGGGGATGGGGATGGGGATGGGGATGGGGCTGGACAGAGGGCCTGCAAGCAAGTCCGTGTAGCCCTTTGATGTCTTGACGGGAATGTCGCTCCATTGCCCTACTGTGCATCTGCGAGCGTGCACTTGCAATCAAGTGCTGCTGGTCTTGGTGTTGGTTGAAAGGGAGTGGGGAGAGTGACCATGTTGATCCCTCTGTAAGAGTGAGTGTGTGTGTGTGTGTGTGTGTGTGTGTGTGTGTGCGCGTGCGTGCGTGCGTGCATGTGCGTGCGTGCGTGCATGTGCGTGCGTGCATGTGCGTGCATGCATGTGCGTGCGTGCGTGCATGTGCGTGCGTGCATGTGCGTGCGTGCATGTGCGTGCGTGATCCGTGTGGGTGTGCATGTGCACATGCATCACCCCAACAGGGCTATCACGGGGACCTAACATCAGAGCAGCAGCGCATTCTCCTCGCACACTTCGCCCTGCGCCACCGGGGGTTTCGCTCCCGCAGTGTCGTGGAGCACCTAGTACATACTCGCGCCAAGGCCGCTGCTGAACACGCTGCCGCCCTTGCTGCTGCTGCTGCAGCCACTGCTCACAACACTGATGCTGCTGCTGCTGCTGAGGGTGCTGCTGCTGGCAGGAGTGATGGTGAATCTAGACTGGGCAGCGCACGGTTGGGGGCATCAGCACAAAGGGTGGAGAGGCCTGTGGGGGAAGAGAGGGGCGCAGGTGCTGCTGCAACGGAGGCTGGTAGTGATGCTTTTGCAGCTGCTGCTGCTGCTGGGGTTGGGACCAGTGGTAGCCGTTATGCAGTGGAGGTGCCGCCGATTGGTTGCTGAGGATGCTGGACAATGGTCGACTCAACATGCGCCTGGTTGAATAGACATTATTATGGCCCTTTTGTGTAGATGTAGAACTTTCACTGACCGGAAAGGAAGCTGCCTGCGCTGTAGCCAGTATCTATCCCAGTGCCAGTGTTGTTCACATCACGAGTCAAACAAACTTCAATCAAATGCAGGGAGGCAGGCAACAAACAAGCCACACAACCAGAGCAAGCCAGAACATCTACCATACCAGTACCTTACGACCAAAATGTTGTGCAACCTTTTCCTAGTCTCTTCAGAACAGTTGCCAACTGTATAACTTAGTTACCCAGGCAACAAAGTTGCATCTAGTAAACTAAAGTACCATAACTCACCATACTTATGGGTGGCCAGTTGCCTACCGTATATGGATGGCTGCTTGTGCATGGAGCACACTTGTTGAAATATGGCGCACGCTAGTTGTCACCTTATGGCGCATGCACACCCACAGTGGAGCACGAAAAGTTTCACTTCCGCAACTTTTTTCGCCAAAGCCGAGTGTCTCTTCGGCTGTTGAGATTTGAAATCCCAACCCTTCAACCTTCACCCTTGCACATGCAGGCAATCCAACCATCCAAGCCATGCCAACAGATTCCCAGAGCCATTCCCATCGCAACCCGTTTTCAAGGGAGCCCACCATGGCGAGGCGCGCCTATCAATCACGCCTAGACTTAACCACAAAGCAAATCATCTTCCCGTACGACACCACTCACGAGCAGTTACTACTCACTCCGCGTGGACAGGTCTACTTACAGATTCCGAGAAGGGGATTCCTTCATCTGTCGCCTCACTTTGAGCTCCTTCAGCAGTTGCACCCGGCCCTTTTTTCCCAGTCGCCTCGTAAGTCAATCTGATCCCGACGATCCTTCTCTGTCTACCGCGCGTCTCTCTCTCCCCCTTCCGGTGCGTCCTCGTCACCTCCCTCCCTCCCTCCTTCCCTCGTCTCCTTGCTCCCAGGAGAAAAAGAGAGAAGGGAAGGGAAGGGAGAGGAGGGGAGAGGAAGAGGAAAGAGAAAATAAAGGGGGAAGGTGAAGGCGTGGCAGGAATTTTTGGAGCACATGCCGTTTGAGGGGTGGTAAGGGCTGGAGTGGAGCCGATGGGAACTGATCGTTCAGTGTGTGGTGCAGGTAAGCGTCTTTTCAATCGCGGACGTGATGTGTCTGTCTGTGCGCGCCTGTTTGTGGTGCTCATTCATCCCATCCCTCCCCAACCCACCCCCCCCCTACGATTCTTTTTCAGAGTTGCCACACTAACCACTCGTCCCACCGAGCTTCCTGCAATCACCGAAGCCTCTCTCGCTGCCTCTGCCTCATACTTCTTACCTCCCCACCCACCTTCTTCCCTCCCCACCCCACCCCAGAGTTGCCACGCTAACCACTCGCCCCACCAAGCTTCTTGCAATCACCGCCCCCACGCCCGTTGCTGCTGCTGCTGCTGCTGCTGCCGCTGCTGCTGCTGCTGCTGCCGCTGCCGCCGCTGCTGCTGCTGCTGCTGCTGCCGCCGCTGCTGCTGCTGCAGCTGCTGCCGCTGCTGCTGCTGCAGCTGCTGCCGCTGCTGCTGCTGCTGCTGCTGCTGCCGCCGCTGCTGCTGCTGCTGCCGCTGCTGCCGCTGCTGCTGCTGCTGCTGCCGCCGCCGCCGCCGCCGCCGCCGCCGCCGCTGCTGCTGTTGCTGCTGCTGCTGCTGCTGCTGCTGCTGCTGCCGCTGCTGCTGCGCAACCTCTCCACGGCGCAGGGGGGCGCGCCCACACCCGCTGCTGGCGGCGCTGGCAGCCTCTGGTCGCCACCCTCCAACGCCAGCGACGCTGCATTGGCGTCTGCTGTGGAGTCCGAGGTTAGTGCCCGTTTGTACTTCATTCCTTTTAGCCAGTCTGGAGCCTTTTCTGGGGGTGTAAGCGTTGCCCCCATTGGCGGTGGTGGCGCTGTCAGCATGAGCATGTAGTTGCTAGCGTCCAACGCTAGTGATGGTGCAGCGCTGGCGTCTGCTGTGGAGTCCTAGCAGACTGCGTGCTTGCTTGCACGCTGTGCGACACTGCTTGCCACTCACATCCCTGTGCACTTGACTTTCCCAAGTCAAACTTAACTGCTCACTTCTTCACATGCGTCCATCCCTCCCTCTTGTTTCTCATGGTGCGTCTGCCCTTTCGTCTTGTGTTATCCACAGGCGTCCCTAGCTTTCTCCCCCTTCTATTATCGCACAGGAGCAAGGCACTTGTTGCACCGCCTGAGAATCGTGCAGATGCTACAGGTACTCTTGCAGCAGCACCAAGTGTTTTCCCTTTGATAATTTTGATTCCCCGCACAGGAGCAAGGCACTTGTTGCACCGCCTGAGAATCGTGCAGATGCTACAGGTACTCTTGCAGCAGCACCAAGTGTTTTCCCTTTGATAATTTTGATTCCCCCACTCCCTCCTCTTGAGCTCTGTTCAGCTTGATTGATTGATCGGACTGATTACCTTTCTCTTTAATCCTGCCTGTGTTTGAGTCAAAGTCAAATGTCCTCCTTACAATTCCGTGCCTGCTCTCCGTCCCCTCCTCCCTCTCCCTCTGTGTAGCCCATTGAATACTTGTTGCAACGCCACGGCATCGACTCATCGCTCCTCATCCCTCCTCCTCCCTCCTGCTCCCTTCCCCCGCTCTCGTTTCCCCTCTCCCTCTGTCAGGTCCTTTTGAGTACCAGTTGCAGCGATATGCCATTGACTCGTGGATCGAGAGACGCAACCTGCCTCGCCTTCACAAGTGAGTCCCTCTCACAAATATCATCCTCAATTCTGTCTGGAAAACCGTTTTTTTTTTTTTCCTTTTCTACACCAAAGACGTCCAAGACCGAACACCAAAGACACCCCCCCCCCCTCCCCTCCCCTCCCCTCCCCACTGCCCTTACCGTGCAGGTTGGTGGACAACAGTGGCAGTCGGGCGGCAGGACGGGCGGCACGGCGGAGAGCTCAACGGGTGGTATGGTAAGTCCTTTGGCACTTGCTGGTGATAGGACCGGCCTATGATGAGTGGCTCAGTCCCCTCCAGCACCACTTCGCCATCACACTGCTCTGCCTCGCACCGCTCTTCGCTTACAACATTCCCCGTGCCATCTGTGCCCCCATCCCCTCCTTGCTTGGCCTTCTGTGCCCCCACCACCCCCTTCCTTGCACATACCCCTTCCCACCGCCCAATCTCCGCATGTTCCCCTTGTGCGCAATCCGCAGATGGTGTTGCTGGTGATAGGCCCAGTGATGGATCGTTCAGTCCCCTCCATCACCGGTGTCGCCACGACCGCCACCTGCCTCGCAGCGCTCTTCGCTCAGAACGTCCCCCGCGCCATCCGCTTCTTCCCATCCCCTCAGCCAACGCACCGGACGTCCCGGGGCTCGTGTTTCACACTGGTTGGCCAACCTTCTCCTCAACTTGCTCTTGTACCTCATGGCGTCTCATGTGGTCGCCACCACGTGCCACTTCCTCGCCGCCTCGGTGAGCGCCGTTTGTTTGACACGTCTTGCACGTCTTTCCACCACCCCGCTACCTCAACACCACACTCCTTGTCCCCCCCTCTCCCCCCCCCCCAAACCCCCTTTTTTACAGCACCCTCTCTGATCTTCCAACCCAACATTCCTTGTTCGGTCGATCTTTATGCTTTTATGTCACGTCACCTTCCCTCTGCCTGCCCTCTCTTCCCTTCCCCTCTCCCGCATGCATTCCCTCTCAACACCCGCCCCCTACGTACCCTCCCTTTCCCCCCTGCGCTCCCGGCAGCGCATCACGACGTGTGTGGCGGGGCAGAGAGCCTGACAGGGCGATGCGTGTGAGCGAGAGCACATGTGGTGTGGTGTGTCGACCCAAGCGCCATGGCGTGCCGGAGCACAACACAGCAGCGCAGGCGGCATGGGCCACACGGCAACAGATGCAGTAACAGCAACAGGAATCACAACAGAAGGAATGGCAGCAGTTGCAATAACGAAAGCAGTTTCAACATTAGCCTCACTTGCAATAACGATGGGGCATTTGGTGGATGTCAAAAAACATGCAGCCAAGATTCTCCAATGGAGGTCCTTGAACTTTGGGACGGGAGGTGAGGCAGCCACTGCTGCAGCCGCAGAAGCAGCAAAAGCAGCAGTAGCAGAAGCCAGAGCCTCACATGCAATGGTATTGGAGCAATTTGAGGATTTGAAGAAGTATCAGCTGGGTTCCTCAATCAATGTGCAAACCTTGGGAGCAGTTTCCGCAGTCACCCTTGGTATGGTTCTAGAGCACTCATGTTGTGACGAAATTGGAAAGCGATGCTTTATGGGTTATATGGAGTAATGTATTTGTTACGATAAATATACCTACCAATGTGAGTTACCTACCGTATATCTGTGTTTTTCTACCTTCGAGCCAATGTTTGTTTCTTCTATGTCGCACTTGCCTGAATTCCAGTATCGCACAGCAATCTACGCAAACAGAACAACCTTTATGCATGTACAGTAGTGCTGTGCTACCACTTCCCATCGCTCTTTCCTCAATGGAATAGCTGGATGTTCTCCTACTTCCTCACTTGCAAATGAAGCGAGCCAAGCTGTGAGCCACAAATCATGCCGTGAGTCCTGCTGCTTGTCATGGCATGCATAAACCATGAATCAGTCAAAACACAGTGAAGAGGAGAGCACTACCAAGTGGCACATACCAGTACTAACGTACTACCACCAACCTATGGATGACGCGCTGTGCCATGCATGCTGTGAAGTGCACAACGCATCGTGTGACACAGCACCCATCATGCGTGCATGTGCAGCGCTGCTGCTGCCCTATGGTCCGCCCCCACTGCATCTTCCACCGACTCGAACCCATCCCGCGCCAGGCACTCTGCTAGCTCGCGCTGCTCTCAAGCACGGGGGGAATGGACGGGGAGATTGGACAGGGGGGGCAACGGGAGAGCAAGGGGGCGTGACAGTGGGTGAGCTTGGTGTAAGGGCAGGTAAGAGCAAGGGAGGCAGGTGGCAGCACCGCACAGCACCGCACAGCACAGCACAGCACAGCACAGCAAAGAGCAGGGCACGGGAGGTGTTTAAGGTGCTGCAGGCATGCTGTGGCAGGCACATCGTTTGAGAGCACCCACATGCACACATTGCGGCGCGCTGCGAGCCGAGGGAGGGTGGCGTGACACGCATGGCACACACGTGCAATATGCATGTACAGGGTCATGTCGCGCACAGTACCTAGGGCACCACTAACAGCCGCTTGACTGCATGCTCATGTAGCAGCGAGCAGCAGCAGCAGCGAGCATGAGCAGCAGGGCAGGAGCAGCAGGGAGCAGCAGGGCAGGAGCAGCAGGGACCCGCAGGGACCCGCAGGGATGGGGAGGCACATACCTTGATTCGGGGCAGCACCCCTGCACCCTCATACACCATGGCTGTGTATATCTGCACCAGCGATGCCCCCGCGCGTATCTTGGCATATGCATCAGCGCCGCTGGTGATGGGGGAAGCCAAGGGGTGGAGGTCCACGCAGAGGGGAGAGAAAGTGAAAGTGAGTGAGAGCGAGTGAGAGCGAGTGAGAGCGAGTGAGAGTGAGTGAGAGCGAGTGACAGTGAGCCTCCACATCTTATCATGTCCGATAGGGAAAGAAACGACGATTACAGACGGACCTGAAAATGCCGCCACATCCTATGAGCGTGATCCGGCCCTGCAGTAACGAGTGGGGGTGGGCATAGACGGGGGAGATGGATGGGGGTGGCAGTAAGTGCCACGGGCAGCATATGTGTCACAGGCAGGCAGCATATGTGTCACAGGCAGGCAGCATATGTGTCACAGGCAGGCAGCATATGTGTCACAGGCAGGCAGCATATGTGTCACAGGCAGGCAGCATATGTGTCACAGGCAGGCAGCATATGTGTCACAGGCAGGCAGCATATGTGTCACAGGCAGGCAGCATATGTGTCACAGGCAGGCAGCATATGTGTCACAGGCAGGCAGCATATGTGTCACAGGCAGGCAGCATATGTGTCACAGGCAGAGTTTGATCAACAGGACGAGCAGTAACTAACAAGGCCATGCATGCACCCCTTGCACACACATGCACACATGCACACATGCACACATGCACACATGCACACAAGCACACATGCACACATGCACACAAGCACACAAGCACACGTGCACACGTGCACACAAGCACACAAGCACACGTGCACACATGCACACAAGCACACATGCACACATGCACACAAGCACACGTGCACACATGCACACATGCGCACCTTGGTGAGGCGGTACATTTCGCGCAGGGTGTTTGTGGAGGGGTCGAAGAGCGGGCGGCCACTGAGGCCCCCCGGCTCATCCGCATGCAGCAGCCCCAGCACAGAGTCAGGGCGCGATACCGTTGTGTTGCCCACTATCTGCTCCCCTCGGGGAAGTGGGGGGTGCGGGTGAAGGAGTGGGGATGGGTAGTGCGGGTGGGGGAGTGGGAATGGAGAATAGGGTCAGGCTGCGACACTGTTGTGTTGCCCAATATCTGCTCCCCCCGGGCCGTGGGGGAATGAGCAGGGGAGTGGAGATGGGAAGCGCGGTTGGGATGTGGGAATTGGAGTGGAAGTGGGGATGGGGAGTAGAGTTGGGGAGAGAAAAGGCAGGGAAGGTGGGAGGGAGAGAAGGTGGGTTCAGGGGGGTGGGATGGGAGGAGGGGGAGACGAGGCGGGCATGTGGAGAAGGGTTAGAAATCGGTGCGCCTTTTTTGAGGTTTCAAGAAGGAGGTGAGCGGAATAGGGAGTGAGTGAGTGAGTGAGGGAGGAAAGGGAGGGAGAGCACTAACCAGGCCATCGAGCTTGAGAGAGAGAGCCACCTGTCAGAGGGAGGGAGGGAGGGAGAGGGGCGGGAGGGATGCAGAACGGCCGTTGCGAATTGTATGAACAGAAGAAGGACGAGTGAATGGATCGGGCGGGCAGGCGAGGAGCAGGAAAGGATCAGGAGTAGAAACAAAGGAATTGCAGGCTGGAGGAGAGAGTGAGAGTGCAGCATGGAAAAGAAATGAAAAGGGAAGGGGGAAGGGGAGTGGGAAGGGGGAAGGGGGAAGGGGGAAGGGGAAGGGGGAAGGGGAAGGGGGAAGGGGAAGACGAAACGTAAGGGGAGAAGCAGCAGCGACTGACAGCGGCAATGCCGGCCATGTCCTGCTGTGAGAGGTGCGGTGCGGTGCGGGGAGATCTAGTTTGGGATGTGCCATGTCGTGCGGTCCCGGGATAAGGGTCTCAGAACTCACAGCGGCAATGTCGGCCATGTCCTGATGGGAGAGGTCTGGGGATATCTTGAGCAGCAGCGGCGGAGGGCCCTCCTCGCCCCACTGCATCTCCTCCCTTGCCGCCAGCACCTTCTTGAGCAGCCCATGCAGGTGCCGCCTCCCCTGCAGCTTCCGCAACCCCGGCGTGTTAGGCGAGGACACATTCACGACCAGGAAATCCGCATACTGTGCGAGGGTGTGCATGCCCTGCACGAAATCCTCTGCAGCGTCGTCCGTCCACTTGTTCTTCCCCAGGTTCACCCCCACCAGTCCGCGCCTGCCCGCGTTGCCCCCGGCTGCGGGCGGGGCAGCAGCGCGGTCCTTGCCCGTTTTGAGCCCCTCGGGTTTCTCCACGGCCCGCCGCCTGCCCTGCTGCGCACCAAGCCGCTCCGCCACTGCTGCTATGCCCTCACTGTTGAACCCGTACCGGTTGATCACCGCCCTGGGGGGGGGAGGGGGAAGGGGGAGAAGCGGGTGAGGGGGAAGAGGAGAAGAGGGGAGGGGGAGGAGAGAGAAGGGGGGCTTCAAGAACATCGCGAAAGTCCGCCACTGCTGCGATGCCGTCGCTGTTGAACAAGTCAGCTGCGTTGATGGTACTTTTGAGGATTCTCAATCTCAAAAGTACCATCAACGTTGCTGCGATGCTGTCGCTGTTGAACAAGTCTCGGCTGATCACTACACCGCCCTGGAGGGGGAGGGACAAGAAGAGCGGAAAGGGAGTAGCAACAAAAACACGTGCGGCGGGTTGTGGGCAGCAATGAACGCAATAAACAGCAGCACACAAACAAGCACCTCACATACTCTGAACCCCCCACACGCCCACCCACCCATCCCTCTACCCTCCCACCCACCCACCCACCCACCCACTTTTGCTCCGGGATCCGCCAAACTCTTGGCTTGGGGTTGCCCGGCTGCGGCGCGGGAGTAACGCTGCCAATCTCCATGAACCCGAACCCCATGCCCAGCAGCCCGTCCACTGCGCGCCCATCCTTGTCAAACCCCGCGGCCAGCCCCACGGGGTTGGGGAAGGCGCGGTTCCAGAGGGCGATGCAGAGCGCGGGCGGGTCGGGGCGGTGCTCGTGCGGCACGAGGGAGAGCTCGGCTGAGAGGAGCGCGAGGCGGTGCGCTGCCTCGGGGTCGAGTAGGCGGAGGAAGGGGGTGAGGGCGTCCGCTGCTGCAAACGACCACTTGCTGGGGGAGAGGGGGGAAGTGGGGCGGGGGACGGGGGAGCGTGGGGGAGGAAGCATGGGGAAGTATTGAGGTGTGTGTGTGTGTGTGTGTGTGTGTGTGTGTGTGTGTGTGTGTGTGTGTGTGTGTGTGTGTGTGAGCGTGTGTGTGTGTGAGCGTGTGTGTGTGTCCCAGTACAGGGTTCAGGGTTTAAGGTTCGGGGTTCGGAACTTTCAACCAACATTCCCTCACTGAACTCATGGCCACCACCCGAATTCCACCCCATCCCACCCCTATCCCATGCCAACCCATGCCATGCCATCCCATCCCATCCCATCCCATCCCATCCCACGCCATCCCATGCAATGCAATGTGTGGGGCACGCACCTGATGGTCTGGGGGTCCTGAGTGCTGAGCAGCACGCCCGCAGTCATGGTGGACCCCACCAGCGTCGCCCCCGCCAAACGCGCCTGCACGGTGGTGGAATGACGGGAGTGGGAGGGGAGGGGAGGGGAGGAGAGGGGAGGGGAGGGGAGGAGAGGGGAGGGAGAAAGCGGTAACACGATTGATGTGCGCGGTGGGAAAGCAGGGCGGAGCGGGGAGGGGTGTGAGAGAGGGGGGAAAGGGGATAGAGAGTGGGGACGGTGGGGACGGTGGGGACGGCGTGAATAAGAGAGTGGTGCAGCCGGAAGCATGCGCTGTGGCTTGTGAAGCACCAGCAGCAGTTCCAGCAGCAGCAGTACCAGCAGCAGCGATAGGAGGAAGCAAAAGTGGGCAGTGGGGGAGGCGGCTGCAGGAGCGATGCGGGTGCAGGTGCGGGTGTGGGTGTGGCAGTACCCAGTGTGTTTTCGATCTGCTCGCAGCAGCTGAAGCGCCTCCCTTCGCCCCGCCAGCGCCAGTCCCAGCTGCGGCTGTTGCTGCCGCCGACACCGCTGCCGCCGTCACTCCTTCGCTAGCAGCAGCAGCAGCAGCAGCAGCAGCAGCAGCAGCAGCAGCAGCAGAGGTGGTAAAGGCAGCAGTTTGCGAGGCAGCGCGAGCAGAAGAGAAATTTGTCAGAGCCCTCAGATTCATGGGGATGCCAAACGCGGTGCTTGGAGTTGCGGAGGTGGCGGCGGGGGGGGTGGTTCCATAGACGCCACGCGCCATGGCTCTGTGTCTCCACGCGCCGCCTGTGAGCAACCCCTTCGCGCCCATTCTCGAGATTGCCGCTGCTCGCGACGACGACAGTGCTGCTGCTAATGGTGAGAATGATGATGTCAACGGTAACAATAGCCGTGCTGTCGTTGCAGCTGCTGCTGCTGCTGATGCTCCTGCCACTGCAGCAGACGACGTGAGCTCGCCTCTGGCTGCTGTCGCAGCTGCTGCATGTGCCGGCCCACGCGCACCAATCACATCGCAACACGCGGGCCTAGATCCAAGCGCACATGCCGCCCCTACTCGTCCTCCTCCCGCTGCCACCGCTGCAGTCTCTGCTGCCGTTGCCGTAGCCACGGCGGTGGCAACCACAGTGGTGCTCGAAGCGTCTACCCCCACCCTCACTCCCAGGCGTCCCCCCGCGCCTACCGCTGCCGCCGCTGCTTCGAGCGCTGCGCCATCGCGGCCTGCCACGTGTCGATGCACCAGCGACGCCGCCCTCCTCGCCACCACCCGTGCGGCCGCCCGCCCCATCCGCGGCTCGTCCGCGAGTGCAACTAACGTCCTAGAAGGTACGACTGGCGTGGAAGCTGGCGGCTGAAGTGGAAGCTGCTGCGACTACGGCAAATGCGACGTTTAGACGTCTATTCAATCGAGCCAGACTGATAAACACCGAGCAGAGGCCGCGAGGATATGGAACCCCACGAGCAATAGCAGGCAATCGCGGAAAAGCAGGCCGATCGCGATTCGGAAAGAAAGAACGATGTGGTTTTTTTTGGCAGGTGAATGGTGGTAAGCTCGGGTGATCTATTCTTTCGGCGCAAACATGGTGCTAAGCACTGGTGGCACGCGGCGCTGCGCCTGCGCGCGTCATCGGAGAAACGTCTGATCGCACGAGATCCGTGTACTCCGCGCGATCGGCGGCGGTGAAGAGATCGGCGAGCAGATGGGCGACCGAATGTGCGACAGGATGGGCGACGGGATAGACGACAGGATGGACGAAACTGGTGGCCTCTATTCGTAACGGAACGGACTAAAACGACTAGCTTGTTTGTGAGGGCCCTATCCGAGAAGAGATGAAATCCCGAGAAACAAACAAACCAGCTGGTGTAGGCCAGCCACCCTCGTCCCCCCTACTTTTCTCCCCTGATCGTCGCACCTGATTGGACGCGAAGCCGGAACAATCACGCTTTCGCAGATTTTGGATCACGCGGCGATATTGTGAGTCAGATTTGGTCGAGCTGCGAACGCAAACCCTGACAGGGTAACTAGCATTACACTTTCGTTGCATTTCCTCCTGGGTTGGGATGGGATTTCAGAGGAGTTCGCGCACCCCAGCTAATCCATCCATATCGCACTGTATCCACTGATTCCCTGTCGGTACCCATTTTCCCTCTCCTATCTCCACTTCCTCCCCTCGAAATCCCTCCAATTCATCCACTCGGCTCCTGCCAGGGAGCAGAGCTTTCCCTCGTCCCTCGTGACGTGATTCTGGCCTTTCCTCCTCGACTTCTGAATATTCGCGGCAGCGTTGGGATTGTGATAGTCACCGACATGGCCACGTCGCGAGTGCTCAAGGAGATTTCGCCAGCCGTGACGAAAATCGGGTAACCGTTTCTTTTTGTTATCGCGCTGATTTGGCGCTTCGCTGGTTGCCATGATTGTTCTTACACCTTCCACAGATTCGTTTAGCGTACCCGCCACAGTATCACTGTGTCCTCCCTCTTTTCTCTACCTCCTGTTTTCGCGCTCGTTATGGAGTGGAATCGGGAGAAGTGAGGGGTGAGTCGGGCTGTGTTCTTCCCGAGCTTATCATTCTGTATTTTGGATTGTGGATTTCTTATGCAACTTATGTAATGTGGTGTGTGAGTGTGTGGGGAGGGGATGGTAATGAGATGCGGGTTCTGGGATGGGATGGGATGCGGCGCGAGGCGATGCGATGTGCGCAGGTGGATTGGCACGGGAGTTATGGGCGCCGCCATGTGCGGGCACCTGCAGGCTGCTGGCTATGCCGTCAACGTCTTCAACCGCACGCCCAGGTATCATCGCCCCTCTCCACGCCCAGGTATCATCGCCCCTCTCCACGCCCAGGTATCATCGCCCCTCTCCACGCCCAGGTATCATCGCCCCTCTCCACGCCCAGGTATCATCGCCCCTCTCCACGCCCAGGTATCATCGCCCCTCTCCACGCCCAGGTATCATCGCCCCACTCCACTCCACGCTCAGGGCTCGCCACCCCCCTCCTGCCTCCCCCTTATGCCATTCACTCCTCCTGCAATTTCCGCTCCTGCTATCGATGAATCAACCATCATCCATCCCCCAGTTCCCATCCCCCAACCCCCAACTCACATCGCCCATAACCCGTCCTGCCCCGTGCCCCCATGCCCTTATGCCCCCATGCCCCCATGGCAGCAAGGCGGCTGCACTGGTGGGGCGGGGGGCAGTACTGTGTGAGTCGCCGGCTGCTGTGGCGGCCAACTCAGACGTTGTCTTCAGCATCGTGGGGTGAGCTCCTAGGCCAGACCCTGCCCTCCGTTGTCGTGCCGTGCCATGCCGTGCCGTGCAGTGCTGTGCCGTGATGTCTTGTTGACGTGCTGTGCTGTGCTATGAGTTGCCATGATGCCAAATGCCATTTGATCGCATGCCATGGTCTCCTGCTGTGTGTGTCATATACATAGTGGGTAGTGAAAACGTTTCTATGTCACATGTTACATGCCTGTCCCACATGCCATATGCTCGCACACACCAAGGGCCACTCGCCCTCAATTTTCCTCAAAATCTCATTCCTCACGTTCCCTCCCCACCACCCTTCCCTTCCCTACAACCTATGTCTCCCCTCCCCTCCCTTTTCAGGTATCCCCATGACGTGCAGCAAGTGGTGCTGGGTCCCACAGGCATTCTCTCCGCTCTCAAACCAGGAGGCATTGTGAGGCGCTGGGGGTGAAGCCGGGTTGGCATGGACATATGGGATTGTATGGAAGGATACATGTGGGTTTCAAGAGAAGTATTACTGGCCATGGAGAAGTATGCGTCCTGAATTCAAGCATGAGAAGGGCGTGGGAGAAGGAGAATAGCATGGGCGGATTGGCATGGGTGATTCGCCGTGCCGTGGCATGTTTCAGTTCAGCCAGCTCGCGTACAGAATTGTGATGCCGTCTCGCCTGCCCCCTGTGCCTCCCGTGCATGCCCCCCCCACCAAATCCGTGCCTCCCTCCCTGTTCTGCTCTTCCCGCCAGCTGGTGGACATGAGCACGAGCCAGCCATCCCTGGCCAGAGAGATAGCGGCCGCGGCAGAGGCAAGGTGAGGTGAGATGAGATGAGGTGAGGTGAGGTGCGGTCAGGTGCGGTGGGGTGAGGTGTGGTGAGGTGCGGTGAGGTGAGGTGAGGTGGGGTGAGCTGACGTGAGGTGAGGCAGGTGGGGAGGGGTGATTGGAATAGATGTCACCACACAGCCAACGACCCATAAGGCCGGAGATCCTGAAATATGGATGCCCCTGCTCTGCGCGTGCATGTGCGTGTGTCTGCATGCATGCATGCTTGCTTGCGTGTGTGCATTACGGATGGCATGGGAGGCGAGCAGGCAGTGCTGGGCGGTGGATGCGCCAGTGTCAGGCGGGGACAAGGGCGCGCGGGAGGCAGCACTGGCGATCATGGCCGGGGGAGACGAGGCAGTGGTGCAGGCGCTGCAGCCTCTGCTGTCATGCATGGGCAAGTGCACGTACATGGGGCCTGCTGGGGCCGGCCAGAGCTGCAAAATGGCCAACCAGGTACACACACACACACACACACACACACACACACACACAAACACACACACAAACACACACATGTACATGACACGCCCGCCTGCCCTCTGCCTGCCTACCTCTTCGAATCTTTTTGAGGCCGTGTGATGTTTGCCACTCCCTGTGGCCACTCCCTGTCCGCTCGCAGTAAGGCTGGTGCCCTGTCCTGGTCTGGTTTGAAGCCGTTGGCGTGCCTGCTGCGCTCCCCTCACTCATCTCCCCTGGTTTCTTCCCTCAAGCTGTTCCTGTTCCTCACTGATCATGCATTCCCTGTGCTGCCCATGCTACCCGTGCTTGCTCCTTCTGCGTGCGCGCGCCGCTCCCATGTGCGCGCTTTGCTTAGGCACGAGCTACTTGCGTTTGTGTGTGCGTGCGTTGTGTTGCATGTGCATGTGCATGTGCATGTGCATGTGCATGTGTGCGAACGCATGGGGAGCAGGTGACGATAGCGAGCACCATGGTGGGGCTGGTGGAGGGCCTGCTGTACGCACACAAGGCAGGGCTGCATATCCCCACGTGAGCCACCACCGCGCTCCCCAGACACACTCAGGGAGGCAGAGGCTGGGGTGGGAGATGCAGGGGACGCGGGTTAAGGAGAGAGTGTGTGAGAGGGAGGGAGGGAGTGTGGTGGGGGTGTTTTTCATGTAGGTGTAGACGGGGTGAGTGATTTCTGCAGACGCTTGTGGAGTCATCAGTATCACTGCTCAAGGGTTACCCTCGTGTCTTCCTCTCATCCCCCCCTCCTCCCTCCCTCCCCCTCTCGCTCCCTCCCTCGCTCCCTCTTTCTCCCCCTCCTGCTGCTCCATCGTTGGCTCGACTCGTTCTCAGATATCTGGCTGCCATTTCCAAGGGAGCAGCAGGGTCGCGCTCTCTTGATCTCTACGCCTCGCGCATTCTCCAACGAGACCTCCTGCCAGGTGACCCCATCACTCCCACTCCTTTGCTCCATCCAGGCCTACCATGCCACACCACGCCATGCCGTGCAATGCCATGTCATGCTGTGCCATGCCACACCATGCCATCGGAATTCCCAGTACAAAAGAATCCAAGGATCTTGACCCTCCCACCTTCCTTGTTTCGCATACCCATAGAGGGTATGCTAAGTTTCCAGGTTCACACGTGACTGGCTCATGCATCATTAGTTCGTTCATCTTCCTATGCATGTTCACTTCATGGCATCAACGTGTACTTAGCACATGTGATTCCACATGGCCCATCCTGCAACCCCTTACATTTGCCTGCCTGTGTATCACGCACAGGTTTCTTTGTGAAGCACTTTGTGAAGGACCTTGGGATTGCCCTTGAGGAGTGTAGGGCCATGAGCCTTTCCCTACCAGGCCTCGCGCTGGTAAGCCCAATTGCTGCAACACCTGGGAAATTCCTCGTTTCTGTGCCACACTTGGTCACGATTGCTGCTTTTTGCCTCTACTCACTTCTCGTTACGTTGCTCATCCAGCCTGACTTAATAATTAAGTGTTGTGTTGTGTTGCCATGTGATGTGAGTGTCTTTCAGGCACAGCAGCTGTATGTGTCACTGCAGGCACACGGGGATGGTGATCTGGGAACACAAGCCCTTGTGCTGGCTCTAGAACGGTTAAACAATGTGCAGCTTCCCAAGCTTCCACCCAGTTAGGGCGTGTGTCTTTTGGCGTAGATTGTCAAAGTTCAAGCCTAGTACCGCTTTGTACCATGGCGACACGTCTCTCAACTGTATCATACCGTGTAAAACCTTTCTAGAAGTTATAACTTTAGCAAAAGTTCGACTTCAAGGACACGCAAGCACCCTTAGGGTTTTCATGCCTGGCTTCGTGCAATAATGACCTACGCATTCTGTTTGAAAGCCCAATGTTAATTTTCATTCCCCTTGAGAGACCCAATGTTCCTGGACAAGAAGCATCTTTGCTGGATGTGCTCTCAAAAATAGAATACCAGCCTCTCAGAATTTTTGAGTTGCTATATTGGATCTGATTGTGACAGGCTGGCCGTTACAGTGCGAAGCCTTGCAGCGCCACGAAAATATGTAATGTAACGCACCATCTCGAAAGTGCTGGTCTCCATCTGGGTCGTTTTGCGCGGTGGTGGGGCCGAGGGAAATACTTTTCTGGTTTCAGCGGAAGTCCGTAAAATGGATAATCTTTCCTACTGGCCCTGCCTAGACCCAGCGCGCGTACCATGCAATATTTCTCGAGAGCACCATGTGGGTCAAACAGCTAGCCGCGGTGGGCTTGGCTGCGGACTGGCCTAGTGAAGCCTGAAGAAAAAAGACTGCCCGAAGAATTGCACAGAAGTTTTGCCGTGCCATCATTTCCAGTTCCCCAGCAATACAATTGGCTGCAACCATCAATCCAAGGAATCCGTGTGGTTCTGCCACGTGACTCGGTACTGTCGGTGCACTCAAGAATCCATACTCCCCCTCTCCATCAACGAAGGCTTGGCGAACCCAGATGATCACTGGCGAAATCATCTTCGTGATGAACAGCTCCCCATCCCAACAGCCCCCGCCAGCTTGGACCACCGTGTCACGCAGCGCACCCACCCACCGTTCGCACAGTGCACACGGAATGGAGCTACTGGCCAAACCAAACCAAAGCATATGGGAGAGACAGGTGCTACTGCAGGACGAACAAGCACTCGGGCCTGACAGTGGAAGGTGCACTTGCGCTTTTTTTTTCGACTGTCGTTTACCCTGCAAGCTCTTTTAGAGGAAGGTGTGTCTGTTCTGACAATTCCTGGAGAAATACAGTAGCCGGAGCGCGAAGGAGCCCTCGTATCTCGAGTTCCGACGAATCGTCAATCCTGTGTTATGGCTCTAAGCGCCTGCAGCGTCGTTTCGCCGTAACTCAATAGACACATGCACTAAATGCAAGGTTGTTGGAAATTGCGTACGGTTCAGATATTTATTCCATGTAGCGCTCAGCAGTGCCAGCGAATCACACCGCAACGTTCCCAGCGTGCACCCGGTGCCGTCGCCGCTCATTGCCGTTTTCCGTCCGTTGGACTCGGAACGACCCGCCATGGCCGTTAGCTGCTTCGGACCCGTCTTTCGAGGGTGAGCTCTCGCGGACCGAGAGAGACGGTTGCATTCTCCCATGGATGCGAGTGTTGTTGCATGGGTGCATGAATGAATATTTCTTCATCCATCTTCTTCCCTCCATCCCTCCGCACCTTCTTTCCCATTCCCAACTCTCCCTTTCCCCACACACGGCCCTTTCTCGACCATTCCTCACGCGGATTCCCGTTTCCTCCGCCCTCCCTTCCTTTCCCATTCTCCCCATCTCGCTTCCTCTCCCCCCTCCTTCTCCTCCCCCATCCCCTCCAACCCCCTTCCCGCTATCTCGTCTTCGCGTTGACTCCAGCGGTCAACACCCGTTTCTGCCAGCCGCTCCATTCGACGACGATGACGCTGACGATACCGGCACCAATAAATTCCGGGACTGCGTTGACAATAAGGGCCAGCCCGCGCCCGCGATTGACGCCACCCGAGCAGGCGAAGATGGATCCGCGCAAGGAACAGCAGAACCTTCCGCGCTTCCGCCTCCCCCACTTCCTCCCCCTCCGCCTCCGCCCCCATCGTCTGCTCCCCCTCCCCCTCCCCCTCCGCCTCCGCCACGCGCGCCCCCCCCGCCCCCTCCCCCGCCCCCGCCTGGCTCATACTCCGCTGGCGGCCTAACCACTCCGCGCGCGTCCTTCCGGCGCGCGCGGTCGATCAAGGAGCGGCGGGAGGCAGTGGCGCTGAAGGTGTTCCACTGGAGCAAGGTGCACGACACCAAGGGCACCATCTGGGACGAGCTCTCTAAAGATGCCGACCTCTTCTCGCGCGTGCAAGTAGACGGGCCTAAGCTCGAGGCGCTCCAGGTGCTATTTAAAGCCAAGGAGACTAAGGTTAAGATAGGCGCGGGGGGGGTGGCGGGCGCGGGGATGAACGGGCTTGGTGGGGTGTTGGGGAGGGGAAGGGGTGGCGGAGGGCAGGGGGATGCGGGGGACGGGGGGGATGGGGGAGAGGGGAAGGAGGGGGAGGGGAAGGGTGTGGTGAAGGTGGTGACTCTAACGAGGGCGAACAACGTGGCTATAACGCTGGCGCAGTTCCGCATGGCGCATGAGGAGATCCGAGACGCCATCCTGCTGGGCAACCCGGGGGGCGCTCTGTCCCTGGACCAACTCGCGCTCATCACCCAGGTACGTGTGTCAGTCGTACCACCCGCCACTCCTTGCTGCAGCCACAGCAGCAGCAGTACCACTGCCAGCACTAACACCACCAGCCTCAGCAGCACGAGCAGCAGCAGCAGCACCACCGCCTTCACCACCACTACTACCCCACAACAATTCCTCACTTCATCCCATCCCTATTTCCCCCTTCTTTATCCCATCCCATCCCATCCCATCCCATTCCTCTCTTTCACTTGCTCCATGGTGTCACCTTCCTCCGCCCCCTCTGTGCTGCTTCCCGTCAGGTGATTCCATCAGAGAGCGAGGCGCAGCAGCTGCTGGCGTACACAGAGAGCCGCCCTCTGGAGAACCTGTCAACCCCTGAGCGCTTCCTGCATGCGCTCGCTACCATCCCCCGTTTGAGAGACAAGATCGATGTGCGGATTATGTGGGAGGAGGGGGGCATGGAATGGAAGGGGAGAAAGGGGGAGAGTGAGGGGAGTGAGGGCGAAGCTGTGTGTGATGGCGCTGGTTAGGTTTTGAGACGCCTCAAAACGCTGGTTAGGAAGGAGGAGGGCCGCAGTTTATGCAGATGTTATTGCTCATCTTTGCATCATGCACCAAACAGAGCCATCTTCCATCAGACATCCGCCCATGCCCTCCCGATGTACCTACAATCCCCCAAGCCACCTTTTCTATCCCTTCCCTGACAACCCTTCCTCTCCCTTCCTTCCCCCCTTCCCCCTTTCCCACCTTGCCCTTCCCGCTACTTCCCTGCCCTGTCCCGCTGCCCCTTCATTGTGCGTGCCGTGCCGCTACATGCAATGCAACGCGGCGGCATGATCAGGCGTGGGTGTTCATGCTGCGCTGCGCTGACATGGTGGCAGACACACAGCGCCTCATCCACACCTTCCAACGCGCCTGCCACCAGGTCAGTGGCTTGTGCGGCGCACACACACAGCACTGCTCTCAGCGGTACACAGTGGTGATGTGGGTGGGGGTATGGTGGGAGAGCAGTAGGGGGGTTGGTGTCGGGGGGAATGGTATGGGAGAGGGAATCGGGAGAGTGTATTAACGGCCATCTATCTGCGTGTCCGTGTGTGAGTGAGCAGGTACGGGAGTGCAAGCCGCTGAGGGCAGCCATGGCAGCAGCGCTGCAGGCAGGCAACGAGCTAAACTACGGCAGCACCAAAGGTCCGTCCATTGCGCTTCATTATTCTCAAACCTGGCATAGCCGCTCACGACTCGCAACTCGCCACTCCCCTTGTCATCACTCTCTTTCTCTTATCAGTCTTTCTATCCACCTCTCCTTCTCCCCTCCAAACCTGCCACACTTCCCTTCCTGTCTCACAGCCGGCGCCCTGGGTTTCAGCATAGAGACGCTACCAAAGCTGGCGGACCATCGGGTCACCCTCTCAGTGCCACCAGCGCCATCACCCCACCCTACCACCAACGTCTCGTCTGGCTTCCGCGCCGCACCGCTACCTCCTCCTGCTGCTGCCCTTCCTGCTACTGCTGCTGCGGCTCCTGCTGCTGCCGCTGCGGCAACAGGTCTTCCCCCACGCAATCATGCTCCCTACTCCTCCCGGAGCTCGCCTCTCCCCACTGCCCCAGCCCCAGGGCCCTTATCAGCAGTGGCCAGTGCAAGCAGCGTGGGTGCTGCTGCTACTTGTGCTTCTGCTGCCCACACTGCTGCGCTGCTGCCTGGGTCAAGAAGCACAGGTGCTCGCATCCTTGTGCATGCAGCAACGACTAGCACCAACCCTGCCTCCAACGGCGGTGCTGGTGGTGGTGCAAGCATTGTGAGTACGAGCACGGTTAATGCAACTGGCAGTAGCACGGGGAGCAGGATGGAAGGGCGACAGGTGAAACGAACCATGCTACAGGCCACAAGCCTCCTAGACGTAGTAGCTGTGCTAGTCATGTCAGGCGGAGCGGTGCAGATCGGTACTGAGATGTCCAAGGCTCTGGATGCTGTTGCTGCTGCAGCCAGGGTCCCTTTGGAGGAGATTCAGAAGAGCATGGGAGGTGTGGACGAGGGGATTACGACAGTGGAAAAGGAGCTGGCGTTTGTTATCAATGAGGAAGAGGCGAAGGAGGCTGCTGCTGCTGCGGCTGAAGCAGCGCTTTTGGAGGGAGAAGGAGGGAGTGAGGAGGGCGACGAGGAGCAGGAGGAGCAGCAGTTGAAGGAGGGAGAAGGTGAGGAGGGTAGTGGTGGAGGTGAGGGAGGAGAGGGTGAGGATGGTGGTGCTGTCTCGCAGGGGAGTGGAAAGGAGAGAGGAGGTTTTGGAGAGCAGAACGGATCAGGGGAGGAAGAGGAGGGAGAGGTGCTGATGCAGAGCATGAGGGGGAGGAGTGACAGGGAGGAAGCAGAGACTCCCAACGGTTCCACCTGTGCCGTCACCTGCTGGGGCCCTCTGCGGCCTAGATCTGGCCGGGGTAGCAGAGGAGGGATCAGGGGAGAGGGAGAGGGAGAGAAAGGCGGGAGGAAGGAGAGGGTTGGGTGGAGAGGGAGTGCTAGGCGGTTAGGCAGGGAGTGGGAGGAGTGGGGGAAGATGGAGCGACCTTTGGTGCGAGGGAAGGAGGTGGGTGGAAAGAAGAGGATGGGAGGGGAGAGAGAGGGGAAGAATTCTGGGAAAGGAAGGGAAGGAAGAAAGGGAGGGGGAGGGGAAGGAGGTGGTGTGCGAAATGAGAAGGAGGGAGAGGAGGGCGTTGGGCACGATCAAGGTGGGGAGACGGGAAGCAGGGTTGGAGATGGAAACACAGTGCCAAACCCTTCTTCTTCTGCTGCCACTCCCCTTGCTGCTGCTGCTGCTGCTGCTGCTGCTGCTGCTGCTGCCCCTGCTGCCCCTGCTGCTGCCCCTGCTGCTGCCATGCCATCTCCTGCACACGCCACAGCTGCTTCACGCGACTCAAACACAGAGACAAACCCAGGAGAGGAGGAGACGAAGCATTATCCTGACGGTGCGGGCATTGCCTCCACTCCCACAGCTGGCATCGGGGCCTCCTTCTCAGATAACATCAGAGCAGGCGTGAAGCTCAGGAGCGTTCCCCCCACGCCCCGAGGAACAGGGCCAGGTGGAAGGAGGTCTGTTCCCCCCACGCCTAGAGGAATTGCAGCAGGAGGGGGAAGGAGTGTTCCCCCCACACCTAGAGGGGTTGGAGGTGCAGGGGGAGGGAGGAGCGTTCCCCCCACACCCCGCACGCTGGCAGTGGAGCATTCCGGGAGGCTAAAGGGTTCTCTTCCTCCTGCCACGCCTAGCACGAAAAGTGCTGCTCTCCCTCCCCGCCCTGCGCCTGCTTCCGCTGCTGCTTCTGCCGGTTCAGCTTCTGCCGGTTCAGCTTCTGCCGGTTCAGCTTCTGCCGGTTCAGCTTCTGCCGGTTCAGCTTCTGCTGTTCGTGTTGGCGCTGCTGCTGCAGCAGCAGCATTGCCATCTGCTGTTGTGCCATCAGCAGGAGCAGTGCCAGTGCCTCCATGTGAAAGCGGATTTGAAGCACCACTTGCAGCAACAGCAGCAGCAACAGCGGCCACAACAGCAGCAACAACAATTGCAGCAACACCAGCGCTCTCAGCAGCAGCAGAACCATCAATAGCAGGCGGGGCAGAGGCAGCATCGTCAACAGCAGCAGCAGGAGCACGACAGCAAGTGCACCGAGCTGCCACCACAGGTGCAGCCATAGCAGCACGGAGTCAGGAGGAGCAAGGGCCAGCACGGCCACCGCTGAGACGCGCCTCTTCCGCTTACGAGTCAGGCCCTGGTGATTCCAATCACGATGATCCTGCTGGGGGGGGTTGCACAGGGGAAGGCAGCAGAGGCAAAGGCGGAAGGGGCGCGGGTGCTGGGGCGCGAGGGAGGGGCGGAGTGACTGGGTACAGATGGGTGACGAGGTTTGGCGCGAGGAAGGGGATTGCGATGGCGGTGGTGGGAAGGCCGGTGCCAATCGCCGGGGTTGCAAGTGATGACGGGGAGCCTCGTGCTGGGGCTGCTAGAGGGCGGGGCACAGCACGGGGAGGAGGGCCCAGGGGGGCTGTGAGTAGGGGAGGAGGAGGTGGTAAGGGGATGGGGAGAGAGGGAGGGGAAGGTGGAGGAGGGGGGTTGGGTGGTGGTGATGGTGGGGATTGTAATGGACGGAAGTTGACGTTAGGGGAGATGGTTGCAGCTAGGATGCACCGGCGGGCGATGAGTGACATGGGTAGCTGGTCCAGCCGAGACAGGGCCGTTGCTGCTGTTGCTGCTGATTGTGATGGTGATGGTGATGGTGATGATGATGATGATGGGGGGGGTGATGGTGGTGTTGGTGATGGTGATGGAAGAAGAAAAGAACGGGAGGTGGAGGAGCAACGGAGATGTAATCAGGAATTTAGGAAGAAGGAGGAGGTGGAGAGGGGAGAGGAGGAGGGTGAGGAAAAGGACGAGAAGGAAGAGGGGGAAGAGGGGGATGAGGAGGAGGAGGAGCACATGAATGCATCTGCCTTTGTGAGGCAGATGCGTCTGCCAAGCAGGGGACGAGTGGCTTCGCCATCTCTTCCCCCTCTGTCCTCACGCGCTTCTACCTCCTCCACCAGTCATAGCACCCAAACCCCGGACGTGTTCACATGCAGGCAGCGAAGTATGCCTGGCAACAGCGACAGCGACAGTGAGAGTGATAGTGATAGTGATACTCATGCTAACGCTGCTGCTGCTGCTGATGATGATGATGCAGGTGGTGGTGGTCGTGTGGGGACGAGCAGAGCTGGACCGAATGGGGTTCTGGAGAGTGATTCCCGCAAGTGCATGGCGTTCAAGCGGAGCCCTCTGAACGGGGTGATCGCCGCAACCCCTCGCACGCAGCAGGTGTGGGCAGAGCAGCACGGCAGCACCACCGGCAACCTTCCCGCTGCCCGTCCACACTCCCACCCCCACGCTCCCACTGCCGCTCCTTCTACTGATACAGCCGCAGGAGCGGCACTGGCAGTAGCAGAGCGGCAGGAGGAGGAGGAGGAGAAGAAGGTGGCAGAAGAGTTAGAGGAAGAGGAGGGAAAAGAGTGGAGGGTGTATGACGATGTAGCGGCGTGGCAGCAATGGCGCAGGAGCAGGGGAGAAGAGTCCGGGGACGAGGGTGATGTGAGTGGCAACATCGGACCCGGTGCATACCATTTCCTTAAAGCCCAGTCCACAGGCAATATTAGGGTTACCTCCGCGGGTGTTAATACCCTTGCATCTAACACGCCCACTCTAGCCTTTCTGCACAGTCAAAGCACACACATGGGGGGATCTGATTCTAGGTCTGTGAGTGGAGGAGGAGTGCCAACTGGAAGTCTACATGGGCATGGCAAGGTCTCACCGGTGCATCAATCAGTCTCAGGCTCGGGCTCTAGGTGTGGGGCCCCCAGCTACCCACCCTCCGCTGCAGCGATCTCTGCAGCAGGTTCGGATTACGACCGAGCAGGCGGGTCGCTCTATAGGGGGTACAGCGGGGGAGAGATGAGCGATGCGGCAGCTGCAGTGGAGAGGAGCATGCGGAGGGAGGCAGCAGCTGCGCTTGCAGCAGCAGCGGTGGCTGCAGCAACAGGGGTAAGAGGCTCCACGAGCTTGCGACCTCGCCCGTCTCCCCGCGTCTCTGGCCGGAACAGCAAGGCGGCAGCTGCAGGGCGGGCAGCTGTGGAGAGAGAGGTTGAGAGGGAGAGGGCAGGGAGGCGGAGGAGGGGAGAGGCTGGGCGAGAATCCGACGATGCATTTGGGTTTGAGGAGTCACAGAGGAGCAGGATGCATGCGGAAAGGGAGGGGATGTTGCAGGCGAGCAGCCAGGGTCCTGCTGTGCTCTATGCGTCTTTTGAGGCGCCTCAAAAGTCGTTACTGGGCACGAGTCAGGGTCGTGCTGGGCTCTATGCATCGGGTGCTGCGGGTGTGTCGCGGGCATCAGCTGTGCGTGTCGCGTACGGGTGTCACAGGGGGGGACCTGTGGCTGAATTGGCACGGAGAGAAGCCTTGGAGGGGTTTCCCAGGTGCCAGAGCGAGCCTGGCAAGATGTGTCTGGAACAGAGGGGGCGAGTGGAGCATGGGGAGGAGGACGGAGGAGAGGGGCTGGTGTGGGATGGTTTGGATGGTTTGGAAGGGAGCAAGCGGGAGGAGGATTATTTTGCGTTTGAAGACGAGGGGGTGCGTGGGAAGGGTTGGGATGTGGCCGGTGGAGAGAGGGGTGAGGGCAGAGAGGGCTGCGAGGCGGAGGGGTTTGATAGTGGTGGCAGCGGCACTACCACCATCAGCACCAGCAGCTGTGGCACTGGTAACAGCAACAGCAGCAGCAGTGCCAGCGGCAGCAGCAGCGTTCCCACCAGCCGTGCCAGCAGCAACAGCCCTGCAGCACCAAAGGGGATACCTCTCGCTGCCTATCCTCCCCGGGGTGTGTCTCCTCCCCCGGGTGTGTTGCCAGAAGGGAGTGAGGAATCACTGAGAGGGACGAAACCGGCAATCCGAGGGCTATATGTGAAAGATGTGGTGAGCAAGTGGGAAGGGGGAGCGGGCGGGGGCGCGGGAGGGAGGATTGACGAGAGCGACTGGGAGACCGGGGAGGTGGAGGAAGCGGAGAGTGGCCGGGAGAGACAGAGGAGGATGATGTTCCAGAGAGGGGGAGGGTGGATGAGGCAAGTGGGGGGGGAGAGTGAGGGAGCTGGGAGTGGTGTTGATTGTTATGCAGGTGGGCAGCACCAGGGCGTAGGGCGCTTGGTCGAAAGCCGTGGGCAGCTTGGGAGTGCGAGCAGAGGCGGATGTGAGAAGGTGGACGATTGCGAGAATTCTCAACACGTGAACGAGCGTGCCTGTCGGGGGGCAGGGGTGGAGGGTGTTGATGCTGCTGACAGCCATGGCAGTGCTTGTGGCAATTCTCATCCGTCTGCTGATACTAACAGTGGTGCTTTAGCTTCTCCTGAGCTTGATTGTCCTGGTGGTGCGGGTGAAGACCCCACCAGTGGTAATGGAGATGGCAATGGGGATGGTGATGGTGATGATGATTACGCTGGTGTGCCGGTGTCTGCTGCTGCATGGCAATGGGAGCTGTCTCTCTCTGACCGTCTAACGCAGTTTCTAGACATAGCAAGGGCGAAGAGGGAGGGGCTGGTACGGCAAATGGAGGAGAGCAAGCAGCAGTTCCAGCAGCTTGCAACGTTTCTGGGAGAACCACCCTCCTCTACTCCCCAGGTGCGTGTTGTGTCTGCTGCACGTGTGAAATCTAAATACGTGCCAGCTGTTTTCCTGTGCATGTGTCGTTCTGCTGTTATGTGATTTTGTGAGTCTTGCTGTCGGATTCCACTGAATGAGTTGCTCATGTTGTGCGGTGGTTGGATGTTCTGTGTGTTGCTCTGTCCAGGCGATCTTTGGGGCACTGGCGCGGTTTGCAGAGGCGTTTGATAAGAGCCAACGGGCCGTTGGCCTTCTGTAGCGCAGTGCGGTGCAGTGCAGTGCAGTGCAGTGCAGTACAGTGCAACCTGCAGCATATGCTGCCCACGTGCTCCATCATACTTCAGCCCTTTCCAAGTTTATCGTCGTTTTCATTTACCTGAAAGATGCATCTGTACGGTGTCTATGGGTACTACCGTACCTTTCTGTTCCACTTCAGAGGGGACAGTAAGTGCTGTAGATAATGTTGATGAGCAATCTTCTCAGCTATGGGAACACGAGGCATCGTGCGTGCTCGTAATGATGCCCTTGCCTATTACAGCATCCCCACGAAAATTAACTGGTTGTCACAGTAGCTTTATTTGAAAGGTTTGGTTCAGTAGGGTGGTATGTCATCTCCACACCCACATACATCCTTTCACATAATTATGACGTATGATATGCAAAAATTGTAAACGAGTGTGGTACTGATACATTAGACAAGAAAGCCACCCGCCCTCAAACCCCCCCCGATAGAATGTTCCAGGCCCTTCGTGGTTGGCCGTACCGATAGTTCACCCCCTCGCCCATACCCTTCCTGAATCTTCTTACCCCACTCCCCCCTAAGTTTGCTGCAGTAAACTAACCTGAACTGTACCCTTATCCGCTCTTGTCCAGAAGACAATCCCAAGGTAGAAAGATTGCTGCATTCCACCAGCATGCGCCTTTTCCGCCCGGCCTTCTCCCTCCATGGCCTCGCTGGTGGCGTTTTATCGCAGCGGATACATCAGCTTGAGAACGGGGTGCATGGACTCTACTATATGAACGACCAGGCCGCGTCTCAGTCGATCGTGTTTAAAACCGGAGGTCCAAGAGTTTCGAAGTTAGGAAGGTTGATAGGGGTAAGAAAAGTGACTGGCTCGCGAGCCAGGGTGGTGTCGAAATCAGTGGTAGCGGGTCGCAAAGTATTATACACTCGCGAGTGTAACCAGATCTGGAATGCTACGTCCGAACTGGTTCGCAGACTGTTTCGGGCGGGCTGCAATTTTGTTTGCGAAGTTGTCACTGCTATCGTCCTCGCGAGAACAGTAATTTCGCTTGGCGAAAATCGTCCCAACAATTTGCGAGGAGAGTCGCTATCAACTGGGTCACGCCCAACCAAAGTTAGGAAGGTTGAGGCAGTTTTGGGCTGTTTTGGGCTGTTTGGGACAGCTGAATCGCCGAGTCAGCTCCTTTCCCCGAGCCGCTTTCCAAAACCTGCGCTTTGTTCTCGACAGCTTCGAGAGTTTTTCAAACAAGGAAGAGTATAGAATAAAGGAGCCAGCTGCCGTTATGGGAAGCCCCATCGGCTCGCCTCTCACAAACCCTCCTACGTCTCCCCTTCGCGAAGCCCCTTTTCCGTCCGCCGCCAACTTTTCCGTCGGGGCGCATTCGGTGCAACCCGCCGCGCCTTCCTGCGCCACCCCGGCGGCGTGCACCTCTTTCCCCTTGGCTCCGCCCGCGCACGCGCTAGCGACGGGCGCGGAAACGCTTCCCCGCATGGCAATTCCTGCGGTTTTTCCGGAAGCTTCCGCCTTTGGCGCTGCGGCGTCACGTGGCTGGACAGGCATAGCCTGCGGGGCTGACGCGCTAAGGCTGGGATGTAAGCGCAAGGGAGGCGCATGGATGGGGGGAGACGGAGGAGCAGGCGGAGCGGACGTTGGGATTCCGGGAGTTGGTGTGGCGGGCAGGGGGAGCGCAACGGGGATGGATGGAGTGGTGGGCGGGATGCGGAATGAGGCCATGGCAGACATGGCGGATTTGGGGAATCCAGCAAAGCGGGCGAGACTGCAGGTCAGTGCATCTGCACAGCAACTCCTTCAGGCCATCTCGTTCTGCAAAGCCATTTCTTTGAGCGAGGGGTGTTGTCTTTGCCGGATTTTGCATTGCTCTCTCCATGGCACCACTAGTTGCGATTAGCAGCACCGATATATGTCGGGTTGTGCTGTTCTATCAAGCCTCGCTTCTTATCTCTAATCCCTCACGGGTTCCCCTCCCGTCTCTTTTCCTCCCATCTTTCCTGCTGCCTCTCTTGCCCATTTCCCTCCCTCGCAGCTTCCAGTGCCTCTAGTAGCACCATCAGCACCAGCGGACCCTGCATACGCAGTCTCTGCTCTACCAACCACATCTGATCTTTTTGCACCTCCCTCCATCTCTCCTACCTCCGCCTCTCCATCCTCCCCAGTCCTCCGCGCCCTAACCCCTCCTCCGTCACCCCCTCTCTCGCCTACATCTATGCAAGCCTCCGCTTTCCTCTCCACCCCATTCACTGCTCCTGCTGCTGCTGCAGCAGCTGCACCCATTCCGTCTGCCGCTCCTGTTGCATCGATCGCTGCTGCCATTCCAAGCAGCTACAGTGCCGTTGCTCCCATCGCTGCTACTGCACCTACCTCTCAACCACCTTTCCAGGGCGCATGCTCTATGGACACAATCTCTGGATCCCCACACACGCCACTGTACGCACAACTGCAGTCTTCGCCACCACCCACTGCACCCTTTCCATTGCAAGAAGCAGACAATCAGAAAGCTGTTGTCCTGTATTCCCCTCCTGTCATCCCCTCTCTCTCCACGGGCGCTGGCGCGGGTGCTGGCACTGGGAGGAGAGCAGAGCGAGAAGCCATGGCAGGAGCATCAGCGTCACTCGCAGCACGGGCAGCAATGCAGCAGTGGCCGATAGAGAAGCTCAAAGCGGCATGGGCGGGGGCCAGCCCTATGGAAAAAAGGGTGCTTGGGGGCATGATTGGGTCGTTGCTGCAGGGCCAGCCGATTCAGATCTTGGGAGGGAGCAAGCTGCTGGAAGGTATGCCGCCCTGGCTGGCTGTGTTCTGCTCAGGCTCTGCATGTTCTGCTGGCGTATTGTTATCTTGCTTCTGCTGTCATTTGCCCTGCATCCAGCCTTGACTCTTCGTTCCTCTCTGACTGCTCTCTGCATCCGCCTGCTCTTCCCTTGCCTGTTCGTTTCTTTTGCAGCCCTTCAGCTCCATCCACCTGTTGTCGCGGGTCGTGGCCTGGGAGAGGACGACACAGAGTTGAAAGCACAGGAAGAGGGTGGAGAAGACGAAGACAAAGAAGACGAGTTGGAGCAATCAGAGCAGCAACCAGACTCTTTGATGGCAACAGCAGATGCCATGAATCTGGAGCACCAGAAAGTGGTCAGCAGCAGCTGTTATGAGGGAAACAATGGGGAGGACATGGAGTTGGTTGAATGATGGTTAGGATGTCACAAATTTGTCCACTGAAAGTGTCGACTGTATTCCTTGAACATTGGGCTGTTGCTGATTTAAGCTTTTCTGTCTATTCCATTTTGCTTTGTTGCCATTAAGGTATGTTGATTGTGGGGAGTGAGGGATAATGGTACAGGTACAAAGTTCAGGGTTTAGGGTTAACTTGTAGCAAATATTGTAACACCCCATTATTACGATTTGCCCACCTGAAGTTTTCCTTACTCGCCACGCGCTTCTCCCCACCCGTGTAATACCGTTGGTAACATGATGCGTTTGGTGGTGCTGATGGTGCTACATGAGACCCACAAAACGATTTGGTGAATGAGCTGATGTCCCGTTTTTTGGGGGGATATGTGACGAGAATCTGGGAAATTACCTTCTTTTAGTTACAGAAGGAAATCTTACAAGGAAATAAATAAGTTAATACCTGCCTAGGAAACTTTAGTACCGCGGCTTCTAAAACTCCGTGCTGCCGCCATCTAAGCTGAGACAGGCTCGGCGACGGAAGAAACGTCAGCGGCATCGAGCTGCAGGTCGTACCGCTTGCCGCGCACCACAGCGTACACCTTGTCCGCCGCGATGTAGTCGCACGTGCGCTCCAGGCGGAAGGGCTCGCCAGGGATCTGCAAAAATGCGGCAAGATGGGCATGGAAGTTAGGACGAGCTAAAAGCGAACGGTTCTTGACGATACCAGTAGCTGATGCGGGGAGTTGCAAGGAACGGCGTAGTTACTACTGACTCTAGAGACTATTACACAAGAGTATGTCGTGTCAAGTTGACTGACCTGGTTTCCGGAGTGGATCTGAACGCCGGTGACGACGGCATAGTCAGCCGTGGCAGGGTCGACGGTGAGCGAGATGAGCTTCTCGAGATCCTCGTTGATAGCCTGCATGGCGGCCTTGGTGACCTGCACGAGCGACAGCAGCTCGCCCTCCTTCTTGCGCTGCACCTTCTCCATGACCTTGGTCTTGAGCAGTTGGTACTCCGCGTCGTCGTCGTCGGGGGACGGGCCGTTGCCCGCGTTGATGTCGTTCTTGATCGCGATCAGCGCACCGCAAGCGCTGGAGGATTTACCGCGGCCGCGACGCAGGAGAGAGCCCACCTCGCCGGACTCGCCGACGGACACGTGGGGGAACGCGAAGAAAATGTCTGGAAAAAGGAACACAGAGAAGATGTGTAAGGAGACTAAGCGTGGATAATCAGCAAAATGATATTTAAGAAGACGGATTTATGTGGGTGAGATTAGAGAGAAATGGGAGAAATGGGACAGAGGCATTAAGTCGGCGGCATCAGCAACACACATTGTGTTAACGCCTTCGGGATTATCGTGGAAAGAATGTTTGGGGTTCCAGCGATTTTACTACAAGTATACCGGCGCGTCACCTGGAAGCCGAATCAGCGAACCACAATAAAAACTTAGAGTCGTGCATTTTCGCCCGCTTGCATCCAAGCGGAATCCACCAACTAATGTAACTCACTCACATCGTTCCTTGATGGTGCCGTCAACGTCGCAGAGGAACTCGGGCGAGTGGCTCATGGCGGCCTTGAACCCCGTCTTGCCGCAGTTCACCAGCCCGCCGAGACCCGACACATTGAACGAGAGCCCGAACTCCTTGTCGATCAGGTTCACGATCGGCCGGCACACCTCGTCACGGCACGTGTTCACGAGCGCAATGCCGTTGTCCTTGCGGAAGCCCAGCTTGTTTAGCTCCACGGCCACGGAGTGAAGGAACTCCTCCTCCTGCCTCGCGTTCGGGAAGAACTTCGCCATGGATGCGAGTGCGGGCAGTGCGGCCTGCTTCACGCGGGGAATGCCGCCAGCGGCGGGAGCTGCTGCAGCCGCGGGGGCAGCAGCCTCGGTAGCGGCGGCAGCTGCGGCGGGGGCGGCGGCGGGGGCTGCGGCCTGACCTGGGCTGGGGAAGGTGATGTTGACAACGTAGTAGGTGGCGCCGCCGCCAGGGCTGGGAACGGCACTGGTGTGTGTGACGATAGACTCGGCGCGCACTGAGCGGCTCTTGAAGCTGGTGCATTTGTTGCAGGCACAGTTCTTAGCTGCGACGGAGGCGCTGGCCTTCTTAGAAAGTGCCTTCAGGCCCGAGAAAGCCGGGACATCTGCGGGCAAATGCAATGCCATCATTAAAGGAAATATTAAAACAGAAATTCAGTAACACTCGATAACCGACGCAGACGGCATCTTCAGATGTGTCCGCAAGAAATGATGGTGTCAAGCGCGACAATGTTCAACTTACTGGCAGAGGAGGACACGGCCTTTGTCATTGACAGCGACTGAGCTGCAATGGCAGTGGAGGTGGCGAGAGTGGCAGCCATGATTGAAGTGTCTGCTGGAAGTTACGCTGCTGAAAGTGAGGGAGGGTCAAATTAGGCAGCGTAAATCGGGTGCGTCGAACAAATGAGTTTCAAATGTTGCACATGAGTTCTCTTATCCTTGAAGGAAATGGAAGAGTAGTTGGGAGTGGGAGCGGGAGCAAGGGAGGACAATCACTAGACTGGAGTCTGGACCGGAGCGCGTTACTTGTTGGAGAGGGAGTGGGAGGGGCGGGGCGTGCCGGATTTCTGGGGAAGGTTGATTGCTGCGTCACCTTTGTGAAAGAATGACGCTACAGGTGCCACGTGCATTGCCCCTCAAGAACTGCGGATGGCTACCCTCCAAGTTCACATCGGTCTGTCTGTCCTCGTCACCCAAAGTAGGTGCTTCGTCATGCCTATTGAAACTCCCATACACGAACGTGTCCGCGTGCAATAGGCACATTCGGGATCATTCCGCGTGGGTCGTGCTGTGGTCGAGACATTCCTGGATGCATGAACCGAAAGTTGTTCTGGACACATTGAATTCCTTCGCGATGGCACTGAATTTTCGCATAGCTCCTTCACGCGAATTTATTGGGCATTTATCTTAGCGGTAACACTCATGGAGCTCGATTGCACCCAAGTTAAAGCCCGCGTCCCAAATTGCGGGCCGCGAGGGTCAAGTTTTTAAAACTTGACGAAGTTGAGTGTCCAAGCTTTTGAAAGTCACGCACTTGCAATTTGGGACTTTCGAAGACAGATTCACTCACCAGGGGGAAAACCGAGGGTTGGCTGGGTCTCGCGAAAAAAACGAACCTAGACGAAATCGGAAACTCTCGCCAAAGCCCACACCAGAAAAACTCCCTCTGGTCAACTTTTAAAAGCATGAACAATTTGGGCCGCCGGCTTTAAGCCACGTGTACATTTCGTAACAAAGGTATCGTGTCCTCGCCACTGTGGTAACCATCATGCCTAAATGGTCAATATTTTTGCCTGCATGGTAATGAACAGTGCATCCGGAATTCCTGGCTGGTAACTTCGCGTTTCAACCAGACTGTACACCGTACAAGTAGGGTTTGACTCAGTGAAGTGGTATGAAAGCTCTGAACTTGCACAGCCAGGTGACGGAGCTGCTCCGCCCTGCATGCACACCATTTTCATGGTGCGCCTGATTAAATCATATAAAATGAACTTTTATGCACCCCTATGAGTACATAAGAACCGCTGTCTCCAATATCAACAAATCAGCTTGTTTTCGAGTAAAGGGTAATATGGTTTCGCTCGATCCATTCATATATGTTCTGCACGAACTCTTAAGTTTTGTGCGGGCTTATTCTCATAGACAAAAAACAAACACCCTACCCTGTTTACATCGAATTCGTGCAGTATGGGAAGCTGATTTCGAAGCCTGTCACGCATACAGGTGACATCCAATCTGGACCAACGCTGCGGCCGACCACCACCACCCTCCATCAGGTACACCTAACCACCGCTATTTTATTTCGGTCTATTTTCAACCCCAATTGCATGGGTGGGGTATGCACCCTTTCTAAATCTTTGACCGAGGGTTGTGTGGGGCATCATTAAATTTTAGCGAGAGTCTGTTCCAGATCCCCGAAGAGAGTACTGTAGAATTGCGCTATGGATTCAAATTCGCATAAAGAGTTTAAACTTCGAGCATTAGGCGTCATTTATAGCCCCAGTCATCTAAGTGTCGAAGTGAAATAGTCGAAAACGTGCAGGGTAACTTTGAAACGCGAGATTAGTGGGTTGGGTTTCCCCTTGAAAATAGCGGTGGTTAGGTGTACTTGTGACAGGCTTGTACAGTAAAGTTTCGGCAGAGGAGGATCCCTGGGACAGGAACGTCTCAAGCGTTTTTTTGGCAGCTTCTTCACAAGTCGAGCAAGCCTGTTTATGGGGCAAAGTGGTTTGGTAACCGCGATACCAGCCGTATTATCGCATGCGCTGTCTGTTGCCTCGATCATTTCCAAAATCACAAACCTCCGAGGCGAGAGTCGTGACAGTGCGTTGGACGATTTGGCTGTCGCTCATCAAGTACAGTTTGCGTGCATCGGCTGTACATCCTATTTTCAGCCAGCATGATGGGACCAGATCAAGCCTTCTCAGGGTGCGTTCTAATCCTACCCTGCAAATCTGGTTATTTCAGGGGGCATTCTGCTAGAAACGATCTCCGCGTTCGTTTCAAAGTACATTCAGTGAGCACGATATGAGTTTTCTTGTCACCCTGTAAAATACTGGCCAGCCCTGGACTGCAGGGTTGATTGTCACTGTATAGCAGTGCTAGGATAACTCCCCATACAAGGCGAGGAAATCTTACTCATTTTTTTGTGGTTGAGTGGTTGATCGTTAAGGTATGCAACTAATGATGTTGTGATTGTAAACTGCATGTACACCCTGTTTCGCGCCACACTGTCATTGGCTATACTGGTTGATCGGATGTACACACATCAATGCGTCCAGGATGGTCCCAGAACGTACCATATAAGCACGTTTGCCCGCACTCAACCGTACGCTTAAGGACGTGGGCCCAATCGACTTTGATCGGCTCGGATCTGATCGGGTTGGATTGGATCGAATTGCTTGTGATCGTTTTTCTCGCGCCGCCCAATCAGAATTGATTTTCTTCGAATATTCTGCGCTCTTGCATAACAAGCGGTGCCCCATTACCTGGCAGTTGCACCCCAACTTTGGCGAGATGGGCGAATCCAAGTATCGTGGTAATATCGCAAATATCGCACTGCGCACATGGTCCGCTCCAGAACAGTTCTCGTTGGTCTGTATGTATGAGCGAGAATTTTCGAGACCTCATGGCGAGGCATGTTACATGTCGCTTATATCGCCCAGGGCCCCGATCACATGCAATCAAGTGATCGGGGCTGATTGTGTCTGATCGGGTCTGATCGGGCTGTTCGAGGCGGTTGATCGAGTTGGCGCGATCAGCTGATCGCCCCCGATTGCCTGAAATTGGCTTCTCGCCTTCCTCGAAGTTATTGATCGCCTCTGATCGCGCAGATCAAAGTCGATTGGGCCCACGTCGTTGTGTACCGTTCACCAGGAGAGCATTTGCCCGTCACCTACCTACAGTTCGGTTATAAGCACTAGACCGCTACGTTCCAAGCAACAGTACGCACTGTAGCCAGTGAATCCCATTGCCAGTGTAGCGAGAAAGAGGGTGTACACACACCGAGGTCTCCCGTCTCGTATGACTCAATGCTCCGATTGAGCGCTGCACTCCATTACCAAAAGTGAACGTGCTTTCTGTTCCGACACTGGACTACGAGGCATGCACGGTTTTGGGGCATTTTCTGAAACCTTCACCTCAAATCTCGAATCCACGAGAAATGCATTTGACAAAAGACGGGTTGTGTGCGTCGTATTTCACTGACTAATAAGCTTGACCGTTAACCCGTTTTTCCTTTCAGCTAATCACAGTTTCCACCTGCAATAAAACTGAAGGCGTAGGAAAACCGACGAAGTTAACGCGTGAACAAAGTCTGTGAGTGACTGAAGGTCCCTGAAGAAGGTTAAGGAAAAGGTAGGATATACGGAAGCTCTCTTCACTTTGTTCACACCAGCACTTTTTGGGTTGACCATCTTGGTAACTCATTAGCAGTGATGAATTACTTTGGCCAGGTCTACCTGAGTCCTTTCTGCCCGAAGCGAGGCACAATACATGAAAAGCCTGTCACCAGACCAGATTTTGTGGGACCAGTGTGGTTTTCTGGCAGGGAGCTGGAGCTGAGAAAGGTGTCCTTGGTGGGGGGAGGACTGGCGGAGAAAGCTGAATACACGCGGTGCAGTGATGGAAGAAGGATCGCGAGTGGAGTCTCGCGAATCGAGTCCAGACCAGACTCCACCACACCCCAGCGATCGTGGGAGATTACTAAGGGGTACTCCCGCCCAACCACCAATTCATCTCTCTGTTTGCTGCCCACTTTTCACATCGACCATGGAGTTGTAACACGAGCTCTTCTGTTCCACCTGGGACAAAGGCAACAGCGAATCCTGCTCCATTGACATGGACTCGGTTTGCTCAACAGATTCATCAGGCAGCACCAACACGTGTAGTGATTATCGACCTACGCATTCCATTGAGTCATCACCTAACGAAAGTTAAGTTGTATGCGGAATCTCACATCAGAAAAAGGCTCACCGCAGCCCTCGCCGTCAGTCGCTTTCTGCTGCTTTTCCTCGCAAATGCAGCAGCACAAGCAGCCCTAACGGTAAATCCGAATCCCGTTCTCCGTTCCTGATATTCGAAACGATCCCTCGCTTATCAATCACCAGTACCCCGAACGTTGAAACAGGCGGTAGTAACGGCGGTGGCGAGGGTGCTACTACTTCCGATCACAAATCAGCGATAAGGGTCAGCGCAGCTGCTACGACTTCTCTTGCAGTTTCTAATACTGCTACGACTGTAACGAGTGCTAGTACTTCGACACCTGCTACCACCAGCACTGCTGTCCGTAGCCCTAGCTCCTCCATCGCGTCGCTCTTATCCCCACGCAAGCGAACCGAAGCGTTCTTCCGTAGAAGCTCCAGTCAGCCACCCACTCCTAAAACGCCAGGTGGCACCAGCTTATTGCTCAAAGCATTGCACATTCCGCGGAGGTCCGTCGAGCTTGGGTCTCCGCGGAAAGGCGGCAGCAGCAATAGCCCCAGAAAATTAGGTTGTGATAGTACTATTACTAGTACTACTAGTGCGCCTTCTCCGCCATCCAATTTGTCGCCACCCTCGCTCTCTTCATCCTCGTCTACAGCTTCCTCGTTACCGGCGCGGCGCGCCGTTTCCACAACACCCGCTCCAATCACAGCGCCGCTTACGTCCACTCGCATTCCCTCTTCCTCCGCCGCCGCCTCCTCCTCTTCCCCACCCCATTCCTCTTCCCCACCCCATTCCTCCTCTCCGCACTCGCAATCCGCCTCCGCGCGTGCGAGCGCGCCTTCTAGCGCGACTCCCATCCCCTCGTCCGCCGCGCCCAGCCTCACCTGCAGCAGCGGCACTGGCGGCGGAACTCGCGGGGCCGTGATTCGCGGCGCAACGACCACCGCCAGTGTCACCGCCACGACGACTAACACCACCACCACCGTCACCACCACTACCACGACGTTACCATGCACCGGTGAAACGGGCCGGTCAGGATCGATGGCGGGAGCAAGTGAGGATTCTTCCGCGCAGGTCCTATCCGCGCGAGGCTCGTACGCGCAGGTCGTATCTGGGCAAGGCTCATCTCCACGCGACGATGTGGCGGGTACTAACGCAGTAGCGCCTCGCGAAGGAAGCGCTACTAAGAATGGTTCCGCCCCCCGCGCCGCTGTTGGTGCTTCTGCTTCGGATATGGTCGCTGCCTGCGACGCGAATGGCGTCGCGAGATCTGCGGCAGCCGCTCGTTCCGCTTCCGCCTTTGCGACTCCGCCGCTCACCTCCCCCCGTCCGCGGACACCTCCGCAGGAATTCCCCCCTCTTAAACCCCCCATTTCTCCCGCATCTGCGACAACCCTTTCCCCCCATACCTCTGGATTAGCGCCTCTTCATTCCCCGAAACCCCCCGCCCATGCATTGTCTTCCCCCGGCTCCGCCTCCGCCTCCGCCTCTGCGGCATCCGCTCCACCCGCTTCCACCGCACCAGTGTCCCCGCTGGCGCTGCAGTTCGTGCGCCAGTCGCGCGCCATGATGCTTCTCTTGGACCGCCAGTCCGCGGAAGTGCTCGCCGCCAGTCGCGCGGCGCTGACGGCGCTCGGGCAGGCGGAGGACGGGGAGAGCGCGCAGGGGCAGGCGCAAAGCGCGGGCGCGGGCGGGCGGAAGAGTTTGTTCGACTTGACGGGCGACGTGAGCGCAGAGCAGTGGCAGCGCGCCGTGAGCGACGCGGTGGCGTCCGCCGCGGTGCTGCGCTTCAACGTGCGCGACTCGGGGGCGGGCGGGCACCTGGCGGGGCGGCAGGTGGATCTGATGCTGCAGCCGTGCCAGTTCGCGCAGGATGCGCGCTCGCTCGTCGGTACCTTCGCCATTGTCAACCAACACACGGGCCCCTTGCTCGCCACCAGCAGCAGCAGCAGCAGCGGCAATAGCATCGCAGCAGCGGAGGTTTCCGGATATGGAGGCTCGGAGGGGGGTTTCCTACCCAGTAGCAGTTCAGGCGGCGGGGGAAAGCTGAGTGGCAAGAAGATGCGGCAAAAGATAGCGGTGCTTTTAGGGTTTCAGGAGGAGTCAGGGGGAGCGATGCAGGTCTCGGCGCCTCTCCCCGCCATCCAAACCTCGCACAGCTCTGGGTCGGCCCAAACCACACCTAGAGGTTCGGTAACCCCTCGCGGTAGCTTCTCGTTGAAGAGCCGAGGGGCCGTGTCGGGTCCTCTCGCGTTCATCGCCTCTCCTGCTTCTTCTACTTCTTCATCCGCTGCTGCCGCTGCCGCCGCCGCTGCTGCTGATGCTGGTGGCGGTACTGGCGCTGGTTCCAGCAATGAGATCGGCTCAACTGGTGGGACATTGGTTGGGTCAAATAAGCCTTCCACCCCGCGCTCCATGCTCAAACTCCCCACCTTCCACTCCTCCTCCTCCTCATCCTCCTCCTCCGCCTCCTCCTCCTCATCCTCCTTTGCTGTAACCTCTTCCGATTCGTCCGGTTCTCACAGTACCTTCTCCTTTCACTCAGACGCGCCCAAGGCGGACATTCCGCGGCCCCTCAGCGCAAGATTCCTCTCCCGCCCGCCCGGATTCGAACCCCCCAGGTCGGAGCGTCGCCAGGCCACCACGCCTGGACGCAGGCTCGGCTTGTCGTCTGTTAAGGATGTGTTTTCCGGACCACTGGGGCAGGGTCGGGAGGGCAGGGACGGGAGGGGTGGACGACAGGGTAAGGAAGGGTCGGGCGGAGAGAGAGTAACAGAGAGAGCAGGCGGGAAATCAGCTGAGAAAGCAGCCGAAAAAGCAGCGGAGAAAGCAGCCGAGAAAGCAGAGAAAGCAGCAGAAAAGGCAGTAGGTAAGGGGGTTGAGAAAGCGGCGTCTGCAGGAGCAGGCAGGGAGGAGGAGAAGGCGGGAGGGAAGGGATTCCGTGTGCTGTCTAGGAGGGAGAACAGGAGCCGGGGGGGGTCATTGACAGAGTCGGATGGGATTCTGGGGAAGGGGAAGAGGGGGAGCAGCTGGGGTAGCTTTGGTAGCTTCGATGGCGGGTTTATGGGCGTGGCTGCTGCTGCCGCTGGTGCTTTGTCCGGCCCTGCTGTTGTCGCCCCTGCTGCCGGTTCTGGTGGTGCTGCTGCTGCTGGTGCCGACTCTGCTGCTGCCGCCGCCGCTGCTGCTGCTGCTGCTACTGTCACCACGAGTCCTGATGTTGCTGCTGATAACCATGCGTGTGGTGCCACTTTCTCAGGCAGCAATATGAGCACCAGAAGTGGCAGCAGCAGCCCCACCAAAGGCCCCATCAAGCCGCCTGTGTTCCGCTCCCTGTCTAACGCCGACGTGTGTGAAAGCAGCGCTGACAGCGGCGGTAACAGCGGCGACAACGGTGGCGACAACAGCGTGAGCCTGGTGAGCAGCGGCAGTAGCAGCGGCAAGGCCCCGCCTCTGGCCAAGTCAGGGTCGTTCGGGTCTGGAAGGCGCAAGGACCTGAGGGTCGCCATTCCGCCTGATGGGTTGCAGGAAGGCGTGGAAGTGGAGAACACCGAGGGGGGCGCGCGGGGTGGGGCGGGGGAAGCAGGAGAGGCGGGAGCAGGGGAGGCGGGAGCAGGAGAGGAAGCAGGAGAGGAGGACAGGTTGGTGGGCGGACAAGCAGGAGAGGTGAGGGAGGAGGGAGAGGAGGGGAAGAAGAGGGGTGGAAAGTTGGGTGGGGAGAAGGTTCCAGATCGGGGTGAGGGAGTGCGAGGTAAGGAGGAGGAGGACGAGCAGCGACAAGGAGGTGATGATAGGGATGAGAGAAGGATTGTGGCGGTAGAGGGAGCAGGTCGGGGAGGCGGTGATTTGGTGGTGGTGGGTGGTGGTAGCAGTGGTGTGTGTGAGAAGGAGAGGAGTGGTGATGAAGCGGAGGAGAAGGTTATGCAAGGTGCTGCAAGCAGTTCAGGCATGCGGCACGAGCAGCTTGGAATTGGGATTGGGAGTGGTAACGGGGAAGAATCGCTGCAGCAGTGGCATGGCATGGACGCTCTGAGAAACGCATCGTCCGTTGCAGAGGCGGATGCAGGGGAAAGAAGAGAGGCGGGAGTAGCGGGAAGAGCAGGAGGAGGAGGAGGAGGAGGTGGTGGGGAAGGAAGTGAGGAGAAGCGAGGATTGAGGAACGAAGCGGGCAGCGGCGATGCGGACGCAGAGCACAGGGAAGGAGACCGTGCAGAGAGCGAGGAGGGGGCTGCAGGGTTGCGAGAGAGGCGGGGCATCGCATTGCGAGTCGGGAACCTCGCTGTGAGTCAAGGAGGCAGGGAGAGAAAGCACAGCAGCCTTGGCAGCCTGGGGAGCGGCGGCAGCAGGATCAGCCAGTGCGTGTACACGCCGTCACTGGAAGGCGAAGGTGATGCGTGCAGCCCTGATGCTGCTGGCCAGCAGAAGCACCGTAGCAGCCTCGGGACGACGAGTCCCCGCAGCGATAACGATGCTGCTGCTGGTGGTGGTGGCGGTGGCGGCGGCGGTGGCGGCGGCGGTGGCGGTGGTGGTGGCAGCAGCGTGAAGTGGCATGTGCTCCCGCGGAAGCTGCTCACTCCGAAACGCTCTCCTCTCGCGTCCGAACGGTCGCCTACGATTGCAGAGATCTTGGGTGAGGGCGAGTGTGGCGAGGGGGGTAGAGAGGGGCGCAGGGGGAAGGAACAGGGAGGGAAGGAGGAGGGAGAGGAGGAAATTAAGGAGGAGGGGGTTGCTGTGCTTAAGAATGGATCTGGGGGAAAGGAGAGAGAGGGAGGGAAGGGCGGGGAGGGTGTGGGGATGAGGGTTAGGACTGGTGGGCAAGCGGATGGTAGGAGTGAGAAAGAGGAGGTGGAGGATGGAGGGAGGGAGGGTGGAGTGAAGGCAGAAAGTTTAGGGACAAAGGGAGACGGTGAGGCTTTTGAGGCAGAGGCAAAGAACGGGGAGAAGGACGGAGAGGTGAGAGAGGAGGAGAAGGAGGAAGAGGAGAAAACGGAGGAGGGGAAGAATGGGGAGGACAAGGAGAAGGGGGAGAGTGAGAAGGAAGGGGAGGAGTTGCCTCTGGTGGGTGTGTGGAGGGAGGGGAACGGATGGCTGGTGTGGCTTAACTTTGAAGGAGACGCATGGATGGAAATGGAGACTGATGAGAGGAGTGGCGGCGGCAGCAGCAGGTGGCTCAACGCTGTGAGCTCCCTGCTAAAGCCAGGAGAAGAGAAGGGCGTGGGAGGGGGCAAGCGCGGTGCTGGAGACGGCACTGGTGGCGGCGGCGGTGAGAGGAGAAGGGGTGGCGGTGGCAGCGGCGGCGGCGGCAGTGGCGGTGGCGCATGGGCCAGTGATGGGGTTACCTTTGCCCCCACTGCCTCGCTTGGTGCTGGTAGCGGTAGCAGCAGGCAGGAGGCCGGGGAGGCGACGAGTGGGGGTGGTGGAGGCGGCAGGAGGATCGGAAGGAGGATGCTGAAACGGGGATCGAGCGAGGGAAGGAAGGGGCTGTCTCACGTGCGTGACTCGGTGATCTATGCCCCGGGCCTGCACCAAAACTCGGGGGATTATACTGATGAGCAGCAGCAGCTGCAGCTGCAGGACGAGAATGTACAGTCTGAGAAAGGAGGTCGCAGGGCAGGGCGGAGCAAGAGTCACGGGTTCTTCACTCCCCGGGAGATCAGCGCTGCTCTGGGTGGTGCTGGCCACGGGCACGGGCACGGGCACGGGCATGGGCACGGGCACAGCAGCAGCATTGGAAGCCTGAGGGGGTTGAAGTCCCTGGGTGCTCGTGGCAGTCGGAGCATGCGCGTGCCCAGCCATGTGGCATCTGCTGCCATTGCTGCTGCTGCTGCTGCTGATTATGATGAGGAGGAGGAGGAGGAGGATGAGGAGGACGAGGAGGAGGGAGAGGAGAGGGAGGAGGGGAATGAAGGCGGTGGAAGTGGGGGGGGGGGACAAGCACGGCAGCGGAAGCAAAAGCAGCAGTGGTTGGAGGAAGGAGGGGGGCTGGGAGCAGGGGAGGAGGACGATTGGTTGGATTTGGGCGACGAGGACACAGGCAGTGCAGCAGAGGGGCAAGTGAGGGAGAAAAGAGGGCGGGTACAAGTGCGGGGTTCAGTGCGAGGGCAAGTGCGAGGGTCAGGCCAAGACCAAGTGCAGCCTAGAAGGAGGTCTACAAGTTGCGATGCAGTGCGGTTGAGGGGGATGGAGCGGGATGAGGAGGATGCATGCAGGGATCACACGGGTCGTGACCACGCACATGCTGCTGCTGCTGCTGCCGCCCCTGCTGCTGCCGCCGCTCCTGCTGCTGCTACCGCCCCTGCTGCATCTGATGTTGGTCCTGATACCATGATTGCCACACAATCGGAGGCTGCAGTTGCTGCCAGCCCTCCTGCTCCAACCCTTTCCACTCCAACCGACGGCTCACCATGTGCTTCAAAAGCACCCTGTCTCTCTCCAAGCGTTTCAAGCGTTCACGCTGCAGGAGGAGTGGGGGGGAATGTGGTTGAGCAGGCAGGTTCTGAGCCGGCCGAAGCAACTCAAACAGCAAGTGGAGACGTGGTGGTGGGGGGGGTGGTGCTCGGGACACCCTCCTCTTCGTCTCATGATCCTGTTGCTTCTTTCTCCCACGATGCGCTTCCTGCATCTGCTGCTTCTGCTGCTGCTGCTGCCCCGGCCGTGCTGCGTGGTGAGATAATGGTAACGCCACGTGTGTCACTGGTGATCTCCGATGGAGATGCTGCAATAGCAGGAGCAGGATCAAAATTACGAGCAGGAGCAGGAGCAGGAGCAGGAGCAGAAGCAGAAGCAGAAGCAGGGGCGGACACTGCAGCTGCTGCTGTCGCCGGCACCACTGCCAATAGTCCTCTCTTTAACTCCTCTCTTCCTGGGGAAGTGAGTGCAGGGAGTGTAGAGAAAGCAAGGGGCGACGGCGTTTTCCCTGGTGCAGCAGCATTGGAAACAGCTGAGGAGGTTGATCAAGCGAGTGGTGACAAGGCAGAGGAAAATTTCTCTGCTAGTGGCAGCGGTGAGGGGAACAGCAGAGGCATGAGGCTGGATGCAACAGCAGAAGAGGTGCAGGAGGTGGGTGGGGAGAGCAGATGGGGGGACGATGAGGGGACAAAAGAGGGGGCAGAGAGAGAGGGAGAGGATATTCCTGGTGTGGACGAAGGGAGAGAGGAAGGCGGGAGGGTGAGGTTCGATGTGAGGGAAGAACGGGACTGGGAGGCGGGCGAAGGGGCAGTGGTGGAGGAGGGTAAAGCGACCGAGTCTACTGTTCGTAGAACCCGCTCAACAACCCCTACCTCCCGTGAGCAGAAAAAATCCGCCGCTTTGCCTTCTGCTGCCTCGGTTGCTGGTAGCGGTGCTGGTGGGGATGGTGGCGGCAGTGGTCGGCCAAAGGCAGGGGGGGCAAAGCGGAAGGGCAGCGCAGGAGCGACAGCTGGAGCAGCAGGAGCAGGAGCAGCAGCAACAGCGGCAGCAGCGGCAGCGGCAGCAGCGGCAGCAGCAGCAGAGAAAGAGAAGCAGGCACGGAAGCCTGCAACGGGGAGGAGGCTCAGCTGGAGGCGCATCACTGTGGGCAGCACTGGTCCCACCACTCCTGGCAGCAGCAGCGGCAGTGGCATGGGTGGGGCGACGGACGGTGGGTATGGCAGCTTTGGTGGTGGTCTTAGCAGTGGTGGTTTTTCCAGCAGCAGCTTTGGTGGGAGTCTGGGGGCGAGCATTGTGGCTCTGAGCCTTGGAAATGCGAGCTTTAGCTCTAACTTGTCTCTGGGAGGGGATGGGAGGGGGTGGGAGGTGGGGAGGTGGGTGGAGGAAGGGGAGGAGGAGGGTGAAGAGGAGGGGAGGATTGAGGAGGATGAGTCAGTTCCTTCGCTCCCAGTGCCGTCGAGTGTTGATGAGAGCAGTGCTGTTGCTGCTGCTGCCCCTGCTGCACCTGTCGCTGCTCTCCCTCCTGCTGCTGCTGCCCCTACTGCTGATACCATTGCTGTTGCTGCGGATGCGGCAGCTTCTGCTGATGTCACTACTGCTGCAGGTCCTGTTATTTCTGATTCTGTCCAACCCAGTGATGTTGCCACCGCTGATACTGCCGCTGCCCCCATCCCTGAAGAAGCAGCAGCAGCAGCAGCAGCAGCAGCAGTAGCAGCAGACGAAGATAACAAAGGAGAAAAAGTGGAGGCTGGGGTGACAAGGCCGGGGGAAGAGAAGGAACACAGGGAGCAAGATTCAGATGGGAATAATAGCCTTCCCAGCATCTGTGATATCAATTTCAAGGCAGGAGCCGAGGAGACGGAAGAGGAGGAGAAGGATGAAGGGTGGGCTGCATGTGACTTGGCAGGGGAGGTGATGATGGTTGAGAAGAGTGCAGTGGAGCAAGAGCTTAGGGAGCTAGAGCACCAATTGGCGGCCCTGCAGCAGCAGCTGATGGTGTTGGGTGCGGTGGAGTGTGGTGGTGATGGTGGGGCGGCCAAGGGAGAGGGTGAGAGAGGGGCTTTGGAGCGTGAGGGGACGGAAGAGGGAAGTGAGGAAGGGGGTATGGGGTGGAGAGAGAGTAGGCTGGGGGAGAGTGAAAAGGGAGAGGAGGCGAGGGTGGGCGAGGTAGTGGAGGGAAAAGAAGGAGAGGCTGAGGAGATTAAGGATGACTCCGGCAAGGGCGGGGAGGAGGAGGCAGCAATTGAAAGACGTAGAGGTGGTGGCGATGGTGCCTTGGAGAAAACTCGAGAGGAGGTGGAAGATGGGGCGATCTCAGTGGCGATGGGAAGCGAGGAGGAGGGCGGCAGCAGAGTGGAGGGCAGTGATGGGAGGAGGAGTGGGCATGTGCCGGAACACGCACCGTGCCTCGGGAGCTCGGACGAGTGTGTGAGGTGAGCTGTGCCCTGTGAGGTCAGGTCAGGTGAGTCCACTCCACGCAGCAGTTGTGTGGTCTAGTCATCATGGTGAGTGGAGTGGAACCATGCTGGTCTCCCTCTCGATGTGGTGTGGTTCACCACATGGTCATCGTGGTTCACCACTGGTCATCATCTCGATGTGGTGTGGGCGCCATGGCGTATTGTGGCTGCTGACATGCCATACCATCCATTGTGTCATGGACCCACCCACCCACCCACCCACCCACCCTGCTCTGGCAACAACTTAAGTCCATGCATGCATGCATGGGGCCTTGCTTATAGGTCTCTTGTCCAAGTGGTTTACTAGTCCCTTCTCTTGTCCACTGGGGCACCTCCTTGCTCTTTTCTTCCCTGACTGTCCGTTTTAATCTGCTCGTCTCCATTGCTCCTTCACACATGTGCTTCTTGCAGGCATGTGATGGATCGCGGTGGAGTGGGGTACGCAGTGGTGGCAGCAGGCACTGGCGACATCATCACCTGCAACAACACCTTCCTCTCCCTCCTCCGCCTCGCCTCTCCTGCCCCTCACTGGCTCTCCGCTCTGGATCCCACCTCCGAGTCACAATTCCTGGTGAGCCTACAAGCGGTGTAAGCTGTTGTTCGCGACCCCTGAGAAACACCTGACATGAGATAGGCCAGGGTGGTGGGATCATAGCGGGAAGGACTGAAACTGGAGATTGAAGCAGAGCGCAGGAAGGAAGCATCTGTTCAAAAGGGCCACAGGTGCAAGATGTGGGTTGCAGATTCCTAGCGGAAGAAATAATGGAAGCAAGAAACGCATTCTTGTGACCGTTTCCTCTTGCACAGAGTTGAAAGGGTTCAAACCGTTTCCTCCTCATGCTCCCCACTCTACTGCCTGCTCCTTTGCTGAAACAATTGCCCCCCTGCCCCCTCGCTGTCCCAGGATTGGCTCAAAATGGCTACAAGTACCATGCATGTGCCCCCGCTCGTCGCGTGCCTGGCTACCCCATCCTGCTGCACCGACGGGTGCGCTGATTCTCAATCCTCATGTGCTTCTGAGCCTGCTGCTGCTGAGTCGACTGAGCTTATCGCTGAGAAGCCGATCACGTCCTGTGCTCTGCCTCCTGCAGCAGGCTCAGCAGGCTCTGCTGCGGCTGCGGCGGCGGCAGCGGCAGCAGCAGCAGCAGCATTAGCATCAGCAGCAGCAGCGCGTGTCTCCTTCATCCACTCCCCATCTCTTTTACTTAGTGGTCGACCTGCCTCTGCAGCCGATGCAGTGCCCTTGGATTCACGCTGTTGCGAGGTTGCCTTGATGGTGTTAAACGGGTCTCTACAGCAATGAACAACCTGCATTGCATGTCCCAGGGCATTAGGTTACATGCAGCTTACATTAGATTGTTGGAATCCTCGTGGAATCCTTTGTGTGGAGTCTGTCAGGTACTTGCTGGCGCTGCTTTCCACTCAGAGCTATGGTACCTATTACAGGGTGGTATCGGTTGTTACGGATGCAGTAGATGACATTATGCTTTCTTCATTCTGTAATACACCACAAGAAGCTTGGTCAAGAGATGAAGTGCCTCCACATTGCAGGCTCATTCTAGCATGCACAGCACAGCACACCCCAATAATAAAAGCACACCTAAGTTCTTGATCACTACTCGAACAGGGACCGCATCAGGATTTGAACCCTGGTTCAGTACTATGGCATTAAAGGCTTTCCCTGAACCCTGCCTTAATAAAAGACTACAAACCACATAAACGCAAGTCAGGAAGGGTTGCCTGCCACCTACTTATCCCTAAGTGGTGTATTCTGTTACTATTCTCGTGTGGGCGAAATTGATCAAATCCCTCGACCCCAGCCAAGGGCTGTACTTGAGAGGCCAAAGGTGGTTGTTGTGAGCCGAAGTACTGTAGCGACTTTCAAACAAGCGATGCTGTCGCACATTCATCACCCATTCCCTGGTTTCCCCAACCTGGGCTGTCGATCAATCCGATCCGTCTTGCGATGGGCTTTCCCAACCACTTTCTGGACACATATATACAGTAGCAAGCATTACACACAGGATACAGTACCTCGTGTCGATGCCATTTCACGAACGAGACTTGTTTCGCCCTCACCACTTTCAACAGTTCGTTTTCTTGAACTGAATTTGACAAACAAAACGACTTCTTTATCCAAAGCAGGGAGACTGGGTGACTGTCCCAGATAAGGCAATCTTCCCTCCCATCCCATCACGCAATCCGCCCGAGTCTTGGCAGGAAATGTTGCTCAAGATGTTGAGCGTGTCTGTCTGTCGCTCATCCAGAAAACGGTTACTGTTGCCTGGGAGCACCCACAACAAAGCAGCCTGAGGACAAACGCGCAACATGTGCCGACAGATCAGGCAAGTTGCCTAAGAGGACGGGCGGAGCGAGCAGCCCAACATGAAGGATGTCTTTGTTGTCGCGCAAAGTGCCCCATAAATGTCACCCAAGTGGTTGGCGGACCAAGTGCCCCACAAAGCACCCGGCCAAGAGGATGGTTTGACCCTAGGGCTGGCATGGTGAACACCTCAGGCACCCTGATCCAAGTTTTGTGAAACTGGGTGTCAAATTCGGACATTTGGACAAGCCTCCAAAACACATCGTTGCAATGTAGACACACATTCCAGAAATAGGAAACATGAAAAACCAGATACTGTACTGTATTCAAACTTCGATGGCGGGCATACTTCGGGACTCGTTAGTTGGACTCAAGCTCATCAATCTGTCCCCCGCAGTCGTTCGTCGCGTCGACTGCGTGTGGAGGAGCCTCCGCCATTGCATCGCGTCACATCACACCCACCCCATTCCGTCCAGTCACTGCTGCACAGAAGAAACATACTAGGCAGAACGAACAAGCGCTAGGAAGGCCACAAGCTTACGTGATGAAGAGTCCTGGGACAAACAGGGATGAACGAGGCTATTACAGATAGACACCGAATCTCGCGACGAGCGTACGAACCGTTGATAGCTGTGCCAGCTCGACAATGCAAGCACGGGTTGCAAGGCCCGTGAACTAAAACTCTTAGTACAAGGCTGGCTGACTTGCTGGGGCCAAAATACTCTAAAATTTTGCAAGCCGTGTATTATTCATCAATTGGTAGCTGCACGCTGCGCATTAGCCCGCTGCACATTAGCCCGCTGCGCATTAGCCCGCTGCGCATTAGCCCGCTGCGCATTAGCCCGCTGCGCACTAGCCCGCTGCGCACTAGCCCGCTGCGCATTAGCCCGCTGCGCATTAGCCCGCTGCGCATTAGCCCGCTGCGCATTAGCCCTCTGCGCATTAGCCCGCCGCGCGTTAACCGTCAACACTAATCCCTGCTACCCTCCTTCCGATGGCTGGCGACGTCCCTGCTTTGACCGCTTCACGTTACCTCCGTTCGCCCTCCCTCTCTGATCTCCCTGACAACGTCGCCCCGCTACAGTCGCAAACCCTGTCGCAACCCGACTCGCAGTCGCAGGAGCCGGCGCCGCCGCCGCCAGAATTGCCAGCGCAGCTGCTCCAACAGAACCACAATGAGGCGATGCGGGCGCGATATGGGAATGGCGGAGCGGTCGGCCGCGCGGAAGGCAAGAAGGCGGAGATTGAAAGGGTTCAGGGGGACAATGGGCGAACGAGGTACGCGGAGAACGGCCGAGCGGGGAACCGCGGGGACGACGGCGACGCGTGGAAGGGCTTTCACGGCAGCCGCGTCTTGGACCGCCGAGGCGCAACTGCGGAGAATGCGGTAATGCGCACCGGACAACCGCACGACTCCGCGACACCGGCGGCGGCCGCAGGTTGTACGAACCCTTCCGCCGTCGTCGCTTCCGCCGGGTGCGCGGACAGCCAGGGGAGAAAGAGCGCTAGGCAGAAGAGCCCGCAGCAGCGCTTGCGCCTTGGTCACTCCTCCCCGTTGGTTCCGCCCACCTCCGCCAGCATCGGAAAACCCCCCGTCGCGCGCTCGAAATCCCCCACCCCTGGAATTTCCCCCAATGCAAGACTCTCCCCCACCGCCCAAAACGTTTCCGCTTCTGGGGCGAGTTCCGCCAGTTCCGCCAGCTGTACTGACAGCAGCGGCGCAGCTTCCCCGGGGAGGGCAGGACCCCGTGTCATCTCCGCTGTTCCCGCGTCTCTCTCAAGCTCTCCCGCGGCGCGGTTCGTGCAGCAATCGCGGGCAATGATGATGCTGCTGGAGCGACAATGCGCTCTCGTCGTCGCCGTGAGTAGCGGCGCTGTTGCCGCGCTGGGCTGCTCCGCCGATGAGCTGACGACAAGCGGAGCCACCAGCGGGGGAGGCGGCGGAAGCGGCGGAGGCGGAACGGGCGTGCGCGGGAGCTCCGGCGGAGAGAACGGAATCGACAACGAGAAGGACGGCAATGGCGGAAGGGCGCGAGAGGGGGAGACGAACGAGGAGCAGGAGGGGGAAGAAGCGGGGAAGGGGAGAGCTACTGGGGCGGCGGAAGGCGGGGGACCGATGTCTCTTTTTGACTTGACGAGTGATCTGACGATGCGCATGTGGCAGGAGGCCATGGCGGATGTGTTCGGGACGGCGGGAGGCGGGGGGAAGGCAGGCATTGGCGCTGCTGTGCTACGGTGAGTGCGGACGAATGTAGGAACGGAGGGAGGAGGGGGTTGGGTCGGGTAGAGGGCCGTGGGGTTTGTTGTGTGCTGAGTGCGTCAAAGAGGAAAAGGTCGACGTTTTCCCGTCCGTGTGCCTCCTCCGTCCCCCTCGTCCCCTTCCCCTTACCTTTTTATAAACACATGACTCCAAATTAACCAACCCCTCCCTTTTCCCCAATCCCGTTCCCTTGCACGTCGCCCGCACGCCCCCCTTCACGCCCCCCTCACCCCTCTCTCTTCCCCCCCCAACTTCCTCCCACGGCAGGTTCCGCGTGCGCGACTTTGGAAAGGGCGGGCATCTAGCAGGCGTGGCGGTGGATCTAATGGTGCAGCCATGCCAGTTCGTGCCTGAGACGCGTGCTGTCATCGCCACCATCGCCATCGTCAACAACCCCTCCGCTGCTGCCACCACTGCTTCCGCTGGTGCTTCGGCTGGCGCCCTGGCGCCAAGCTCGCTGCATGTGAACGTGGAGGATGGGGGGGAGCGAGAGGGGGGAGGCAGAGCAGGGCGGAGTGGCAGCAAGCCCATGTCTAAGAAGCTCGTGAATAAGATCGCGGGGTTTCTCCGGCTCAAGGATGACACTGCTGCTGAGGGTAGCGGGTCTGCTGGTGGTGGTGGTGCGTGTGGCGGCATGACTTCCCCATTGGGCTTCTCTGCCCCGCTGCAATCGCCCAACGATACAAGCAACCAGCAGCAGCAGCAGCAGCAGCAGCAGCAAGGATGGAGCAGCAACGTGCAGGCGGGCCCTGAAAGCCCTGCCATGTCCCTCCGCAAGGTGTCCACATTCCACGCGCTGCTGCCCCCCTCTGCCGCGCCCGGCTCCCTCCCTCCCCACCCTCCGTCCCTCTACTTACCCTTGCACCCGACCGCTCTCACGCCACCAGCCGCGGGTGGGACGCGCGGGGCATGGGGCAGCAGCACCACCATCAGCGGCGGCGGCAGCAGCAGCAGCAACAGGCGCGAGAAGGAGAGGGAGAGAAGAGGGGAGAGGGAGAGGGGTGGGTATGTGTCAGAAGTGCTGACTCCTGGAAGGCGGCTTATTCGAAAGGTTGGGTTTGGAGGCTCGGCCAGAGATGGCATTGCCTCCCCCATCCGAGCTCGTTTAAATGCCACTGCTGCCGCTGCTGGTGGTGGTGTTGGCAGTGGTGGTGGTGGTACGGTTGATGCTGAAGGGTTTGGGTTTGATGGTGCGGGTAGGAGCAGCAGCTTTAGCAGCAGCGGCAGTGGCAGCAAGAAGGGTGACTGGCTGGCCCAAGCTGCTGCTGTGGTGTCCATTGGGCGACTGAGTGGGAGGCTGACAGGCGGAGACAAAGGTGGAAAGGGAAAAGGAGGGGGTGGAGGGGGAGGAGGGGGAGGAGCGGGAGGAGGAGGAGGAGGAGGAGGAGGAGGTGGAGGAGGAGGGGAAGGAGGAGGAGGAAAAGGAGGAGGAAAAGAAAGTCCCGAGGAGTGTGGAGGAGAGGCGTGGAGGGCAGAGTGCGGGGAGAGGGCACTCAGAAGGGTGATGACAGCTGGCACGGAGATAGGGGGGGAGGTGGTCGACCGAGAGAGGGAAAATCCAGCATTGGTAGGGGGTGGACAATCCAGCTCTGGGACCAGTGCAGGAGTTGCAGCAGGGTTGGCCATGGAGCCTTCTTCTGGGTTAGTCGCAGCTGCTATCGCTGCTGCTGCTGCAGCTGACGCTGCTGCTGCAGCTGATGCTGCTGCTAGTAACAGCGCTGCTGCTTCTGATGCTCCTGCTCATGCTGGGTCATGCACAGGGCCTGCTGGTGGAGCAGGAAGCAATTCTGGTGAGTTGCAGTTAGGGGGGATGGGTGGTGCCGCGTATCGCAGCAGGAGTGGCGGGTTGAGTGAGAGGAGAGGGCTGGACGGGCGACTGGGGAAGCTGACACTGGCAGTGCAAGCGGGCCCGCATCAGGTGCAGACTCCTGGGCGGTACTCACATGGGAAAGGGACCATGGGTGCTGCCGGGGGAATGGGAGCGGCAGCGTCATTGGCAGCAGCGCAGTTCGTTTCTCCCCAGGGCATTGCTGCTGGAGCAGGCGAGGCTGGGTCCACGTCCCTTTGCCTTGCCAAGCCCTCGCCAGGAAGCTCCGCGTCTCCAGCTGCTGCTGGCGGCACGGGCATGGGTCACAGCGGCCGGATGGCGCTGCTGAGCCCGAGAAGCGGCCTGCTTGCTCTCAAGGCGTTGCTCAGTCCCAGAGACCGCTCCCGGGCCCTCGGGGAGGCGCTTCCTCACAGCCAGGGCGCAGCAGTGCCAGGGGCAGCAGGTGGAGACGGTGGTATGAGCAGCGGGGCTGGGGCTGAGATGATAGCAGGGAGAGAAGCAGGAGGTGTCGGGAATGGTGTACGGGTAGTGAGTGGTGGTGGAGTGAGGCAGGGAGTGGGTGGGAGGCTGGAGGTGGATGGTGGAGGGAGCAGTGGCCTGCGAGAGGAGGAGAGTGCTCTGGCTGGATCTGTGGCAGCAGCAGGTGGTGGCACAGGGGCAGTGCACGGGACAGTTGCTGCTGCAGCAGCAGCAGCAGCAGCATCTACTGCGGCAATAGCTGGATCAAGGGTGTCAGGTGTAGCAGCAGCAAGAGGAGGAGGAGCAGCAGCAGCAGCACCGACAGCTGCGGCACGGTTCGGCCGTGCTGTCTCTGCAATGACGTCTGTTGTGCCTGCTCGCTCCCCCAGCCCTCTCAAACCTGCTCGCGTCCCTGCCCCTGCCCCTGCCCTCAGTGCTTCTGCTTCTGCTTCTGCTTCTGCTGCTGCTGCTGCCGCAGTTGCCTCTTCCAGTGCTCCCGGTGGTGGTGGTGGTGCTGCTGCTGTTGCAGGAGCTGGTGCAGCAGCTGCCATGGCTACACGGGCAGGTGCACCGAGAGCGCGGTCTTTCTTCCCCAAGTCCTCCAGCCTCACTGGCCGCGTTCCCACCCACTCCACCTCGCCAAACCCCTCACCGTCCCCCCACCACCGCGTGCTGTCACATGCAGTAGACGTGGAGAGGGACGCAGGAAGAGGCAGGGTGGGTGCGTACACCATGGAAAGAGGAGGACGAGCAGGGCTCAGCGGTGATGCTGCTGCTGCTGCCGCTGGTGCCGCCATGGATCCCTCCTCCAGCTTTCAAAAGTGCCCCACTCTTCCCTCTAGCATGCGTCCTGCTGCTACTGCTGCGGCGGCTGCTTCAGCAGGAAGTAGCGGTGGCAGCACTGCTGCTGCTGCTGCCACAGGGCCTGTCGTCCCTCTTGCCCTTCCACCAGCCGCGTTCCCCTCCTCCTCCTCCTCATCATCCTCTGCTTTCGCCACCACCCCTCTCCACAACCCAAGCCCCTATCCATACACCCCAGCGCGCACCCCCACGGCCTCTCAGAGAGGACTCTCCCTCTCCTCGCCCCGCTTCCTCCGCTCGTTTACTGCAGACGCTTCAGAGCTTACAGAGGCTTCCCGAAGGATGTGGGGGCGAGAGGCGCGGGGGGGCTGGGGCGGAAGGGAGGAGGAGAGTGGTGGGGACAGCGGGTGGGGGCAGCAGGAGGAGGCGTGGGAGGAGAACGAGGGGGAGTATGGGGAAGGTGATGGGGACTATGATGCAGAGTTAGGGCAGGAGGAGGAGTGGCAGGAGCGGCAGCGGCGGCGGCAGGTGCAGTGGCAGCAGGAGCAGGAGGAGGGGCATATGGACGGGATGGCCCGCGGGAAGAGTGGGCAGCGAGGGCGGGGGGAGGAGAGGTGGAAGAGGATTGGGTCAAGTGGGAAGATTAGCAGCAGGTGGCTGGGGTGGGGGAAGAAGTTTGGTAGGGACGACGGGGAGAGGTCACGGCGAGGAGGGAGAGAGGGGAGGGAGGGATTGGGGAGGGGAGATGTCGGGGGGGAGGGAGACACGGGGCATGGTGGTGGGGCGTGGGGATCAGGTGGTGCGGGAGGGGGTGGAGGGGGGAGGCGGAGCAGCGGCTTAGTGTTTGGTTTAGGAGCAGCATTGGGAGGCGGAGCAAGCAGTAGGCGCGTGGTGGGTCGGTCCACGTCCAGTGGACCGGGCGGCATGGTGGGCGCGGCAGGTGCATCTGAGGAAGGCTTTATCTGGGAGCGCACTGCCACTCTGCACATGAAATCATCTGCAGGGGACCTGGAGGGGTCAGGGGGAAGGGTGGTGGCGCATGAGGCGCATGGCAGGGCGGGTAGCTGGGGCAGCGGGGGGGAGTGGCGGAGGGAGCGGGAGCTTGGGGAGAGGGGCGCTGGGTGGGTGATGGAAGGGAGTGGGTATCGGCTGGTTGATGGGGTGAATGGGCGTGGGGATGTGTGGGACGGGACGGGTGGGGGAGAAGGGGGTGTGTCTGTTAGTGGGGGGTGGGAAGGGGGAGGAGAGGCGGGTGGAGAGAGTGGGGGGAGAGGAGGGGTGTTTGGGTGGAAAACGGGGAGTGTGCGCGGGGGGAAGGGGAGAGGAGGAGAGGGGTCGAGGACCCCGCCGAATGGGTGGGTAGGGAGAGGAATGGGAGGAGGAGGAGGAGGCGGGGGAGGGGGAGGGGGAGGAGGATTGGTAGCGCCTCTGTCCAAAGCAATAAAGGGGAAGGGGAAGGGGAAGGGGAAGGAGAAGGAGAAGGAGCTGAGTGAGAAGCAGAGGGAGATACTGGCGAGTGAGCTGATGTGGCTGGACTCGCAGATGGTTCAGATGGAACAGCAACTCAACCGCCTCATCCTGCCCACCCATGGGCAGCTGTTGCCGCCGCATGAGCAAGCGCCAGGGCATGGTCTGCTGGTGGAAGGTGGGGAGACAGCGCATGGGGAAGGTGGGGAGACAGCGCATGGGGAAGGTGGGGAGACAGCGCATGGGGAAGGTGGGGAGACAGCGCATGGGGAAGGTGGGGAGCAGGACGAGGAAGCGGGAGGCGAAGGGGAAGGGATAGGGGAAGGAGAGGGAGGGTGCATTGGGGAGGAGATCAGGCCGAGACTCAGGCCTGGGCATGGGCATGGGCTGAGGAAACTGCCAGAGGGGGATGGGAAGCAAGAGGGGGTTGGTGACAGGGTGCGTGGTGTGGGAACGGGAGGTGGGGTTGAAATCAAGGGGCGAGGGGACGACGACGAGAGGAGCTTTGGGAGGGATGGAGGTGGTAGTGAGAGGGGTGATGACCTGGTTGGGGGGGGTGAGGGGGCTGAGGGGGTTGCACAAAGGGAGGAGGGGGAAAAGTGTGGAGAGGAAGAGGGTTATTTGGAGAATGAAGGTGAAATGGAAGGGTCGTGGAGGGAAGGCGAAGAGGAGAGGGTGGAGGGCGAGGAGGGGGCTTGGAGTGTGGTGGATTGTTGGGATGAGGAGGAGAGGGAACGGGAGGAAGGGAGAGGGGAAGAGGAGGTGGGGGATAAAAGGGATGAGGGAAGGGAGGATGGAAGGGAGGATGAGGAATGGTACTCTGAGCAATGGAGTGAGGTGCCAGATACAGGGGATGGGAGTGAGCTTGATGCGGTGGAAGGGGATAGGATGGAGCGAAACGAAGAGGAAGAGGTGGGAGGGGAGAGAGGAGAGGCGGGAGGAGGGGAGGGAGAGACGGGAGTGAAGGAGGAGGAGGAGGGAACGAGGAAGGAGAGAGTAAGTGAGGAGGAGGAGGAGGAGGTTGGGAGCACAGGAGGGGGGGCAACTGAGATGGAGGGTGCAGAGTTGAAGGGAAGTGGCGGTGCAGAGTTGGAGCAGCGTGCGGAAGAGGAAGGGGATGGGGTGAAAGGAAACAAACGCATGGGTTCATGTGGGGAGGAAGGGGAGGGTGGTGCAGTGCTGTCTGATAGGGGAGGAAGGGGAGGGCAAGGTGGAAGGGGGAAAGAGATGTTGCTGCCAGGGAGCATGCGAGGAGAGGAGCAGGAGGTACGAGAAGGGAGTGGCATGGGGTTGCATGCAGATGCAGGTGATAGCAGCAATCCGTGTGAGAGCAGTGCTGAGGATGAGGAGGGTCGGAAGCAACATGCAGGTGTTATGGCAGCCTCTTCCCCCATCGCCAGCAGCACCACCACTGGTGCCGCCAGTGCTCTTATTGACCACAATCATTCTCACCTGCTCTACGCCACCTCATCCTCCTCCTCATTCTCCTCCTCATCCTCCTCCTCATTCTCCTCCTCCTCTTCCTACATTGTGCAAGGCACTTGTCACCCTCGAGTTTGCCCGACGTCCCTGGTCGCATCTCCTGCCGCTGCCCCCTCTTGCCACAGCTCGGCACAATGGGTCAGGTACGCACCGGCATGCATGATGCACTCACGCACACGCATGCAGAGAGCACGCAAGCATGCTCATGCCCATTCACATATTTCAATGCACTGTGGGATGGCAGGGTGCATGTGAGGGACGGAAACGTCAACCCCCACCCTCCCTTCTCGTTGACTCCCCCTTTTCCACCTTTCCTCTCTTCTCCGTCCCCACCCCACCAAAACCTTAACGCAGCCATGTGTTGGATCATGCGAGTGTGGGCTTTGCCATAATGGACCCTTCCTCCTCGCGTCTCCTCACCTGCAACGACTCGTTCCCCTCCCTCCTCGCTGCACCCGCCTCACTCATTGCGCCCGGCCTCTCGCTGCTCCTCGCCCTGCCACACCACCACAGAGCGCCTTTCCAGGTGGGCACATGGGGGGTTGGTTGGTGGTGCAGTGGTGGTGGCTTGGTCGAGTGGTTGGTTGTGGTGGTGGGTAGACAGGGAATGCAAGCGCCAGTTGGCTGACAGGGGGGATGTGGCCTGTTGTGGTTGTGAGTTGGGTTGGGGTGGCAATGCTATGACAGGGTATGCGTGAATGAGTGAGTGTGTACGTGCGTGTGTATGCGTGCATGCATAGGCACCAATGAGTGAGTGAGTGCATGAGTGGGCATACACGTCTACAGTGCAACTTAGCAGAGCTTGCTTGCTATCAGCATGAGTGCTTGGTCTTGGAGGAAGCTTGCACCTGCACTGTGCGGTGCTCTGTCCATAGGCCATGCACAACACAACATTGTGTTTTCTGCCATCATTGTCTGTGTTTCCTTTTCGCGTCTTTCTGTCTGTGTCAACTTATCTGCCCTCTCCTCTCCTCCCCTCCCACACCGCATTGAAGGAGTGGCTTCAGGACTGCGCATCCAGCACCACGCCCTCTCCACCTCCCTTCACTCTGCCGATCACTCACAGTGGGAAGCAGTGTGGCGTAGAAAATGCATCCATGCTCCCGTCAGAGGCACCTTCCTCCTCCCACGTCGTAAACTTCATCTGCTGCCCAGCTGCCATCCCCGCAACAATCCACACAGCAGCACTGGCATCAGCACCAGCAGCACCAGCAGCAGCAGCAGCAGCAGCAGCAATGGTCGGTGCAGCATCAGTAGCAGCAGGCACAACCGTACCCCAGCATCCTGATCTTCCTTCACCCCATGTACTTGCAGTGCCTCCTGTCACTCTCCTTGCCATGCTCCAGAAGTGAACGCACAGGGGCACGGTCACATACAGGGACGTGCACTGACACACGTGGCTCGATCCCCATGGGCAAGGGCTGTAGGGAGGCAATTTCTGAGGCGCCAAAAACATCGGGGGGATGCAGTGATGAATGCATGGATGGATGCATGAATGTGTGTGCCCGCGTGAGCGCGTGAAAGCAGCACGCCACTTGCACGCAGCAGTGTGTATGGTAATTGTTTGAGCTGTCCCCGTTGTGTGACGATTGTGTGATTTGGTGGAGTGTATGGCAAAGGTGGTGGTGAAGTAACCCCCCCAAAGCCATGGCATCATCAGCACAAAAGGCTGATCCGAGAATAACCCTCCACTCTTGACTTGTATCATGTATGGTGCTTGCTCTGCCGATGTGTCAGGGCAACAGTTAACCTCTGTCGAGTGTGTAGGTTGAGTCAGAATCTTGTGTTTGCATCTAACATACCGTACTATGAGAGCCCAGTGATGTACCCTTTCCTGCAAGGGCAATGTTACACTTGTTAGCAAACAACTTGATGGCACAGATACAGGTAAACCACCCTGTGGAGTAAACCAACCAGATGGATAGACGGGGATTTTTCTTATTTCCGGGCTATTCGCCACACTAATCCAATCACGCATGCGAGCAGGGCGCCAGGAATCGACCGCTTGGAGCCGGCTCTTCTCAGCATGGCATCTGCAGCGCTCTTGGTGGCAAGAGTGAGGCACGTGACTGCTGTGCATGTGAGCACAATGTCTTTTGTGACACGCGATACTGCGTCTGGAAAGAAGAGGAGAATGAGGTCCTCGAATTCCCCTTGGGAGAACTCGCCTGGCTGGGAACAGTTGAATGCCTGGTGGGGAGTGGGAAAGCAGGCAGGGAAGGAGGGCAGCGGGGAAGGGGAAGAGTGAAGAGTGGGGGAACGGGTGTACGGGGGAAGGGAGGGGTTAGGGTGGAAGGAGGAAAAGGAAGGATCAGTGGAAGGAAGGAAAGAAGAGAGGATGAAGGAAGCAGGGGAAGAAAGAACAGGAGATGCAAGCGGCTGATTTTGTTGTCAGGAGACTGGGGTTGTTTATAAGAAGCAAGCCCCAGCCATTTGATCAGGAGATGGGAAAGCAAAGGCTGCAACTACCCCGCGACTCCCCATCGTGCTCACCTGCACTCTCTCCTTGACTTCTCGTCTTGATGGCGGATCAAAGAATGCATGTGAGGATCTCCGGTTCAACTCACTGCTTGACAAGAGCGCGAGGGATGGGAACGGGCAAGTCAGGAAAGGAGTGAGCAAGAGGGAAAGAGCAAGATAGGTGAATGAGTTACATGACATTCTCATCTCGCTGTGATCCAGCCCTGTTCCTGGGAAAGTTACAAGGTCCAGACACTACAGAAACTTTCTACTCACTTGAACACGAGCAACACGCCTTCGTAAACGGCCGACGATGGTAGCCGCCTATAATTCACCTCCACTGCGCTCTTGCCTTGGGAACATCCAGAGATGCCGTTCGTTGATGCTGCTCCATCAACGGCTGTGAGCTGACAGAAGGATGTTCGGATGCATTGGCGGACCAGCGGCTTGCTGATGACGTGGCCTGCCCCTGCACCCAACGCCGTCAGCAAAACTGGAGTGACACGTGTGAGGAAAAAGTCAGGTTGTCGCAATATCAGATTACGCACTTATGACACGCGTAGCGTACTGCCGCGTGTACACACGCGGATAGCATCGAACCGTCGGCACGAGAATCTGAGGATATTAAGGATGGTTGCGATTAGGCTTCAGAATGAGATGCAGAAAGGAGTACAGATATGAACGGGAGGAGGAATACTCACTCACAACTCCCATGAGTGATGTGACATCATGGTGACCGCCTAACAAAGAAGTGCAGAAGAACAGAAGTTTCAAGGAGCTATACATGACCTGAAACAATCAGTACACGAACCGCATCTGCTCCCACGAATCTGTTGTGGATCCCTTGCTTGCACTAAAAGGATCACCTACTACTCTATTAATGGGCATGCCACTGGTGCACCTAATTCAAACCAGTTACAAAATCCCACAGCACAGACAAGGTCCACTGGTAATCCCCCTCCCCAAGCTAAGTAGGCAGCCCTGTGACACTTATTGAGGCTATACATGAAGTGGTATAATGGAAGGTGTGTGCTTCTAAAATGAGAGCACGAAAGCAGGAGAGTAATAAAGCATGTGCATCAGCAGCAGCCTCTGACTGCCAGCACGGCTACCAGTGCAGTGGAGCCATCTGCAGCAGCGTGCAGTGGCAGGGACAGGGGTAGCAGGCAGGGGGAGGGAATGAGCGTAACACGCTCGTGCACTGCTGAAGCTGGCAGCGGCAGTGCTGGCGGCGATAATGGAAGTAATGTCGATGGTGATGCTGATGCTGATGGTGATGGTGATGTGGATGATTCACCCTGTGCGTCAACCTCTAGAGGCATTGATCCCAGTGGCTGCTGCTGCTGGAGAGGAGAGTGACAGGAGGAATCCGGAGGAGGGGACTGGGAGGTGGGGAGGGGTGAGAGAGGTGAGGGAGGTAAGCTAGGTGACGACACAGCGGGAGGAGGTAACAAGGAGAAGGGGGGGGCTTTATTTGCTGCTGCACCAGGGCTGTTGCATGTACCATCCAGATCCATATGTGCCACTGCTGCTACATCATCATGCCCACATGAGGCGCTGCTAACACCACCACCGCTGCTAGAGTTGCTGCTGTGCTTCTTCTGGCTGCTCTTGCTCCTCCCACTGTCGGCGCCACACGTAGCAGAGGGGCTCTCCTGTAGCTGTACCGTGATGGGAGAGGGTTGCGAGAGTGCGTGGCATGCGGTGGCTAGCCATGGCTGGCAGGGGCAATGGGGGAGGAGAGGGAGCACAGGGACAGAGGGACAGACAGAAGATGAGCGAGCTGGTGAGTGGAGAACACAAGGTTGGGAGGGGGGAAGGTTGTGTGAACGGTTCTTTCTACTTGCATGCTCTCAAATCCTGGTATCAAATGGATGGGCATGTGAAATGCAAGCAGAGAAGAAGAGCGGAGGCTAGCACAGCAGAGCAGAGCAGAGCAGAGCAGAGCAGAGCAGAGCAGAGCACAGCAGAGCACAGCAGAGCAGAGCAGAGCAGAGCACAGCACAGCAGAGCACAGCAGAGCACAGCAGAGCAGAGCAGAGCACAGCAGAGCAGAGCAGAGCACAGCAGAGCAGAGGCTAGCAGGGCAGAGCAGCATCCAAATGACATACCATGAGTTCCCCTTTTGACTCTGCCGACAGGGCATTCACCACATTCAGACACACCGAGCCACCACACCCTGCCCCTGCCACTGCTGCTGCTGCTGCTGCTGCTGCACCGTCAACTGCTTTTGTTTCTGTATCTGCCGCTGCTGCTTCTGTTTCTGCTGAATCAGCACCCACGACTGTGGCAGTGGCAGCGATGGCGGTGTGAGGGGCAGGCGAGGCGAGGCGGAGGAGGGAGAGGAATGTGTTGTTGCAGGTGATGATGTCGCCAGTGCCTGCTGCCACCACTGCGTACCCCACTCCACTGCGATCCAGCTGGGAACTGCGCCATGGACAGGGCATGAGGAGAATAGCAAGAAAGAGGGGGGACAAGAGGGAGTGATGAGGGGGATGGGGAAGGGGTAGAGGACTAAAAAGTAAGGGGATGGAGAGGAAGGAAGTGGTGTGAGTGGAAGAGGATGGTGTTGAGACACACACAAGCAATGATGATTGTTCTGGGAAAGAGTGTTCTAGTAGGATGATTTGAACATGTCCTACATCCCCTGCCCTGCTCTGCCCTGCCCTGCTCTGCCCTGCCCTGCCCTGCTCTGCCCTGCCCTGCCCTGCTCTGCCCTGCCCTGCTCTGCCCTGCCCTGCTCTGCCCTGCCCTGCTCTGCCCTGCCCTGCTCTGCCCTGCCCTGCTCTGCCCTGCCCTGCTCTGCCCTGCCCTGCTCTGCCCTGCCCTGCTCTGCCCTGCCCTGCTCTGCCCTGCCCTGCTCTGCCCTGCCCTGCTCTGCCCTGCCCTGCTCTGCCCTGCCCTGCTCTGCCCTGCCCTGCTCTGCCCTGCCCTGCTCTGCCCTGCCCTGCTCTGCCCTGCCCTGCTCTGCCCTGCCCTGCTCTGCCCTGCCCTGCTCTGCCCTGCCCTGCTCTGCCCTGCCCTGCTCTGCCCTGCCCTGCTCTGCCCTGCCCTGCTCTGCCCTGCCCTGCTCTGCCCTGCCCTGCTCTGCCCTGCCCTGCTCTGCCCTGCCCTGCTCTGCCCTGCCCTGCTCTGCCCTGCCCTGCTCTGCCCTGCCCTGCTCTGCCCTGCCCTACTCTGCCCTGCCCTGCTCTGCCCTGCCCTGCTCTGCCCTGCCCTGCTCTGCCCTGCCCTGCTCTGCCCTGCCCTGCTCTGCCCTGCCCTGCTCTGCCCTGCTCTGCCCTGCTCTGCCCTGCCCTGCTCTGCCCTGCCCCAGATCTTAACAGCACCGGTGTAGGCAGCAGAACTGCAACGCACGCACATCCACCCCAGGATAACACCCGAGCGGACGCAAGCCTCACCTGATGCATGTGTGCATGGGCGCATGGCAGCGAGCACAGCATGGAGACTCAATCTCCACCCCGCCACCATGCTCGCCGTCTGCCATGACCCCATGACCATCATGACCATCATGGCCATCATGGTCATGACCACGGCTGTCAGTGGATTCATGACCGTCAACAACAACATCACGAACTGCCCTCCCCACCACCTCCTGCTGCTTCTCCTTTCCCCGACTGGCCCTTCTCCGCCTCTGCCCTGCGCGCTGCCTCTGCCCCCCCGCTGTACCCGACTCCGCAGCAGGGGAGAGAGGAGGGAGGGTGGGGGAGAGCGGAGGGAGGGCGCGGGAGGGAGACGGGAGAGCGTGCGCAGGGGAGGGAGGAGCGGCACCAGATGCAGGCAAAGACAGAGAGGGAGAGGAGGAGGAGGGGGCACGAGCTGGACTGCTGCTGGTGTTGGCTGGCTGGAAGGCGGACTGGGATGAAAGGGATGATGTCGCCTGCCTGTGCTTCTGCTTCGGACTCTTACTCACACTCCGTCTTCTCTCCTTACCATGGCTTCCTTCCCGCATCCCCCCCTTCCCCTCGCCGCTGCTACTACCCCCAGGGGTCCTTGGGCTATCAGCACCACTTGCCCTTGGGCTAGAGCTCAATATCTCCCTCACCTTGCTCCCTTCTTTCCCCTCCTTGCCACGCCCCTCCTCCACCTCCTCTTCATCTTCTGGCACCGCTTTCTCATCCTCTGGCACCGCTTTCTCATCCTCTGGCACCGCTTTCTCATCCTCTGGCACCGCTTTCTCATCCTCTGGCACCGCTTTCTCATCCTCTGGCACCGCTTTCTCTTCCTCTGGCACCGCTTTCTCATCCTCTGGCACCGCTTTCTCATCCTCTGGCACCGCTTTCTCATCCCCCTGCCTCTCCTCCGCACATCCCTCCCTCTCCAGCGCCTGCTCGCCTTCCCCCTTCTCCCCATCTCTAGCCACCACCAGAGCCGCCTCTGCACCCCCCAAGCCCCCCTCCCCCAGCTCCCCCTCCCTCAGCTCCCTCTCCCCCAGCTGCCTCCACCCAAACTCCCGCTCTTCCAACTCCCCCTCCCCGCGCCCCCCCTCCCCCAGAAACCCCTCCCGCAGCTCCCCTTGGTCCTCTCCAGCCTCGTCCCCATGGTCGGCCATGGCGGCGCCAATGGTGAGCAGCGCGCCGATCTGCTGCTGCATCGCCACCATCTTCTCCTCCATTGCGCGCAGCTGCCGCTCTATCTCCGCCCTCTCCTCCGCTCCTGCTCCTGCGCCCACATCCCCCCACTCCTGCTCTGCACCAATACCACCTGCCGTTCCTGCATCCCCCCACTCCTCCCCCCCTTCCTCGCCCCTCTCAATCTGCTGTCCTGGCAGCTGCTTCTGCCGCTCCTGCCGTTCCTGCGGTTCCTGCGGCCATAGCAGGGCTTTCTTACCGGGAGCACCAGGCGACTTCTGGCTCTGAGAGGAGCCAAAGGAGGGAGCTCTCCTTCCCTGAGCCCCTGGTGACACTACAGACACTGCAGACAGCGCTGCCGCCCACCGCTTGCTCCTCGAGCTCGAGCTCGAGCTCACGCCCCCACCGCTGCTCCTCCCAGACCCTCCCGCTGCGCTTGCCCCCTCCTCTGCTGCGCCATAACCTTCTGCCTCCATACCAGCAGCGCCGCCGGCAGCACCAGCAGCACCAGCACTGGCACCAGCAGCACCGGCACTGGCAGCAGCAGCAGTGGCAGTGGTAAGCAAGCCGCCAACACTCCAGCTGCTAGTGAATCTGGTCCCTCCCATGCCGCTCCCTACACTGCCGATGCTCCTGCTGCCCACCATCCGCCTCCCCCACTTGCCACCGCCGCTCCCAATGCCGCTCCCCACGCTCAGGCTGTTGCCAAGCCCCCTACCAGGCCTAGAAACGCTGCCGCCTGCAGCGCTCGCAGCTGAATCCCGAGGGGAGGAGGCGGAAGGAGCCCCGTGGCGCGGGTAACACCCCGTCGTCCCCGCCACTGCGGCGGCAGCAGCGGCGCCAGCGGCGGCAGTGGCAGCAACGGCGGCAGATCCTAGACCCAGGGGATCCAACGGCTGTACGTCCTGCTCCTCCCGCCCACTGCCAGCTTCGGCGTTAGTGGCACCAGCAGCAGCAGCAGCAGCGGCAGCAGCGGCAGCAACGTGAAAGGCAGGAGAGCCGAGAGTCATCGTCCCCTCATCTCCCCACCAGTCCTCCCCCCCACCTCCCCCCCCTGTGCTCCCCCCTCCCACGGTGAAGAACATGCTCCTGCTCTTGCTCTTGCGCACGAGTCTCGGCGTGAACAACCCCCCTCCATAGCTCCTTGATCGCCTGCTCCCACCCAACCCGCCACCAGCAGCATCAGCGGCATCAGCAGCACCACCAGCACTACCATCACCACCATCACCACCATCATCAGTAGCAGCAGCAGCAGCGACAAGGTCAGCAGTGAGGGAGTGGCTGTGCAGGGCGGAAGGGCGGGAGCGGGCGCGCAGAGGCTGCGTTACGGACCGAGGTCGCCCCAGTGGCGACTGCACGGGGGCTCGAACGCCCCTCGCTGCTGCTGCTGCTGCCGCTCCTGCTGCTGATCCCCCTGCAGGACCCAGCACCGTGCCATCCACTCGCTGGGCCATGAGCAGCCCAGCAGACGCCACCACAGTAGCACCCCCACTGCCGCTACCGCCACCGCTGCCGCCGCCGCCGCCGCCGCTGCCGCTGCCGGTGCCTCGCCTCTCTGCTCTCCCCGCAGCACCTCCCCATGCGCCGGCCAGTACCCGCCCCTTGGACCCCACGCTATGGAACCCCAAGCGTCCGGGGGTAACGGCGGTGGCGGTCATGGTCGGAACGGGCGTCAGCAACGCAGAGGCTTCCGATGGAGACCTCCTAGAAAGGCGCGCTCCTGGGGTGCTGCTGCAGCTGCCTCTCCCCCCTTCCTCCCGCTCCTGCTCCTCCTGCTCCTCCTGCCCCTGTTGCTGCTGCTGCTGCTGCTGCCGTGCTTGCGTGTCGCCATGCCTCACGGCTAGAGTGCCTAGTCTGCTGCCCAGCCCGCGCCGCTCCCTCAGCCCCGTTGACTTGCTTGAACTGGGAAGACTGGATGCTGACGCTGCGGCGGAGGAGGCGGCGGACAGGGGGGAGTGAGCGGCGGAAGAGGAGGCGGAGGCGGAGGCGGAGGCGGAGGCGGAGGCGGAGGAGGCGAAGCCGCTGCGAGGAGAGGGCGAAGGTGTTTTGCGGCCTGCTGGCGCTGCTGCTGCTGGTGCCTTGGATACACCAGCAGCAGCAGCAGGAGCAGCAGCAGCAGCAATGGTCGGTGGTGTAGCAGCGGAGGAACCAAGGGAGGCGTTAGAGCGGGAAGAGAGTGGAGTGAGCAAGTGGGCGGTGGGAGTGCTGGCAGGTAGAGAAGCAGGAGTCACCAAGGCAGAACCACAAGCCCCATCAGCAGCAGCACCAGCAGCAGACGCGCTGCTGTAACTCCCCTCTTCGCTCCCCCCCCCATCACTGCTCCCCAGACCACACACCCTGACGCCGCCGCCGCCGCCGCCGTCATTCGCGCCGGAGCCCAGCGCCTTCACCTGGCGGTCGCCTTTGGGCGAGGGGATAATCAAGCGCAGGTCGTTGCGCCTAGCCGACAACGATCCCGCCAGGAGCGGGTGCGCGCTCGTAGTCGCTTCTCCGCCAGTGCCAGCCGCGCGACCTGCAGCTGCTGCTGCAGCGGCGGACGCGGCGGAAGAGGCGGCGGCAGGTGTGAGGGTTCCAGCAGCAGGCGGAGCAGTGGGCACGCTCGCAGCAGTGAGCGCGTCGCCAGGAACGGAACGACTGGCGCTTGCCTTAACTGCCTCGCGATCCGTACATGCCGCTCCCGCAGCAGGAGCAGCAGCAGCAGCAGCAGCAGCAGCAGCAGCAGGGCCACCATCCTCGCCCGAAGCTTCTCGCCGCACCTGCTGCCGCTGCAGCTTCCGAGTAGCTGCCGCTCTCAGCCCCTCCGCGTTGGTGGAGAACGCCCGCCTGTTAATAGGGTGCGCGGAAAGACCGCCGCCGCCGCTGCTGTTGCTGCTGCTGCGGTTCATGCTGTTGCTTCCTGTCGCCCTGCCGCCGCTGCCGACGGCGTTAATGGCGGTGTCCTCTCCGCCAACGCGCACCGCCCTTCCCATGGACAACCCGAGCCCGCCCGGCGAGTCCAATCTGTCCCACCCCTGCTGCAGCGGCGCCACATCTCCGCCTCGTGTGCGCAAAAAATCCGCCGTCGCGCGCACGTCCTGGTGCGACGGCGATACCGCGGCCGCCGTGAGCAGCGGACCGGACGACGTCGTGCGCCGCTCCTGCGCGGAACCGCTCTTTCCGCGTCCGCGCAGTAGGCGGCGCGCGCCGGACATCCGCCCGCTGCCCCCAGGGGGGAGACCGTCTGGAAGCGCTCTCCTGCTGCCTCCTTCCGTACCGCCTCCAACGCCGCCACCGCCGCCGCCGCCGCAGGCCCCAGCTGCTGCGGCGGCTTCCAACGAGGGGAGAACGGAGGCGGCAGAGGGGGAGGTCGGCGCGCGGCTGAGGGCGTGAAAGGTGGAAACCTTGCGCAAGATGGACATTGGCGCGACGGCGGAACCTGCTGCGGAGAATCCCGCGCCTGCAGCTGACGAGGGCGAGGAAGATGCGCGGGGCGCAGCAGCGGGGGAGAAAAGGCCCCGCGGAGTGGGAACGGTTGCGCTCGGGGTGGTGGAGGCGGAAGCGGAGGTGGCGGAATCGTGGGGGCTGGGGGTAAGGGGCTCGACAGAGAAGAGCGGCTCGCGCGGGGAAGGTTCGTCGTGAAAGCGGAAGAGCGACGCAAGCTTGTGCATGAAGCGACGGGAGCCTCTGCCTCCCGGGGACTCGCTCGTGTTGCTGCGCGCCGACACAGGACGCTCGTCCGCATTGAGAGTGCTTCCGCTGCCGCCGCCGCCGCCGCCGCTGCGACCTTCATCTACGTTGGTAGTCGGGAGTGGGGAGGGCCGGTTGACGATGGCGAAGGTACCGACGAGCGAGTGCGCGTCGTGCGCGAACTGGCACGGCTGCAGCATCAAATCCACCTGCCTCCCCGCCAGGTGCCCGCCCGCCCCCGAGTCGCGCACGTTGAAGCGCAGCACGGCGGCGGACGCGACCGCGTCGCTCACGGCGCGCTGCCACTGCTCCGCGCTCACGTCGTCCGTCAAATCGAACAAACTGTTCCGCCCGCTCGCGCCCGCGCCCGCGCCCGCGCCCGAACTCGCGCTTTGCGCCTGCCCCTGCGCGCTCTCCCCGTCCTCCGCCTGCCCGAGCGCCGTCAGCGCCGCGCGACTGGCGGCGAGAACTTCAGCGGATTGGCGGTCCAAGAGAAGCATCATGGCGCGCGACTGGCGCACGAACTGCAGCGCCAGCGGGGACGGCTTGGGCGCGGGCGCAGAAGGGGAAATGGAAGGCTGGGAATTTTGAGTTGCAGCAGCGGCGGAAGACGAAGCGGAAACGGGGTTGGTCGTGGGGTTACGGTGGCCGCTGCTATTGCCTTTTCTGCCGCCGCCACCTGCGGCATGGAAAGCGATATGCGTGGAAGGGGATGAGCCCTGAGGCGCTTTTGTTTCTGAAACGGCTCGCGCCTGCGGCGCCAAGAGGGGTTCAGAATACGCAACGCGGCTTCTGGAAGCCGCTTTATTTCGCGTCTTTTGCTGCGTTTGCGATTGCACTTGCTGCTGCTGCTGCTGCTGCGGCTGCTGCCCAGCTACGACCTGCTGCTGCGGAAGCGGCGGCGGCGGAAGCATCTGGCCGTCGAGGTCCGTCAGCTGGGCATCGCCGCTACGGAGAGCGATCGCCGTTGCTTCTGCGCGCCGCATCGACGGCGAGAGGCCCCGCGAAGGGTTGCCTACGGAAGTTTCGACTGATACCTGGAGCGATACTGCGCGCGAAGCAGAGTAACCAGGCGCTACTTTATTCGCCCGATTCGCCGCGGCGAGGCTGCCAGTGCTGCGTGTCTCACGTGGCAGTCGAACACCAGCCCTTTCTCTGGGAAAAGAAACAGAAGCTAGGCTGGGTGAATCGTAACCAGCGGGAGGGATAGCGCCTTCACCGCTGCCGCTGGATGCAAAAACATCGGCGGAAATCCCGTCGTCGTCCATTATGGGCAAGCTAGAGCAGCTAATGTCTTCTGTCGGGCCGAACGCATCGCGAGCAGGGCTGGAAGCGCGCATGCCGCAGTGGTAATGAATATTGTCCGGTCCAGAAGCCAAGAGCGGTGAGAGCATTCACCAAGTCGAATCTACTTTTCTGTCAGAATGTTATCATCTAGCCTGTAGTGGGGTGCTCTATAGCGAGTACAACCCAGTTAGGGTTTGCTATATGTATCCCAACTGCTGCTAGTGAACCTCTCCTTTGTTTCATTTCTCTCTTGCCTAGCTAGCTAAACCCTAGCTATGGCTCCTCACTGTGCTTACTATTGTAACATGGTTTCAGAGCATTTACGCTCCTGGCCTGTGGGCCCACCTAACTGCTTCCGCTGCTACTCTGTCTGTTGCACGCCCCGTGGCGTGCGACTCCTTCTTCCTGCCGGCGAATTTTTTTTAGGGTTTTCTGTCCGCCGTGCGCTCGGGGCGCGCGGCGGTTTTCTGCCCGCCGTGCGCCCCGAGGCGCGCGGCGGTTTCCTACCTTGGGGACCCGCGAGCGGCCCCCGCCCTGCTCGTCGCGGCGCCCTGGGGAGCACGCGTGGCCCCCGCCCTTCACGTCGCGGCGCCCTGGGGAGCCGCGCGCGGCCCCTCGCTGCCCCGTGGTGGCGCCCTGGGGGCCGCGCGCCACCCCTGGAGCCACGCGCGGCCCCTCGCTGCCCCGTGGTGGCGCCCTGGGGGCCGCGCGCCACCCCTGGAGCCGTGCGCGACCCCCCTTGCTGCCCCGTGGTGGCGCCCTGGGGGCCGCGCGCCGTCCCCCTCGCCGTCCCCCGCGCTCCTACCCCGTGCCACCCGTTTTAGGGTTTGGGGGTGGGGAGTGTGGGGGTGACGGTTGTGGGGGTGCCGGTTGTGTGCGCCGTCCCCTGCTCCTCCTCCTCCTCCGTCTCCCGCTGCTGCAGCTACCGCTCAGGGGGGGGTGGGTGTGTGGGAGCCGAAGGACTGGTGCTAGGGGGGTGACGTGGGAGTGGAGCTAGGGGTGCAGCAGGGGGTGTGTGCTAGGGGCGTGGGGCAGTTGACGGAGGTTGAGCGGAGGTCGCAGTCGTGTCGCCAGCAGCACCAGTAGTCCGGAGGCTACAATCTCCGGTAGTCGCCAGTCGCCTGTGGGTCAGTTGCTCCAGTCAGGAGGCTACAATCTCCGCGGAGCCAGTTACTCCTGTAGTCCGGGCCATTGCTTCGGTAGCCACTGATCCAGCAGCTCCTGTGTGTCTGCAGCTTCTGCCGTCGCCTCCCATCTCCTCTCCTCTCACAGTCCCTCCTCCTCCTCACATGCCCTCTGTGACTACCTCTAGCTTTACTTGGGCTTGTGAACTATTTTATGACTGCTTGTTGTGCTGATTACACCCCACTTTGGCTATGGGGGTGTGTCAGAATGTTATCATCTAGCCTGTAGTGGGGTGCTCTATAGCGGGTACAACCCAGTTAGGGTTTGCTATATGTATCCCAAATGCTGCTAGTGAACCTCTCCTTTGTTTCATTTCTCTCTTGCCTAGCTAGCTAAACCCTAGCTATGGCTCCTCAATGTGCTTACTATTGTTACATTTTCAGCGCCAAATCCTTCCCATGTCGTCAAAACCGTGGTAATACCTAAAGCCAAACTCCCTAAGCTCGAAGTTGCTGCTGCATGCCCCAAGCCCTGTTGATGCCCGTTTGTCTGAGCCCTTCTTACAGCAGTTTGCGTGAGTTGGCGCCACCACTCCAAGGTCGGGCCCCTCAGCAGCGTAACCGAGTACTCGATCCGCTGCTGCGCGTCCGCCTCTTGCACCCCGCTCGCGGCGAAGTAGTTGTTCAGCATGAAGATCCACGTCCGGACGTTCGTGTCGCGTTGACTTGCGTCGAACGGCTCGGGCTTCTGCGGCTTGAGCGCGCTTCGACATTCCGGCAGCGCTTCCGCGCCAGTCGACTTGTTGGGTGCACGAGATGGTGCGGCATGACAATGAGAAATTGATGCGAATTCACGAAGCTGTTGCATTTCAGCCCGTACCTGACAATTTTCCAGCGTCAACGTTTCGTGTTGGCGCATCAGTTGAGCAAGCGTGTTGCCCATGTCGTTGAAGAGAGCGTTCATGGTCTTGTCCATGTTGGCTCGACGACTCCAAGTCTGCAAGTCGGCACCGCGGGACGATGACGCCGTAGTCTCGTCGTCGACGGCCGCTCGTTGGAAGTCGCTCCCCACGAAGGCTCTGATACCAAGTGTTAGGCCCCTTGGCCTAAATCCGCTAAAGACTAGCGGGGTCGACTAAGTTGAGGATGAAAACGCGGCGGAAGACTTTGGCGAAATAATTATTGGGGAAAGAGGCGAAGAAGTTACTAAGTGATTGAAGAGTTGAATGAGAATTGGTTGTGAATTGATTGATATTGGCAGGTACAAGAGAGGTTAGTTCGACGTGGCACAAGGAAATCTAGGAAGATAAGGATAAGGGTGAGTTGGAAAGTACTGTTCAAAGTGAACAGTAAATCCCCCCTTAACACATCACCGCATGCAAGAATAGATAAATTTATTACACAGCAAAGTTGTTAATGCTAAACCTTCAAATGAGCAAATGGTACTCAATGCTATACCTTCAAATGAGCAAATGGTACTCTATCTGAGTTGAAGCATATAAGGTAGAACTAAAAGGGACCATCATGGGCTAATAACAAGGCTAGAATAATTTTTAGGTATCTAGTATAGACATAGCATAAATATTGCGGATACTAAAGCGCATAACAAAAGTCATGTCATTACAGAAGTGAAATGCGTGAGCTGCATTGAAGCTACACTGTGAAATGCATAAGCTGCTGAGCATGGCACATGGATGATGGCACAAGTCCATGAATTGCAAACGATTCAAATATATTCTGTTTATCAGCAACAGGCTCCCAAAATCCCATGGCATCATCGTCATCCAGATATCATCCAGCACAGTGAATGGGGCACCAGCAGGGGCACGCCTTCAGGCAGTACGATGATCGATTAATCATGATCCATCGTCTGCCTGCTGCACACCCTCATGAACCTTCACCAACCCCATTGCTCTGGGTGCTTCTGGGGCACGGAGGGGAAATTAGTTCAGCTTTGCGATTGCTCCCATGCCATGCCAGGGATGCCATTGCCCACATGCCATGGCAAGGATGATTTCAGCTGCCATTTCCCCCACACCACACAAAAGGTTTCAATCTCTTTCACGCAGTCAACCAGGGGCTTTCAGCTCCTTCTCTTTCACGCAGTCAACCAGGGACTTCACCGCTCGAGGAATTTCAGACTGCACTTACCCTGGGGGATTAAGGCCCCCTCCATTGCCGCTCACTACACTTACCCTAGGGGATTAAGCCCCCCACTATTGCCGCTCACTGCACTACCAATTCAGACCAAACACCCACCCAACCATGCACCAACTCAACTACCCAGAATCACCCATCCACCCACACACAAAAACCCACCACCCACAGAATCCCACCCACCCTCAGCCACACAGCCAACGACCTACCCCCACCCACCCATACCCACCTTACCTCACCCCTCGCCCCCTTCCCACTCACTCACCCACCCTAGGGGACTCAGCCCCTTTCCACTCACTCACCCAACCAAGGGGACTCAGCCCCTTTCCCCTCACTCACCCACCCTAGGGGACTCGCCCCTTTCCCCTCACTCACCCACCCTAGGGGACTCAGCCCCTTTCCCCACACTCACCCACCCTAGGGGTCTCAGCCCCTTTCCCCTCACTCCACCACCCTAAGGGACTCAGCCCCTTTCCCCTCACTCACCCACCCTAGGGGACTCAGCCCCTTTCCCCACACTCACCCACCCTAGGGGTCTCAGCCCCTTTCCCCTCACTCACCCACCCTAGGGGACTCAGCCCCTTTTCCCTCACTCACCCACCCTAGGGGATTCAGCTCCTTCCCCCCCACTCACCCACCCTAGGGGACTCAGCCGCTTTCCCCTCACTCACCGACCCTAGGGGACTCAGCCCCTCTCCCTCTCACTCACCCACCCGAGGTTTTAAACCCAATTCTCTCTCACTCACCCACTCAGCCCATCTCACCTTCACCGGCCAGCAGTAGGAGTAGCACAGAGCTCACTTCCCCAAGGAAGCAACACCCCCAGAGGCGGTGCCTTGTGGGGCGAAGTGCGGTAGTGGAAAAATGCTTCCAGCCCAAGACTCAAATCCCACCCCTGACGTAGCCAGAGCTGACGCAAACCAGAGCCGCCGGCCGGTCGGCTCTGACGGTGTCCATAAGGCCTTGAACGCCAGATCGGTTACTTGAGCACCGAGTGCCGTGCCGCACAGATTCCACCCTGTCAGAACTAGCAGTAGAAAGTGGGAATGAAGAAAGGAGGGGTTTCACTAGCAAGCAGTTGAGTACATATAGAAAACCCTAGATTGGGCTGTACTCGCTATAGAGTACCCCACTGCAGGCTAGACAAATACAACATTCTGACACACCCCCATTGCCAAAGTGGGGTGTAATCAGCACAATGAGCAGGTATAGCAGGAGTTCACAATAAGAAGCAAAGCTAGAGGTAATCACAGCGGGCAAGTGAGGAGGAGGAGGGACTGTGAGAGGAGAGAAGATGAGAGACGGCGGCTGAAGCTGCAGACACACGGGCAACAGGAGCTGCTGGCACAGTGGCTACCGGGATAGTGCGCCCCGGACTACTGGAGTAACTGGCTCACGGGCTACGACGAGCTACAGGA